CTAACTAAATTAAAATAAACAATGTAAATAGGAACATGAACATGTTAAAATTCTTTTTTCCTGGCTTTAGCATGGGCGAAAGTTGACACAATATTACCAATGTCTATTGTACGAGTAACTTCATTTTCTATTGAAATAATTGCCAAAAAAGTGGCAGTTTCGGGCACCTCTCTTAACTCAGCTGCCTTATCGTCCCCTTAATACAACCATTAGGTAACTAGAGTTTTTGTGATTTTGAGTTAACTACTTTGGCCAGTATAATTTTTCATGCTCTTTTTAATGCTACAACTAGCTTAGTTCTATTTCTATTCGATGGTACAGAAATCCAGTGACAATACAGCAAATTTTCTTTTTTGTCAAATTTAATGCTCTAATGAAAAAGCACATATTTCCAGTTATTTTTATTTTGCAAAATATAAAGAAAAACACAGCTACAAAATTGCACAAGAACAAGTGTAAAGTAATAAGTTATTTTTGCGATAGCGTGTGCTAGTTAAGTAGTTAAGAAGACATGTGATAGATAAGAACTTAGTTAAACTTAGCCCCCCGAGGGCCCGGGCCCATGTGCTTCGCACACACGGCACGTCAATAGTTACGCCACTGCTCTTCACATAGCGATCCAGGCGGAGGAAAAAATGGAATTTTATCGACATCAAAGTGCATTGTCTCAGGATATAAACAGGACACTAAAAATGGGGGATTTCATCGGGGGACCTCTACTCCAAATGAGATCGGACCACAAACCATTAGAGGTAAAAAAAATGGATCGAGGAATTTGGACAGATAAAACATTCTTTCGGGACGGACTAACCTGGCATATAGACGGGCCAAAGACCGCTGACGGAAGAGGAACTGGAGTATTTGGGGAAAGACCAAGGACAAGCTTATCCCTTTCTTTAGGGTAAATACTCAACCGTATTCCAGACAGAAATCTTCGCCAATCTACAAGGCGCGAGAGAAAATAATAGAAGACCTTACTCAAGTACACCTAGAGCGCAAGATATCGTCGACACTCTGGTCAATCTAGAAATGCCTGGGTAAATTGGGAGCTCTAGAAGAAAGAAACAAAAATAAAATTATTCGGGGTCCGAGCCACAGTGGCATCCAAGGCAACGAAAAGCCGATGAACTAGCAAGGTAAGGATCATCGGAATCCTATGTTAGTCCAGAGCCAGTACTGGGAATATCTAAATATATAACCCATAGTACAGTAAAACTCTAAGGAACCAAACGGGGGCACACGCAGTCTTCATCGAAGTACCCAATTCCAAAACCACAAAGGAACTGCTAATGCTTAGCAGGAATAACGTGCGGATTATAACAGGTCTCTTGACAGGACATATGGCTGTCAAGTGCTATCCGCACAAGCTCAATCTATATCAAGAAAGTCTTTGTTGCAGACTTTGCAATAAAAACCCTGAAACAGCGACACTTTAAACAAAACTAGATCCGGAGGAACTATGCTCTCATTCTATCAAGGACCTGCACTAGTTGGTGCAGGGTACAGGAGTGAGTGAAGCTATAGAAAGGGGACAAGTTTGTTTTTTTCTCAGTAATTTTCGAAAAATAGTACTACAAGTAGAATTATATTTTTATATAATTTTATTGAATCATAAAACGAACAATCTCCATTTCTCTACTTATTAGGTAGGTACCTTACAACATACATTAAACAATATTGCTAAAAATCTCTTTCGCTGGCTTGCGGTACTTTGAAGTAGCCCGAAGGGTAAAAATTCCCGCAACCAATATGGATATGGGCACGGTACGGTACGCTACGGCCAATATCATGATCGCATGTGTGTGGGTCTAAGCAGATCGTTTTCGCTGTTCGAATAGACATAGGAAGGATAGGAGAGGTAAACGGTTTTCAGATTTGTGTCGGTGTCAAAAGCCTCACGAGGCCTCTTAGGGCCATTTATGGGGTGTCAAGATTACTGGGTGACGCCGAGCGTACAGTTAGACAAGGTCAAAGGGCAAGTCATTTCGTGCCAAATTGGACGGTTTGTTTATGAGGAGGGATACCGTGTAATTATCTAGAGTTAATGTTGTAAGAACACACAAAATACCAGGAAAAAAGTGAGGAATTTAATAATGAGCACTATTCTAACAGGAACATTTTTTTGTATGTGTTACGTTCAATAAAACTGTAATTTTACACATTTGTAGATTTGTAAATTGTATGGGAGGGGGGAAGTTAATCACCGCGACGCTATAGATCTATTGTATACCTCTTTGTTTAGTTATAACTCATCATACTGTCTCAGGGCTTTGGCAAAAGCCAGCATTTCAGGCGGTTTTACATAGGTTAGTTCTCCATCTCGAATATCAGCCGTACCGAAGCTTATGGCACCACAGATTTCACGAAGGTTGTCGTCTCGATCAGTTCTGGTGTTTCCCCATTTTTCCCACAGAATCTTCATTCGCAATTATTTCTTGGTTTGAAGCTGCTGGGATGTTCTTTGAGGAGACAATGTCCTACGTTAAAAGCCTTGTGACAATCCGAAGATTGTTCTTACTTAAATCAAGGAAATCTTTAATTTTTCTCGGTCATAAGTTCTGCGAAATTTCATTGAGTGTCTTAGACTGTTGAAGGTTTCCATTCTAGGTTGCAGATGGAGTTTTCCAGTTAATCGGAACTGTTCTGGTCCAGTTAAAGGTCAGTTACTAATTCATTTCCGCCGTATTCAAAGAAAGAATTTTTATTGTTGTGATCTAAAGACTGTAATTAGGAATTTAACCTAGCCATGTAATAGAGTTATTAAGAAAGCGGAAGGCCCAGACAGACTTATCTGTCGGTCAAAGAAAGCGCCGGGTACTAGCCGTGGTACTAGTTCCGAGCAAAAAAAATGACATGATCACGGATGAAAATAGCACAGGTGCGGAAATAACGGGACGCGTCGTAGCGGCTAGCGTTTATGGCCAGAATTTATGTTTTCGTCTCCATCCATCTCCTTTCCTCGCGCTAGCTCTGTTCCAACCAATAAATATACATTTACGCCAGAGTCAAATAAATTCTCTTTACGTATCCAATAAAGTCATAAATTGCGAAAGACTTCCAAACGCAACTCATTAATCAAATGAGCTATTAAAACGGCAAAAACGTTTTGAAGAGTACCCACTCCGTTGGCAACAGATAGAAGAAATGCAGTTTTTCTTGACAATATAAAACATTATTATCAATTAATATATTTTTGTTCGGTAATATTTTCATTTAATTAACTAAAATTATTATTTGGCATTGCCCAATTTTGTTCATTAAATATTTTACTACTGAAATTAGACTGTACTGAACTGTTTAAGGTACAGGCAATACATCTTATCAATCGTCCTATAAAAATAACACATAACATTGCTTCATTGCACAATAACACTCACTAAGAGTTTTCATTCAAGTGCCAGGAGTGGTTATCCAACCAAACCAAATTTAATGAGCAAAAATGAAATGTTTTTTTGTTGCTACCTAATTTTTTTATAAAGGAATCCGGTCTTTTCAGTGAAAAAATAGTATATTGTTTTATTAGGAGTAAAAATGATGCTTTTTGTGGCGAGGTTTGAGGCACAAAAATTCATTTTTACTCCGAGTAGAACATGCTATTATGTTTCAAACATCACAGTAATACATAATAGCAGTATAACATAAGTAATACCTTTAAATCATTATATTTCGAGAAAATATGGTAACGCCCGTTGAATTTTACACATTATGTCAGTTTAATAATATATTTTCTTACTTTTATATTAGGCGTAAAAGTGCTTTACTTTTATACCTAGGCGTTAAAATGACATTTTTGTCATTGTCAATCACGCCGAAACAATTAATACTGTATGATCGAAAAAAAATCGGCGTCCAGTTGGGTGGGAAATGACGATCGATGACATTTCCCATATAAATTTACATATAAAATGACTTGTTTTCATAGCCATCGCTGACGCCGATTTTTTTGATCATACGGTACTTTAGTGACGTTTAAAAAAATATATATTTTGAAGCAATAAGTCAAAATACGCCCATTTTAAACCTGCGCTAGAAGCGGATTGTCCGAGGAAAAAAATCTAAAAAACTGAATTTTGTAGAAAATTTTGTCTACTTATTATTTCTGAAAAAGATATTTTTTGGAGTTATAAGCACAAAACCGCAAAAATTGAAATTTTTACGTTTTTTGCATTTTTTTCAATGTTCCGTCATGAAATTTTGTTAGCAGATATCGGGTCCGAATTCAGCGCCCCAAAAAAACATAAAGAACAGTATAAAGCTTGATTTTCTTGTATCCGTTGTCCGACGATATACGATCATACGATATTAATTTTATTGGTTGAATTTAAAGACTTCGATTTGTTAGAAAATTACGCAGTTTTTAAATTTATTGCAAATCATGCCTCCGTTCATCGGATATACGATTTGCTTGTTGTCATTTTTTTCATATTTTCATTCAACGATTTCGCTGTTTTACTTATATAGTCTAAGACCTAGCAACGTTTTTGAGAGAGAAGTTTAAGAAAACTGGTTCCGTTTAATATATCTTTTGCTATGCTCTCCTGAACAGAGTACGGACCATCTGGCTGCCGGTAGACGTTGCGTTCACTACTGCGCATCATATCTGTATTCAACATCTGTTCACTACTGTGCATCACAAATTCATCCTGTAGGTATTTCAGGAACTAAGGAGGCTAGGACAAAACTATGTGTAGCATATTTAGTTTCATAAAAAAAGTAGGATAGTAATGTGACAATCGCATCATTGTATCTCTACTCATAAACGAGAAATCCGTTATTCTCCGTCGACAGGTTGGAGTAAAAAATTTAGGGATGAAAAGTGGACCATCGTATCAACGGATAACGGACGCGTGAAAATCAAGCTTAAATCAGAACTAGGTACCCCAAAACTTTCCCACCAAAAATAAAATTTGACTCTAGACTATTTGTATATTATCTAACCCTTTTCTTCTCTCCTACATAGCTAGAACTGTGTTATTAATGACATTTTATTTGTGTTACAGGTGGTCTGTACCTGCGCCCCGACGACGGCAACTTGTACACGACGCTGGAGCCCACTCTGAGCAGCAATCCGAACGTGTACTTCCAAAGAGGAAACGGCCTGCATCCTGGCATGATGTATTGAATGCGTAATGGGCCGGTACTAGCTGGCCGGTGGTGGCAGTACTTTCAGCGCGGCGGCGATCGCAAAAGCACCGACCGGTCGGTCAAACGAAGAAACGAAGAAGAAAAATGGCGGCTATGGCGGGCATAAACCGTCGGTAATTAAAAATATGGACTAATTAAGAGCTGGAGGTCTTTTGTTGGGCGATAATATTGGAAAAAACGATTTCAAACTATATAGTACAGGATCCTGATTCAGGATTTTTACGCCACTACTTTATACGGGTCCGGCAACAATGTGTCGGGTATCTGTAGCTTCTATAATAAAAAATAGAGGAATTTTGGATAAGTGCAAACCTAAAGTATATATTTCAGGAAAACATTTTCACTTCTACAGGGTGGCTTAAAAACGTGTCAGTGTATAAGGGTGATGTTTTTAAATGGAACACCCTGTATATTATTGCTTTTTGGGCTTCCTTTCTGATCATTTTACATAATTCTAAATTATTAAATATGTTTTGATAGTTTCAGAAATAATAATAAATGAATAAAAAAATAATTTGACAGCCTTTTAAAAAAAAAATATTAAAAATACAAGACATATCCTGAATTAAAAACTATACTAGGTGAATTTGACACTTTTTTTTAAATTTACTGCTAGTTTTATTGGTCTGTACTTACTTTGTTCTAAATATAGTAATCTTAAACAATACAGGCTGTTCAAAATTCTAACACCTTCTAACAAAAATATAAAATAGTTTTTCTTATTTTTTTTTAATGGAACCGCTAAAAATTCTAAAATGCTTTAAATACAAAAAATGTTCTTTTTTAATTATCCATTTAACAAAAATAATAATAACAAGACGTTCCATTAAAAAAAACATAGAAAAACTACTTTATATTCCAGAAAGTTTGGCATGAAATTTTGAACACCCTGGACCTGTTAAGATTACGATATTTATAGTAAAGTAACTACAGACCATTATAGTAAATACCTAGTATACTTTTGTTTAGTTTGTTGTTTCAGGGGGACATTTCTTGTATTTCTAATATTTAAAAAAAAAGCTGATTTTTTTTTAAATTTATTTATTAATCTATCTGAAACTATCTAAACATGTTTAATAATATCTTATGTAAAGTGATCAGAAGGGAAGCCAAAAATGCAATAATATACAGGGTGTTCCATTAAAAAAAAATCATCCCGATCCACTAGCATTTTTTGAGCCACCCTGTAGAAGTTAAAATATTTTTCTGAAATACATCCAAGTACATACCTTAGGTTTGCACTTAAACAAAATTCCCAATTTTTTGATAATAGGAGCTGCAGATGCCCTATTGAAGCACTATTGCCGGACCCTGCATACAGGGTGTCCCAAGCTGAGCGTGCATTAGAAGTGTCTAGAGAAATATAATATCTAGTTCGGAGATTTTTTAAACATCATTGTTTCACAACGAGATCTATTGATTAAAAATATTTTCAATATGGTACAGATGAAAAGTTATTACTCTTCAAACCAGTTAAAAAATATGTAGGTGGCGCTCTTTACGAGTAGGAGTCATATTGACATCAAAATCAAATTTCTTATGTCAAAAAACTCCCAGTCACCAATCTTCATCCAAATATTGACGTTACTTCATAAATTATTGGGAAGAAATCTCTCTCTCTCTCTCTAGAAATATAAATGAAACTTCTACACCCTCCAAAATCTCACCCTCCAGTATCTCCAAAACTAAATATTTTAGGATATAAGACATTTATACGAACTTTTTTACTTATTTTTATGTGTAAAATATGCTGGCGAAGTTTCCGAAATACAGTTTGGAGCACCCTGTATAATATACATACGTGTAGTAAATCGATCATTTATGAAATTCGCTTAAAATTAACTAATTATATATTTTTTCTTGCATTTTTGCTTTTATTTCCTACTTAAGATGTCAATGAATTTAGATACGTCAATTTGACTTACCTGCTTCAGTAGCGTATCGGATGTTCGTGTTGTTCAATAATTATTATAACTTATAACAATTTTAAGAACTGCCAACATTTTTTGCCAACGTAAAATAAAACAACAACGTATTGAGTCCACCCTACATCATATTTTTACATGTTTTGAATAAAATTAGAAGGGCTCTGATAAACCGGAATTTAAGTCGGCCATTTTTGGGCCCCATCTCGTTCAACCTAAATTTTTTTATATGCTCCTTAAGTTTATTTTTTTTATTAAATTTAATATCTGATATTATCGCCATTAAAAGAAATTCTGAATCATCCAAATACCATACGATAAAAAAACGACGTCAATGACGGCTGGGACTTACAATCGATGATAATTTTGTTGAGATAAAGCTCTAGACATCATTAAATGGTATAGTATAAAATATATAATTGGAAGACGTCGTTATAATCATAATAAATAAATAAATATAGTATAAAATTCAAAAAACAATATTTTTTTTTAAATAGATTTGTGTGTTTGGAAACATTCTATACTTTTTTAATCTTTTTATAATTAGTGTTAATTTTCAATTTTATGTCAGTTTTTAGTAAATGACCTTTATCGACGAGACTATCTATCGAGAGTGACTTCGCCAAAATCGATTGTCATTTACCAGCCCTCTTTGGCGCCGTTTTTTTTTTCGACTATATGGTATATCGTATTTCTAAATAACGACGCTATGTAAAAATTACAGGAACATATATAACTTTTACGGTATTTTCATATTACTCAACGTATTCTGTTTTATTTTAAGACTCTCTCTTATTAATATCATTGTCGACTATTCAAAATCAAAAGTAACTATTTGTGATATTATTATAAATAAAGAAATACACATACTGAGAATACGAGTATTCGAGTATTGTAGTTATCCGCTTCATTTTCCTATATTTATAGAAAAGATACTTTTTTTAGTAAATAATAGTTAAGCAATATACTGTTTTTATTATTGATTATTCATGTGGTGCTACAATAACTTGAATAATTATTTTTTTTTTAATTTTATGTAAATATTGTGTATTCAAATCTACAAACATGTATTTCATTTAATTAAAAGTGAATTGATTTACTTTTTGATTAATTTATTGTCTTTTATATTTATTAGCAATTTTTTTGAATTTTTTTTTTGGAACCACTGTACTCTTATAGATATTAGCAATTTTAATAAAATTAGTTTTACATAATAAACTATAATTTTATATATCATCCAGTATTTCCAATAGGTTCTTAATAGTTAGCGATATAAAATGGGCACTGTGTATACTATATAATGTGTATATTTCAATAGAATCTTGTGATAAATTGTATTGAATTATTTGTACCCTTATAAGGCAAAGAAGTAGTGTGTACCAAACTTTAGTGGATGATACTAGCTAAACATATTAGCTAAAAATACAGCTAAAAATAAATGAAAAAGTTTGGTACACTTTTTTTTTACATTCTGTATAAACAAATTAAACATTTTTATACTATTTTTATTCATGATGTGCAATATAGCATTTTTTTCAATGCGATTTAATATTATATAGTTATTATAATTATTATTATTATTATTTCGTTTCTTTGTAAGTTTAGTTATATTATAAACAGTATTTTTCTATGCCTTTTTTATATTAATATATTTTAGATTTAGTTAACTTTAGAAATAATATACTGTAAATAATATTTATTAAGATTATTTTAAGAAAAAACAATCTAGAAGCTGCGAATGACTTATGATATGTAGTTTGATTTAATATTTATTTACGATAGTTTTGTACCAATATTAATACATTTACTTTAATATTATATACATATTATGTATGACGTCTCAAAATATAATTTTTAAGTTTAACATTAAGTATTTCACTAGCCATTTCATTTAATATAAACAATATGAAAATAGAGCACAACGAATGTGACTGAATATTTTTACCATAGGCTTTAAGCTAATTGATATAGCAGTAAGGTTAAATGTTATGGATAATTATCCATTAGATATTTGTATTATATTTTTAGTTAATGTACCTATGTTTAGTGCTTCAATTAATAAAGTTTAAATAAAGTAATATGAGTTTATTTTTTATTTTTTAATAATACTTGATTATGGGAAAGTCAAAATATAATCTTGATTTAAAAAAAAAATAAATTGTACATGATTATAACTTACAGACATGTCAAGGGAAGTGTCATTTTTATTTCGATTTTTTCGAAATAATTTATGAAGTAACGTCAATATTTGGATGAAAAGTGGTACATGGGAGTTTTTTGATATGAGAAATATGATTTTGATGTCAATAGGACTCCTACTTGTAGAGACTCCTACTGTCAATAGGACTCCTACCAAACCTACATATATTTTAACTGGTTTGAAGAGTAATAACTTTTTGTCCGTAGCTGTATAAAACTATTGTGTAAAAAAATATATATTTACGTAGTTTTTTACGTAAAAAATGTCTCTTGGTAAAAATCGCTGCAAGTAATGGTTCTCGAGATATTTGGAATCGAAATTATTAATACCTATCATAATTGACATAAATTAAACATGTTGACTAAATAGTTATTAGACTGAAATCATAAATTTGAAATGTTTTTATGCCAAATGTTTACTGTTTTATCATCATTTTTTCGCAGAAAAGTTTATGATTAATTTAAAAAAATAAAAATATCCCAAATTTTTTATTTCAGTCAAGTAACTATATATCTACTCAACGTGTGTTTATATTTTGTCAACAATGACATGGTATTGACTATTTTCATTCTAAATATCTTAAGAACGGTTGCTCGTAGCGATTTGTACCAAGAGACATTTTTTACGCAAAAAGTGATGGAAATGTATATTTTTTTACTCCATAGTTTTATACAGGTACAGACGAAAAGTTATTCTTAAAAACACTAAAGTTACTCTTTAAAACACATGTAGGTGGCGCCCTCTACAAGTAGGAGTCATATTGACATCAAAATCAAATTTTTCATGTCAAAAAAGTCCCAGACACCAATTTTCATCCAAATATTGACGTTACTTCATAAATTATTTGGAAAAAATCGTATATTTGTAGGGGGAGCCACCTAAATGCGTTTTGACTGTTTTGAAGAGTAATAACTTTTCTTCCGTACCTGTATAAAACTACTGACTAAAAAAATATATATTTCACTGTCAATTATACAAGGGAAAACAGAATGTTTTATATACAGGGTGGTCCGAACTGTATTCCGGAAACTTCGGCAGCACATCCTGCAGATAAAAATAAGTAAAAAAGTTCGTATAAATGTATGTCCTAAAATGCTTAGTTTCGGAGATACAGGGTGTAGAAATTTCATTTTTATTTCGATTTTTTCCAAATAATTTATGAAGTAGCGTCAATATTTGGATGAAAATTGGTGTCTGGGACTTTTTTGACATGAAAAATTTGATTTTGATGTCAATATGACTCCTACTTGTAGAGGGCGCCACCTACATGTGTTTTAACTCTTTTGAAGAGTAATAACTTTTCGTCTGTACCTGTATAAAACTATGGAGTAAAAAAATATACATTTCCATGACTTTTTACGTAAAAAATGTCTCTTGGTAAAAATCGCTACGAGCAACCGTTCTCAAGATATTTAGAATGGAAATAGTCAATACATGTCATTATTGACAAAAAATAAGCACACGTTGAGTATAGTTATTTGACTGAAATAATAAATTTTTATTTTTTTAAATTAATCATAAATTTTTCTGCGAAAAAATGATGATTAAACAGTTTCTGTTGAACTTTTGGCACAAAAAAATCAAATTTATGGTTTCGGTCTAGTAACTATTTAGTCAACATGTTTAATTTATGTCAATGATGACAGGTATTGATAATTTCAATTCCAAATATCTCGAGAACCATTACTCGTAGCGATGTTTACCAAGAGATCTTTTTTATGTAAAAAAAAGTTGTAAATGTATATTTTTTTACTCAATAGTTTTATACAGGTATGGACGAAAATTTATTACTCTTCATACCAGTTAAAACATATGTTGGTGGCGCCCTCTACAAGTAGGAGTCATATTGACATAAAAATCAAATTTCTCATGTCACAAAAACTCCCGCACACTAATTTTCATCCAAATATTGATGTTACTTCATGAATTATTTAGAAAAAATCGAAATAAAAATGAAACTTCTACACGCTGTATCTCCGAAACTAAGCATTTTAGGACATACATTTATACGGACTTTTTTACTTATTTTAATTTGCAGAATATGCTGCCGAAGTTTCCGGAATACAGTTCGGACCACCCTGTATATTAAACTTTAAAATACATCAATCGGTTTTTCGTGCCGGTGAGTGTATTTTAGTCTATGTATAAACATGTTTTACTTTAAATTAATCTGATTTTCTTACATTTTTACACTATCTTTTGCCCGAAAAAAAAAACGTGATATTTGCCGAAACCTACTCTATCCCCTACATATAAGATTTAGTGAGATTCGGCTGAATCCCCCCCTTGGTTTCCTCACGTAAATAATGGACGTCTCCTTAACTTTGATTCGTGTTCTTCAGATTAGGACTAATGTTAGTGTTAGGATAAAGATTGCGTGGTTCAAAACGTTCACGCTGGAAGCATGAACCAGCCATAAGAGGCATAAAGCTTAAAGCTATTTCTAGAGTGAAGTGATTATATTATTCACGCCGTTTGATGTAGACTGGGTTGCCTTGCCCAAATTACAATTTCTGAATTCTTCGAATGCCAATGGTACTACTAGCGGCTGCGGCAGTACCTACCTACCGGCTTTTGTTTATTAAATTCATTACGGCCTATTAATCACAGCTCGCCAACACTATCATTACTCGCCGATTTATCTCAATTGCTCTAATGGTTTAATTGCACGTGTACTGCCACCAATGGTACTCCAGACCTACAACGCAACTCCAGTGGCGTAGCTATCGCGGGCCTAGATGGTTTGTTGTGCACTGCTTTAGTTATTGCTAAGTTCACTTTGAGACTTACTTTATTGCTGGTTGTATTTAGTTCGTTGATTTGTGCTTGTAGTTCTTCAGGACTATTGGCAATTAGAACATGTTGTCAGCGAATCTTAGATGGTTAGGATGGTCTCTATTAATTATCAATCCTTTGTTTTCGATCCCTCCGTCTAGTTGACGGGAGATTATATTATGTATGTTACCGGAAAAGTAAAAAATTAAGGCATTCTATATAATACCATAGTAGAAGGAAAAGAGTAGTTGCACTCTCCCAAATATTTTCTGCCAGTTTTTACAATCTGTCGAATATCGACAGATTGCAGAGCGTTTCAGTTTCAGTTGAGTTCCGTTCGTCGACCTGCGAGGTTCGAGCACAGTTCGAGCAGGTTCCCAGCACAGAGACGGATTGACAAAAAATTAGTGCCTTACTGTGTGCTGCTATTGGTTGTAGTAATAATTCAAAAAATTGTGCTTTTTTTTAAGAATCATTTGTGATCATGTTTGTGTTCAGGTTAATTTTCTCATGGCTGATTACTACTTAATAATTTGATATTATTTTGATTTAAACCTCAATTTTTTATCGATTTTACTTTTGACAACCATCCCTTGCTTGCTGTTTAACGAACTGCACCATCATTGAACAAAAATTTGCTAGTACCGAAAGTACCGAAAAAAACTGAAAATCCCGGTTCCTTTGAAGCATGATTCCGAAATTATGTTATTTTATTATTTAGTACAATGTGTTGTTCAATGTATTAGTTATCCAATGAAAATCCACCTAACCAATATATTACTACAAAATAAACACATTGATGTTAAAATTAAACTTGTTTTAAATTAAAAAAAAAGTTGTAGAAAATCTTTGAAATAGATACTAATATAAAAATATGTCATTATATATTTTTTCCACATTTCTTCCCATCAGAAGATTTTCAGATACAGAAGAATTATTGTTACTTACACGAAATGTGACAATATTCTGTTTTCAAGCAAATTTTTACTCGATGATCAATTTTTTTTATTTTATTTAATTGTGAACTCATATTTTTCTAAATACATCCATGTGAAACTATGGCGGTGCCACGACTATACTTTGCCTAGTTATAGACCACGACTATACAGCTACGTCAGTGGTCACGGGACGCGGGAACAAAGTCATATAAAGTGACAGAAAAAGAACAAAGGATTTGACAAGGACTAAAGCTACTAGTTTCCTTTATATTATGATAATACCTAGGTATTCTATAAAATGCTGTATTTTACCTAGACATTTTATGAATAATGTAATTTATTTCACAACAACGCCTGATAGTTTTAGCAATTTTATATCATTCCTAGGTATTCTGCACAACACCGGGTTTTAAACTTTGCCGGTAACATGTATAGGCTTGGTGCTTTCTCCGCCGGCGCCGGTGCTGCCACCATCGAAGAATATCGTAAACAACTCGTACTGACAAATACACGGGTTTAAATAGCGAGAATACGAAAAATGTATTATTTAATTACTCTAAAAGTGTTAGGAAGTATAATTTGTGATAATTCGAAAAATAAAAATAACAAAGTAAATATTTTGATATCTTCAGAAAATCTAACTTGTATTATAATTTATTATTCCAGTTAAAAAAAACTTTTCAGATGAGTTCACCGGTTTTGCTAGTGGGGCATAATTTAATTGGGGCTATTTCGGCTATAACGAAATTTTTTAAAGCTACATTATTATAATTAGAAGCTCATAAAACCATTTAATCACTAGTTGATTAAAAAAAGTATACTATTAATATTAACGAGCACTTTGTTTACTCATTTGTTTCGTCGAATTGCTTGAATCCATTTTTGCTTTTAATCAAATCGGTGTGAGAAACTATGAAGCTATGAAATGTTGTTTCGGGAGAGGAGTTAAATATCCGGGAATTATTGAATGTTATTACACCCAACAACGCCCTAATTACGCTCTCCTTTACGCGTTAACATTTTTTCGGCAATTTTATTAACTTTTGAAATTATCACAATACCACACAATGCTTAGTTGGAATTATTTTTTACTACTCGAAATAGCATTACATCACACAAACCTCGTACCTGAGTGTTTTATACTCTCAATAAGTGGACTAGCAAAAAACTATAATACTTAAATATTATGACAAAACCACAATTTCAATATTATTTTAATGCACCATCAACATGACGACTGCGTGAAAGAGGTAGGGATAATTTATGAGTTTTGCCGTTGAAGCGCTACGGTCGGAATTTATTGAAATCAACTGAAATGCACCAAGCCTATATATTATATCCAGCAAGAAAATATTATTTATTAATATACACTAAAGCTGTAAGAATTTTGTTCATTTCATATATTTGAGCGGGCCGAAAAACGCTCTTTACCATCTTTTGACGGGAGATGCACTAATATCTCACCGACACTTTACGACATCGTCTGTAGATATAGAAGAAGTTTTGCTTGCCGTATCGGTGAGAACCAGCCCCTGGACAGCCCACCTGATGAAGGGTAGGCCCAGAAACCGGTTGTGGGAGTGGAGCTTGGTTCCCCCCTTTACGACAAGCAAAACAATTTTCTTTTTACTTTTTATTTTTTTTTTTTTAATTTTTTCTCTACTTTCGATTTTTCGAAATTAGAAAAAATACACAGCTAAAGGCAAGAAAATATTATTTATTAATATATTATATCCTATATATAGTATATATAGGGCGTTAATTTATTTTTGCACCGGGGAGGGTATCTATCTACGCCACTGAGCAACTCGTCTAGTTATCAAGATAAAAATGAAAACGAACAAAACATAGAGAATGGCGCCTTTGAAAACTACGTACTTGGAAGAAATAAATTGGCAGGGATGCGCTTAGAACCGTACAACTATGTTGTCAACATATTTCAGACTATGATTTCTTTACCCTATATTTCAGAAATTTTTTATTTCATGTTTTTGCATCTCTTTTTTACGATTTGACCGGTACTTCTGTACCAACATTTGTAAAATTTAATATATCGGGTGGTGCATCGGCGTTGGAAACATAGGAAATCCCATGCAACTTTTAAACTGTCAAAATATTGGCTCCCCTATTGTTTTTACAGTGATTTTACAGAATCTGCATTCACCATTATGTGGGCTGGCATCCCGAGTAGGAGGACTTTATTTTTATTTGCCTAATGTCTATTAGTGTGATAGGCAACTATTTTATAAAATATTACTTTTTCTTAGAATTACTTATGTCTATACAAATTACATATTTTATTTTTGTTTATCTATATACAAACAATAAATCTCGCGACAAGGTTTTATATCATAATATAAACTGTGTAATGTAATACATTTAGGGGATTTAAAGTTTATTTTCTTCTTTTTAGAGCATTTAAATAACTTTGTTTTTAGAAATATTTTTTATTTAATAATTTTATTTGGTTTGGCATTAACATGAAATAAAAGTCAATAGCATGAACTTAAATAATTTACTACAATTAACTGCTATGTTTTGATATATAGTTTTGATATGTATTAATAAAACTGTGTGTTATTAGAATATAAATTATTTCTTTCTTATTTCTGCCAATACTTTATTCTTGGTTTGCAGTCTGTTAATTTTGCCAGTAATGGTTAAAGGAAATTCTTCTATAAACGTGACACCTTCCCTTAATCTAAAAAAGGAATATATACAATTTATATAGATAAAATTAAAATAATATAAAAAATTGTTTATAATACTAGCTACCTAACCTAACCTAACCGTATGATCGAAATAATGGCGTCTAGTTGGCTTGGAAATGACAATCAATGACATTCCCCATATAATTTTACATATAAAATGACAGCAATTTTCATTTCATAGACATCCTTGACGCCGTTTTTTTTCGATCACATTGTACCTATTAATTTTAGGTAGTATTTAAAACTAGGTAAATATAGTGTTGTTATATTAAAGAAAATATTATTATATTCATTATTTATATAATATATAACAAAATTAATAATATTATATATAATATAATATATATATATTTATATATATATATATATATATATATATATATATATATATATATATATATATATATATATATATATATATATATATATATATATATATATATATATATATATATATATATATATATATATATATAATATATATATATGATATGGATATATATATGTATATATATATATATATCCAGAACCGACACTTAATGTATAAATATATATAAGAAACCGGCATCTATATATATATATATATATATATATAGCATCATATATATATATATATATATATATATATATATATATATATATATATATATATATATATATATATATATATATATATATATATATATATATATATATATATATATATATATATATAGTTTTTTGAAAGTATATGGATACCGGAATATGTCGTCATTCGTGGGTCCAGAACCGACACTTAATGTTCCAAAAAATCTCACAAGAAACCGGCTCTGTAAATGAGTTAGAGGCATGGCGTTTCAAGACAGGAATGACAGACCTGGAACGGAACATGCCAAAAAAATCGTGGCAGGGCCACCCAAACGCAGAACAGGAGAACTCACAGAGTATACTCACTGCAGTATACACGGGTCACTGCAGACTGAGATCACACCTGTATGGGAATGGTGCAAGAAGCCGAATCCGACTCTGTATGGAAAGTGACGAAACTAGTGAGCCCCGCTGGGAGGTGGACAAGGTTTGAATTGTTTGTAAAACCATGATAGACTTTTCAGACCTTGATGACATATTTTTAGATCTGAGCCTTACCAGGTACTTACGGCCGCAGTGAAGGGTCCTACCTGGGATCCACTCTTTGCAAATACGAAATAACACTTCCATATGATTTATTAAAAGTTATTTGATTATTTAGTTTGTTTAATCCATTTACCTTTTGTGGTCTTCAACTCTAGCTTCAACAAATTTCACTAACTCTTTCTCAGTTACATTAAAGCTTTTGTTTTTGAGTACTACCCCCATTAAGCGTTCGCCCTCAATTTTGTGTGGAATGCCTATAACAATCGCTTCTAAAACAGCTGGATGCTCCTGTAATACTTTTTCAATGTCGTATGGATAGATTAGCCAGTCATTCCACCTAGAAAAAAGTACCAAAACTTAAGTTGATCTAGTAACTTAATTAAAAATTTCAATTAAATTTAGATTTGGACTATATTGTTTCTGATTTGATTGTTCTGGAATAGTTAAGAATCCTTAGCCAAAGAATAACTGTTAAGACAAAAAAAAAGAAAATAAGCCTATAAAATAATTTTATCTATACAGGATGTTCCAAATGTAAGAGTTCTTTTTCTTAATATTAAAGGGCCGTCCAATGCCAGGAACTATTGCGTTTGTCTTCTTTTAAACCAAATATATCTTCTATCCCAGTGCCCTGCACCAGCTTGTGCAGATCCTTAATAGAATGGGAACATAGTCCCTCCAGTTCTAGCATTGCTTTCCCAAATAGAAAGTGTCGCTTACTAGCTAGAGCCTTGCAGTAATACAGTATGTGGTCTGCTGTTTCAGCATCTTTTTAGGAGAGTCTGCAACAAAGTCCCCTGATACAGGTTGAGGTTGTTCAGGTAGCACTTAACTGCTACGGTTCATATCAAATAAAATTTTAGGTACGTCATCGAGTGCGCGATTTTTAAATTAATTGTTGGCAACCATGGACATACTCGGCGCCGCCGCCGTGCTGACTAAGTGGAATTTAAATTTCCCGCTGTGGATTCAGGTAGCAGCTCTGCTGTAAAAATATCAAGTTACTTACCGCATTTATTTATTTCCTTTTCATTCGTTTTGACACTTTAGTTTTTGGTTTAAATAAATAGTGTTGTGATACTTTAAGCTTAAAAATGTTTACTAGCAGACCTTGCAGTCGAACCTTATTATTCTTTTTAGAACTTCTTTTAGTGCGAAGTGTACAAGATATCTTAATAGTCGTAAAAAAACTCATCAAAACCTTATAGAATATTTTGAATGGAAAAGCGGTAGTAATGGCCCTTTATGTTGAAAAAGTGCTGTTAAAAATGTGAGTTTTTTTATGTAAATTATAACTGTTTATATATTTATACCTAATTAAATTATGTTTGTTTTATAAAATATTTTGATTAAAAGAAAATATCTAAAAGTGGGAACGCTGTGGCTGTCAAGCTTAAGACGTGACTAAAAGTTTATTTGGTATGAACTGTATATCTCCTAACAAGAGAATTCTTTTAATCAAAGATCCTTGAATTAGGTCCTTGTATGAAAGCATTGCTGTGTCTGTAACCCTGCATGTGTTTTTTCAGTGGCCGACCTGCATTTCCCAGGTCCAGACTTTTACTCAGAAGGATCCCAGTGGCCATCTTCGTATTTGGAACACCCTGTGCACCGAAATATTCAATAATCAATTAATGCAGATTACCCTAAAACTGATTTGATTCTATCTGCTACATAGAAGCAAAAATCTTCGTCAAACCACATTAAATCGCCAGTTTTAAAGTACCCTTCGCTGTCAAAACTAGATGACGCATCGCCGTTATAAAACCCAGTAAACATACATTTGCCTTTGACGTATAACTCTCCATGCTGGTTGTAACCACATCTTTTTCCTGTGTCTAAGTCTATTACCTACAAAAATAATTAAAATTAATTCAATATTGCCGTTGAAATAATGTACTAAACAAAATTACTTTGTAATGATAACCGGATACTGGTAGTCCGCAACTCGTTGGTTTTTCCGTGCCCAATATAATATGTTCTGGATAAAAGTTTTCGAAGATGGTGAGTAAGCTACACTCAGTCATACCATAGGATTGAGTAACAAAAGTACCTTTAAATGGAAAAAAGACTTATAATGAGCTACTTATGTTATAGGTATGTATATGATTTATTTGCAAAAATGCAAATCCACACAATCCACGGCTGGTAGACAACTTTAAAGCAGCCAACAACACGCTTCGAAGAAATCTGCGCCAAGTAAAGGATGATTGGCGGTCACAAAAAGCTAATCAGATTCAAGAGTACGCCACTCATCACGATTATAGTAAATTCTTTGAGGCTGTTAAAGAAGTATACGGCCCAACCAAGAAGGTAAGCTGCCCAATCATGGCACAAAATGGCGAACTTCTAAAAGAGGAAGAGCAAATTAGAAACCGTTGGAAAGAGCATTACTGCCATATCCTTAACCAAGAAAACAACCCCAATATAGAAGCATTAAACACAATACCTCAGTATAACAGCCTCGATGTATTAGATACCCCAATAACAGAACAGGAAATAATGGCATCCATAAAACAGCTTAAAAACAACAAATCAGCTGGCTGTAACGCGATCCCGGCGGAAATCTATAAGTGTGCAAGTAAAGAACTTATTGGTCATCTTAAGGCTCTCTTCGATGTCATATGGGAAAGCGGAGAGGTACCCATGGGCGCCGGACAGGGGGGGCAAGAGGGGGCATTTGCCCCCCCTGGATCACTGAAACAGTAAAAATAAAAGCCATCTTTTTACATCCATCTGTAAAAAAATAATGATTATTATGAAATTTTTAGGTGTTACCTGTAAAATAATAAAAAATGTGTTTCAATTTTTTATTCATTTTTACCTTGCCCCCCCCCCCCAAATTTCATTCTTCCGGCGCCCATGGAGCTACCTCAGGACTTTTGCAACGCGAATATAGCGAATATATTTAACAACAAAGATCAGACTGCGGAAATTACCGGGGAATTTCACTATTGGCTATCGGAGGAAAAATTCTTGCAAAAATCATGTCAAATCGCCGTCACCCACATATAGAAAGAAGCCTTCCAGAATCGCAAACGGGTTTTCGCACCAACCGTGGCACCGTCGATTGGCACCTCTTCTATTCAACATATTCATGGCAGCGTTCTCCATTATAGTGGACAGCAAACTGCAGGAGAGAGGATTGGGCATTAGTTACAGATATGACGGCGGTCTGTTCAACACAGTTCAACAAAATTCATCACAGAACCTCAATACGCTGATGACTGCGCTCTAGTTGCAAACACGTTACAACAATTACAAGAAATGTTGAACACATATACCTGGGCATACGAGGCTTTGGGCCTTAAGCTAAACATCGACAAAACCAAAATCATGTACACTCCCCCGGAAGATCATAACAATACTGTAAAAATCTATTGGAATATGTAGCGGAATTTAATTACCTCGGCAGTTTGATTTCGGAAAAGGCCAATATCGACTCTGATATTCAGCACAGGATTAGCAGCGCCTCAAGGGCATTCTGGAAATTAAGACAGAGTTTTCTACAATCATGACTTGAGTACAAAAACGAAACTGGCAGTGTACCGAGCAATTATAATCCCCACCATGTTATATGGGAGCGAAACCTGGGTGCCGTACCACCGACACATGAAGGCATTAAACAAGTTGCAACAGAAACACCTTAGACAACTCTTAAGAATCCGGTGGTTCCATCATGTCTCAAACGTATCGGTCCTTGAAAAAGCTAACTGCGAGAGTATTGAAGTCATGGTTACAATATCCCGCTTAAGATGGACTGGTCACGTATGCAGAATGCAAGAAAACCGCATACCAAAATCTCTGCTTTACGGTGAGCTTGTAGACGGTAAGAGGAGGCCGGGTGGACAACTCAAAAGGTAAAAGGATATTTTCCAGGAAAACTTAAAGGGGATTAACATGCAGAATCATTGGGAAGAAGCAGTTCACAATAGAACTCAATGGAGAAGAATTGTAAACTCAGTTAACAGGGACAACCAAAAAGTAAAGAGGCAACAAAGCAATGAGATTTTTGAATGTCCGGAGTGCGGTAGGCAAATAACATCACGTATCGGGCTTTTCAGTCACAGAAAAGCTCATGAAAGAAAACGCCTTGCGTGACCACCTTTTGATGCGTGTCGAATATGTATGTATGTATGATTTATTTATTTTATTTCTAGCTGTGTATGATAACTTTTGCCGTGAATAATTTCGATCTCTTAATAGTTATTCTGCTATTCGGGGCGAAGACGAATCCAACAAATCAGATATTATTGAAATCGGTCTAGCCGTTCTTTAGTTTTAAATGATGTAACTAACCCAACTTTATTTTATTTATGTGAGATCTTTGTGGATTTCGAGTCTACCTGGAAATAGTTTCCTCAAACTAAGAATATATTCTATGTGAAGCGTACAGCCTCCTGTCATTAACCTCTCTAAGCTAGAAGTGTCGTAAGATTGCCAATGTCTATTCTTCACGACATCAATACAGTTAAGTGGGGTCAGGAACAACACAGTTATCTGCAATAAAAAATATTTTAAGTTTTTCAAGTGAAATAGATCAAATAAATTATACTTAGAGTATGTTGATACTGAGAGTATGTCAGGACTGTCTTAGAGTATGTTGATACTGTCTGATGAGTTATAACTCAAGAAAGGGGGACATAATAGATCTTTTCTTTAAGGTCGCGGTGATTAACCCCCTCCGACTCATCCTACATTCTCTTCTACATCGTTATACTAAAAAGTCCTTCCCGCCAGCATAGTTACTGTGAACTAATCTAAATTCTAAACTAAGCTTACTATGCTTACTATTTATGCTAGAGGAAGCTATACTAAAGCAACTTTGACACTAAAATTTTTTTTGAGCCTGAAACTACTAAAAAACAAGACCGGAAGCATAGAAGCAAGAGAAAGAGTGCATCTGTCAGGTGAACAGAAAAACGGAGAAAAATCAAAGATTTTCCTTGGTTTAAGTAAGAACAGTCTTTGAATTTTCAGAAGTTTTTAACAGGACACTATCTCCTCGATGAACACCTCAGTATATTGAAGCTAAGAAACAACGGCGAATGTAGATTCTATGGTAAAAATGGAAAAACACCAGAACACCTCATCACTGAGTGCGCCGAGACGACAACCATTCGTGCCATAAACTTTGGTACGTCTGATATCGGAGATGGAGAACTAACCACTGTAAATCCGTCTCAGATACTGGTTTCTGTCAAAGCCCTGAGACTATAATATGATCAGTTGTAACTCAAGAAAGGAGAACACCATACATTCTACATCAGATGAATGAGTCATATATTGGAGAGATAAACTGTCCTATAAATGTATGACTCAATGTGCAAAAACAAACATATGCAAAGAGTTCAACTAATGAATTTGGATATTGCACACTATGTGCAGCACAACATAAACTTCATTAGAAAACGCGTAAATTTGAAGAAAATTATAGCCTTTAGCGGACAATAAAAAAAACAAGTTAAAAAATAAGCGAGTTAGCAGTTTTCGAATTAAGATTAGTTAGTTAATGGACGGTTGAAATTCTTTTAGTATCAATATTAAATCATTGTCTGTCACATTGAACTGTGATACTTACACTGTATTTTTCAATAAGTTTTCCAAATTCGTTAACCACATATTTATCCCTTAGTACTCGACATCCACCACAGGCAGTATTTCTGATTAGCTCTAAACTGGCAGAGATCCAGTACCAGTTGGAGAATCTCAAAGATACCTGTCCTACATTTTTGTTAAAAAGTGTTTTCTCTTGAATTGTATCCCACCTAAAAAACATACGTTAATTGAAACTCACTAATTTTGAGGTTCCGAATGAAGTTTAGTGTTTTTCGTAAATATTTCATACTATGGTATTTGCCCTTAATCGAAGCTATTTTCTTATAGGAGGGTTGTCATTTATATTTTGCATATAGAGGTAGAAAAAACAGTAGATGACTTTTTAAACACTAATGTAATTTGAAGTCTTCTTCTCCACGAAGAAAAATGTATTTTTGCATCCGTTGGAACCAATTCTTAAAACAGTTCCTACTCTTTGGGAGTATATAAGAATTCCACTCGCTTGTTGGTACCTTCAAAATTGGAAGACCAGAAAGTATTTGGAGACTGGAATCTTTGACCACGCAATTCATTCTTAATTTTTAGAAAACGTAAAAATATCGTTAAGTCCTAGTTCGGGACTGTATAGAGGATAATCCAACAATTGGGTGTTTTCTTGCTTTAAAAACTCAATTGTTTTCGAGCTGTATGGAAACATGCATTGTCTTGGTGGAAGATCACTCGTCGTTGAGGGTTGGGTTTTCGAAACTTAGCAATTACTTCCGACAAACAAATAGATATGTACCAATCCGCAGTAACACATCTTTGATCTTGTAGAGAAATTGTTGCTATATGACCATATTTTTGGAAACACTTCGAGAACGGAACTTTTGTCGGTTTTGGTTCAACTCGGAACATGCAACCAGCCGATTGACCTTTATCCTCTGTTTAATAAGAGTAAATCTAGAATTCATCACCACTGACAGTACTGTATATATTTTTTGAGTTTCTTGCGTTGAGCCGGTCTAGAGTTTTTTAATAGCGATTGACTAATTGCTTTCTGTTTTTCCGTCGACAAATCCAACGAGAAACTATTTTTTTACAGATAATTCTTCATGTAATATTTTCTGAATTGAGTTTTTTGAAATGCCCAATGATGCTTCAATTTCACGATATGTGACATGCTGATCTTTTCAGATTAGCTTACATACAGCATCGACATTTTCCTGCGTAACTGCCGTTGTTGGTAGACCTGATCTTGGATCGTTGCTAAGACTAATTTGTGCACGTTTAAATTTTCCATACTAACGAGAAATTGACGACTGATGTGGTGCTTCATTGCCGAAAACAGAAACCAACTCGGCAATGCATTCTTGTTGAGACGATTGTCATCGAAAGTTGTAAAAAATTATTGAGCGAAAATTTTATCGGCTGAGCTCAATTTTTCGACTAACTTGCCAACTTCAAAAACTCAGTTTAGCTGCAATTTTAAACAAAGCGGTCTAAAATTTTGGCGTTAAGTTAACTAAAGATGCCTACTATGTTTTCATAGGCAAAATATAAAATACAACCCTCGTAAATACACTAAAATAAATCATACTTTTTTACACTGTCAGCCGCTGCCATAAAATAGTAATGAGGCAAACATATGGCCTTAGGACGACTAGTTGATCCGCTACTAAAATGTATCATACAGGTATCTCGAAGGTTTTTGATGTGCAATGGTTCAAAATTATTTTCGCTTTCGTTTGTAGACAGAAACTCTTCTTCAAACTCTTTTCCAAAACATACTATATCAATTTTTATTTTTAATTCTCTCAAAGTCTCTTGTAATCTAGCTTTGGAACTTTCTAAAATTAATAATATAGATATCAGAATAAATAATATTACGATATATAAATATAAAAAACGTTAAAATATAGATATTAATTGAAACGAGAATACTGTAGGTTCTTTTTAACAAATATGTCTACATAATCACTGGTATTAAACATATAAACTTAAAAATATTAATTATGATGTTTGAGGAATCATCAAGATCTACTAAAGTACATAATATTGAAACATTACATGTGGAAAAGATGTTCAAAAGTGGCAAAGCAAGGCGTTATTTATATCTCAGAAAGACGGGAAAACCCAGTTAGCTGCCCCAAGTGCACCAATTGGATATGTAAAATCCATCAACAATGGCCTATTAGCAAATGAGGCCAAAGCACTTGCTAACTGCGAAAATTCAGGAAGTTAACAAAGTTACAATTTACCAGTTTTTCAATGTCTACAATTGATATAATTTCAGTAAATGGATATGTTTTAAATAATTACTAATTTGACATACAATTTTTTCTAATTTTTCTCGTTAAAAATTTTACTGGGGTATTATAATATCCCACACGAGTACTTACATAGAAAAAGATTAAATGGAAGGTTAAATATACGACTATCAATAATAAACACGATCTAGAGTCTATTGAATATATTAGTTTATAAGATATATTAAAGAAATTTGCTAACCTATAGAGATAATGAGATGTGGTTGGACTTGTGATAACAAATCGACACATTCCTTGGTTGTAAGAATTGGATCCAAGCTGAATGTTGTTAGTCCTATAAGTTGGCCAGCTACAATAACAACATTAGCATCGATATTTTCCCTGTTTGAACAAATAGCAATCAAGTCGCCTTGCTTAAAACCTCTTCTCTTGAGGTTTACCGCTGTTCTTACACTTTTGTGGAGGAGTTCTTCATAAGTTAAGTGTTCGTCAGTTGTTGCGTTAATCTGTATAATATGAATATTATAAAGTGATCAAAAAGGACTCCAAAAAATGCAATAGTGCATATTATACAGAGTAAGATGCTATACACAGATTTCTCTTAAACCTCTTAGTTCCTGAAATACAGGGCGAATTTAAAATTGTTACATTTTTTGACTCCCCTCGTATCATCGGTTATTTTGTAACTATTCAAAACTGAGTGTCATAGTCATTTCACGTAGAATTCAGTGGCGCAACTAGTTTTTGGCCGGGAGCAATCATTCTTTAAATATGACCCAAACTTGATGACCCCTTTCATCACTTGGTTATCTTCGAGTTTTATCGAAAAGGTGAAAAGTAAGTCCCGTAGAGTATTTTACGTATAAATCAGTGGCGTAACAAGCATATTCTTATGCAATAATTCTACACTCAGAAACTAGCCTGGAATAGCCAATAACAAAGATTTGACGACAAATAAATTATTTCCTTGTTTTGATTACCTAATTTAAATCGGCCGCCTATGTTAAAAAGTTAAATAATACATTTTTACAGTGTTTATGAAAATAAGTATAGAGTACGTTAGGTTAGGTTAGGTTGTAAGCAGAAATAAGAATATAATATACAAGGTATCATATTATATTAAAAAAAACATAAATTTGGGTCATTTTTCAAGAATGACAGCTCGAATCAAAATCTAGTTACGCCACTGAATTCTACGTGAAAAATAATCACGTGCTAAATAAGTTCGAAAAAAGCAAATGCAACACTTTCGAATTCGCTCTGTATTTCAGGAACTAAGAGGGCCAGGGCAAATCTGTGTGTAGCATCTTTAGTTTCATAAAACAGTAGCACAATGATGTGGAAACCACATCTTTCTAGCTCTACTACGAGAAACACCGCAAAACACACGAAAATGGGACACCAGGGAACAAATAGGATAATGGGACACCACCTGTATGTACAAGTGAACATATTTTCATGAAGTACGTCCTGGTGCACATTTTCATAGATCTAAATTTAAATGAAACGTATAAATTTTTTAGTTTTTTCTTATAAAAGCTATAGATATCCGCCGTATTGTTTAAATTCAATAAAAAACATACCAATGCTAATCTTTCGGAATGCTTCTTTAAATACTTGTACAAAACTACTCCGAGCCCACCACACTCTTCGTCATAATCAATACTTGGTGTTTTAATGATACCATTTTCTAATATTATACTCATATTCTTATATTTAAATAATAAACGTTAAAATACGTCTTGTCTATTTACTACTTACTGATAGACTGTTTTCATCCTACTTATATAGACAATGATGTTTTCTTTCCTACTAAGAAGCAGGGTCGGCGGAAAGGCCGGGCGATAGGGGCCTAGAATACAACGGGTGCCTAAACAACTAAAATTTGACGACTAAAAAGAATATATAACGGAACCGAACAGTAATTAGTAAGCACTATTTCCATATTAAAATATTTGCAATCACCGCACCAGATAGAGAAAAATATCCGAAACAATATATTTAACATTACTATCCATCCTATTATCTATCCTATAATAATTTATTCAAACTGGGTTAAAAAAAATCTTGGGTGTGAGGTGGGAAGTTTTGGGATCGTTTTGACTTCCCCTTTTTTGTGTATTTAGTATTTTGGTAGTAGAGATGAGCAACAAATCGCAAACTGCGATTCAATCGCAGCGATTTTAAAATCGCTATCGTAACCTGCGACTGGCTCTCATAGAAAACTGCGACTGCGATTTTTTCTATTTGTGAGTTTCAATTTAGGCAACCAATATTACTATACAGGGTGTGTCTTTTTTGTCATATTTTCAGGGCTGGTAGATCTCGATAAAAGAAACATATTTTCTCTTTACCATTTTTCAGATAAGTCCAAAATAACCTAATTATTTAAGTTTGAAAATTAAAAAAAATATATTTTTTTTTTAAATTTTGAGAGCCACCGAATTTTTTCTGTATTTGTATCCCTTTTGTTGCTGTAACCATAGAGTAAAGCTGTAACTATGGTAATATCGGAGATTAAGAAATTATACCGTGCGAAATTTCCGGTGAACAGACAGTTCTAAGAAGTTTTCGAAAAATATACAGGGAAATTGATGTTAAAAATCGTGCATTTTTAACTTTTTTTAACGAAAAAAAAACTCATAGATGGGGTCGAAATATACCACCCCTGAAAATATTTGCACTTATTTAAGACTCACCCTGTATTTGCGATTTTGCTGCGATTTGCGAATTTGTTGCGAATGTAATTTTGTGGTCCATTGAAGTCTTTTTTAGTAAACTATGCTAAGTAAACTATACTCTCTTTTTTTTTCTCAGGTAAGATTTTGACAGACGATGACAGAAAAAAAAAGAGATGACGTCCATACCAATCCATTTATTTGACTAAAAAAGTTTCTAATATTTTTTAAGCTAATTATGGATGAGTTTATGCATAAATCCATCATGTGTCGTCATGTGTCATTGTTTTAACCAGTTGTATTAGGGAGGGGTTATTTCAAAAATGACAGATCATATTTCAATATTATTGGTTTGACGCAACGATGAACGACTAACGGACGCCGGCCGATGCGTATGAACGTATGAACTCGACTTAAGATTTTTCAGAGTTGCCAAACTCTTATCAAATTATAGGTTATCATTTTGTGTCAAATTAAGTCAAATAGAAAAGGTAAATATTTTGCATTTTGGACCGTGTTATTACGTGTGTTTCGTGTTTTTTAAATTAAGTGGAGGAAAACTCAAGAGAACATTAAGTGTTGACCCAGACGATAGTTTACAGTTAATATTCGGTGCCCATAGACCGTCAGAGATACAATTTGCCAGAGACTATGACCAGAGAGCCATTATTAGCCCTAAATAAAGTTTGTATATGGTACAAAAAATGGACTATCTGTAAAATAACATCACACGATAGGTAAATAACAAATTTTAGTACTGCAGAGTGATAATATCAAAAGATACTGGTTTAAAAGAATTAAGATTAAAATTAATTAATCAACTTTTAAGTTTAAGGTATAAAATTCAATAAGGGTTATTAAGTACTAATAAAATATTTTATTTTATTTATGTTAATATATTATTTATGTAAATAATAAATGTAATAATAAATGAAGGAAGTTGCTTGAGCTTTAAAGTAAGATATCTTACTTATACTTTTTTTTTGGTATGTGGTGTTTATGGTTATATCACTACTAGAGACTACTCAGCTTCAATATGTTCTGAAAATGCCTGTAAAAAACATGGATCTGAAGGGTCCAGGAGAAAAACATGATAAGCGCCATTTTACTAATTATACAGGAGAGCACTTACTGGACGGCTGGCATTATCGGATTCTTTCCATGTATTCTATATTTTTACTAGGCATATATCATAGGATTTAACAACTTATTCCCCTGCACAGTTTATATATTTTGTCGAGACCAGTTAGACCTACTATAATATTGTAAAATCCTAAAATTAAGAAATTGGCGCTTATCAAGTTTTCCCCCCTGGACCTTTTAATATTTTATTAGATCCTCCGCCGGTCCTGCTCCGTTGAGTTATTTGTTATTGTTATTTACTTAGAGTAAATAAGATTGCCTGATATCCTAGTTATTTTCCGTTATAAATACAAAAATAGGTCTTCATTAAGACAAGCAGCTTAATGTATAGACTCATTTTTATTATAAACTATTGTGTCTTATAACTTAACCTTATCACTAACAATGATATAAAATTTAATAATGTTGTAAGAAAATAAAAATATTTTTAAATTATTATATTTGAGCATATCTCATAGTCTTATAATCAGATAGAAAAAATATTTTTATTAGTTTTTAGTTATTTTTCTATCCAGAGATTTATTTCTTGTGACATCTTTTATTAAATTGTTAAAAGTTATCTGTCATTTTAATACACAGGTACATCAAAGAATGAGGTACATTGTATTTTATGTCACTGCTTAGAAGTTTGGATTTCGTCTGAAGATATTATTCCCTCATTCAGTAGACATCCATTCAGACAGATTTGTAAAAGTACTTGCCTTTGTATTCGGTGGCAGTACTATGATTTGTACATAGGTTACAAATGATATCAGAATTGGATTATGCTGTTTTAACACACCAGAAAAAACTTTGAACACTTCATGTTACTACGTACAGGGTGGGTCAAATTCGACGCTTTTAAATGGAAACACCCTTTTATATAGGAGATAGACGAAAACTAATATCGGTGTCTGGAGCTCAATTTTCATCAAAAACATGATGGTGAAAACCGCACATCAATATCTGTTACCGTTTCGTAGTTACGGGGTGTTTTTCAAAAATGTGCATTTTTAACAAATCGCTGTAACTTTTATGCAATTATTTTGCAAACGATTTGACGACTGCATACTGCAAACCATCCAATTTACCTACACACGCTACGATTTATCGTCAATGCGGCAGTTTCGATGAATATCGTACTGCATGCAGTACGATAAATCGTTACGTGTGTAGGCCGTTTTAAATATTTTAGAATTAGTTTAAGACAGACATTAAGTAAGATAAGTAGGAATAAAATAAAATACTTTTTTAATAACTGAAATAACATTTTATTTATAACCAAACATAACCATTTAATTTGTTCTAATTAGTATACACATCGACTTTTATGCACCTATATTTTGTCTCTCTTGTACAACATAACCAAAACAAATCAAAAAACTTATGTTCTCTTGAGTAAAAGTCTCAAAGTCGAATTAAATAAAAATTAAAAAATAATAATCTCAAATATAACAGTATTATTTAAATTTGTGACAAAAAATGATATAATATAATAATGTATTATAGTCGTTTAGTTTCTCGTATAAGTTCATCAACAATCAAAATTATTAATTGTTCATTATGAGGCACATTTAATGAGGCACATCATTTCTTTTTTCAAAATATTTCAGTATCACAGATGTCTCTCAAGGAAACTGCACGTTAATATTATGCTTTTTTTAAATTTCTTTTGTTCGCTCACAACTCGCATTTTTCTTTCTGTTTAGCATATTTTTAACGTACAGGCCTTGGTTTGAGCTATTTTTTTGTGTGATCTGCGTGAATGTGAAACTTTCACTTTTTCTAGTCAAAAATATTGTCTAATTATTTTATAAATATGTCAGTTTAGGGATATTTTTTCTTAAAATCTATCGTAATATAATAAATACAAAGGGAAATGGTTTTACATTAATAAATATTTTTTTAAAAGTCTTACATTAATAAAGAATAATACAAATACGAAAAAAATTATATACATCTATCAGGCTTTAAAAATGTTTGGATTAGGTAGATATAAATCATTCAAAATTCATTCGAATGATTTATTATGTGTTTTTATCTCAAAACACTGGTTTTATTTGAATAATTTGGTGGCGTAACACCAAATTCTGAAGAAGTATTCGTCCTTTCTGAGTAGTTTTCCTTTGGCATACGAACTAATGTCCGCGTCCATACTGTTCTCTCTGAGCCAAGACGTTGTCGTTTCTGAACTTCTTGATGTCGGTTCTCGTTCGGAAGTAACTTCTCTGAAGTCGTCTTGGTCAGCATCTGAAAATATAAGTTTTTTATGCTATTAGAAGGTATAGATATATAGGAACGGTTCGGACATCATATTTTTGTAAAATATCTGTGTCCGATGCAGAAAATAAATATTTTTCAGTATTGTTGCTTTTTTTATAAATTAATTTTGACTCTCCTTTAAATATATTTTTTTCTCAAAAAAATATGATAAAAATTAAAATCACAAAGCTTCATTCAGAACCTCGAAATTAGAGAAATAAGTTAGTGGTTTCAAATGGCATAGAAATGTGTTCTCGAATTTCAAATTTTGACATTCTGAATGCTTAAGAACGTCAAAATTAGTGTAGTAATTTTCAGTTAGTAGAAAAAGTTAAAAAATGTTAATTTTTTTCACTAATTATACTTCAAAATTTGTCAGTAATGCCAATTTGGCCTTTGATTTTATCCGTCTAGAGAAATTGTGGTTATAAATGAAAAGTTTATTGTCTTATAAGTTAATTATTAAGCTTTCCCTATGGATACAACTGCCGCAAGCTGTTGCTAGGATGTTCTATTAATTTCAAATATATTTTTTGACATTGTAAATGATCGTAAACTCTGAAATATTAAGTATAATTGAAACCTGAATTTATTTCACTAATGTTGAGGTTCTGAATGAAGCTTTAGGCTATACTCTAACTTCAATTACTTATCTTTTTAAAATATTTAAAATTCTTACCTCCTGAAGGAAGAACTTTGAATGGTTCATCCGACTCTAGTGGTCCACTTAAACCAATTTCATTTCGTGCAAATATTCTGATCAAGTATTCGTGATCTTCTTGTAGGTCTCTTATTGTGAACTTCTGGACACCTTTTGGAGTTTTTCCAATTTCCATCCACATCGTCTTCTTGGTATCCTATTTGACCACAATATGGTAAATAAATCGATACTATTTGAATATTTGATGGATAGGCAAAGTATAAAATTAAGGAATTCTGTATAAAACCTAGGTATTATATAATATATAATAAATAAAAAAAATACTATAAAATGATTAACGATTTCAGGCAATGTACGAAATTTAAATGTTATTTATTTTTTAATGCCCATATTATATAATGAACAAAAATATAAAAATGTTAATTAAATTTTTCCTTGAATTACAGAAACGTTTAACAACAGGAAAGTAACAAATATCGCACAAGTATTTCTTAAAACATATTTAAACCGATTTTTCTTCTTATTTCTTCAAGGTAAACTTGAATGACATTTACTTGAACGACAACATTATACTTGCTGCGTCACATGTTTGTTAGCCCAATTTACTAGTTTGACGTTGATTGAAGAAATAAGATGCACAACCTTATGCGCGATTTCGTGACACAAAACATGTCCGAGATGTAGCTGGCGTTACCGTCAGCCTGTCCGAGAATTCCGAGATTTAGTTCAGCTCTGCGCCGCTGCGCGCTGTGTCGTTTACAGTGCAGAGGATAAATAATTCTGTACCATAGCAGTCCGTAGCTCTGCTTTCAGTCAACAGAGTGGATGGTTGCCTGAGAAAATGTTGCCAGAACTACGGATTAATCCGTAAATTTACGGATTTTGGATACAGTACGTTAATAATACGGAATTTCTATCAATGAACAAGTTGATATAATATTATATGATTAAACAAAGAACGGCGTCAGAGTTGGCTTGGAAAGGAAGATCGCTGTTACTTCAAATGTAAAATATTATGGTAAATGTCAATAATCGTCATTTCCAAGCAAAGTAAATGATTTTTTTCGTTCATACGAAATATTCAGTACCTATTAATGAATTTTTATTTTTGTTGTTCATTATGTTTAACACGAATACATTTTCAAAACATAAACGCGGATTTTTCATCCAAAGATATTTTCGTCAAACGTATTACAGATATTACATATTTTAATATGGTAACGCTGTCGCTTTCGGTTCCACACCGTCTTTGAAATGCTTTCGCTAGCCGAATTAGAGCACTTGAGACGTAAGGGGAAGTCAAATCAACCTTGTCACGAATTCGCCTATTAGGTTGCGTATCTTCCCAATTCTTTCAATCAACGCTAGCAGGTTAAGCCTGTTGTTCTACTCAAATGTACGGACTAGATCTAGTTGGCCCTGCAAAAACAAAGAATCACGAAAAAATTGGTTGAAACTACAGCAATCAAAACTCATTCGTGCAACTAATTATTTTGTTGCTTTCGGCTTCATCCGTTCATTTTCAGAGCGTACCATGAAATTTTGATGCTATTTTAGTTACACGAATGAGTTTTGATTGCTTTGGTTTCAACCTTTTCTTCCTGATTCTTTGTATTTTCTAAAAATACGATTTTGCCTGGACATAAGGCGTGCGAGCATTGAAGAGGAATTGACAGAGTACGTGAATTCTTTTGCCGAAACAACCCTGAGTAAAAAGGCGGACTTTATTTGGTAGAAAAAAAGTTATACATAATATTCCATACTGTTCCGATTATCAAACCAGTATTCTATAAAATCCCTAGGGGATGTATATAATATAATTTGTTTCATACAATGCCTGATCGTTTTCGGAATTTTATACTAGAAATTCTATACAATGTCGGATTTCAAACTTTGCCGGCAACATATCCAGTGTGAGTCTTAAATTAGTGCAAATATTTTCAGGTCTGGTAGATCTCGATAAACGTATTTTCTCTTTACCGTTTTTCAAATAAATCCAAAGTAACCGAAATATTCAAGTTTGAAATTTAAAAAAAATTGATTTATTTTTTAAAAATTTTGAGAGCCACCGGATTTTTTCTGTATTTACATCCCTTTTAGATAAGTGCCGTAACCATAAAGTAAAGATGTAACCATGACAGTGTATCAGAGATTAAGAAATTATACCGTGGGGAAAGTTGAAATTATACAGGAAAATTTAAAAGAAAATGCACGATTATTAAAAGTTTTCTGTAAGGTTAAATATAGACCGATTCTGCACTAATAGAAAAAAGCACATATTTTTACCCTGATTGCAATATTATATCCCAGTAACGGAGATCCTCCATCCCATTCTGGGATTCCCCATTCTACAACTATTGCATTTGGTCCAATTGTCCTTATTTCTAATGGAGCTGTAGGTGGTGATGGTACAGCTACAAAAAAAAATTAAATCAATCATCTCTTACACATGATATCCCAAAAAACTCAAAGCGTTTCAAAGACAACAAATTCTATTTAAAATGTACAGAACTGCTTACTTGCTAGTGTTCTCATTTGTACCAACTCAGAATGAGCCGGAGCACTCAATCCTATCGCGTTTTCTGCAAACACTCTGAAAACATAGTCGCTCTTTTCTTTCAAGTTTTCGAATGTGTATTCTAAGGTAAACGGTTCGAGGGTGTAGACTTTCTCCCATTTTGGCATGTACTCTAGTTTCTTTTCTACGATGTACCCAGTGATTTCACTGCCACCATCGTACTCTGGAGGTTCCCAAGTCATTGTTGCGCTTCGGCTAGTCAGGTCCTTTATCTTGACGTTTATTGGAGGTGAAGGTGGTGCTAGATTTCAAACAAACGTATTAGAATTAGTTTTACAAGAACAAAAAATATACAAAAAAACACAGCAAAGCAGGGGTCTGATAAATACAGTAGATTTGTCCTACTCTAAAATGCAGTTTTTGAAACGAGTGTTTTATTATTAATAAAAGAGGGATAATACGGTCCAAGTACACTTAGGGTGGCTGCAACGACATCCCGTAATCCTGCTGCTAAACCTTAACAGCTGGTTTTTTTATATATAAAAGCGCGTCGTCGCCGTCGCGCGTCGTTGCGGCCATCCTTAGTTGCTGCCATATAACTGTACTTATAATAATGCTGTGTGGCGTCTCACTTGTACGCTGCTTGTAAATATAGTATTGACTGTTTTATCCAAGACGAGATGGAAGGCTTTTTAACATAAAAAGAAGTAGGCTGGCTGACAACTTACTTGGATGCTACGAAACTCGACTTTGATGAAACAGTATAAAAATGAGACGCGCGCAACACCCATAGAAGTATATTTATATGGTAGCTTCTCGTTGACCATCTCAACCAGGCTTAGTGCGATGCCACACAGGAGGCGTAGAACCTTGCGAAGCGTAGAACGGAGAGGACCGCGAAGCGTTTAAATGCATTGAAGTAAAGTAAATGGAAGTGGCCCCACATAAAGGCGAGGCATATTGCGGATTGGCGAGTATTTTACTATTGGTCCGCTCCGCTCCGCTCTACGCGTATGATGAAAGCCCAGTATGACCATAGTTGGTTATACCATAGTTGGGCCACGGCCTTAAAGAACATTTGGGTGTAAAGTTTTACAATAAATAACAGATGTAGTATAATGTTTATACTATCTTACAAAACAATAAACGTTGAACAGCACAATAATTTCTGACAGAAAATTGAAAGCACTTACTTCTGTGCACAGCTTGAGCAGGCGGGAATATGCCAAGCAAGCAATACATGGTTTCATCAGTTTTAGCAAAGTGATATTCGATTCCTGTTTAAAGAGCAAGAAAGCATATTAAGCACAAATAAAGCAAGATGTTAGACATAAGCAACATTTGATATCTACAATATTCTAGAAAAATTGCCATTTTTACAAAACACTTTTAAATATATATATTTTTTATATTCAAAAGCTTTTTTTGTTCTGTAGTGTTTTGTTTCAGTCATAGTAAATTAACAATTATAAATAGTGATGAGCAAGACTGGTTTTAGTAGAAAATGGGCCTACATCACAACTATTACAGACTGTTAATTTTAAAAGTGACAATCGGAAATATCTCTAAGACAAAAAAATATTAGGAAAATCTCAAATACATATCAGGGATTGGACTGGGAACATTGGTCTCATTGATAATTATTTGAAATTTTTATGACAAAAATTATAGTGCAAAAGAAAGCCATAGGACTAGTTTTTAAAATTGTTTCTTAAATTTCAACACCGATATTTTGGTACGATTTAAGATTTATAAGGCTATAAAGAGAAAGCAATTAGCTTTTCAACAATGTGCATCAGAAGATTTTCTTGATAGATAGTATTCAAAGTCTAAGAGATTTCCTCGATTGCTACCTATCACCCTTCAAACATTAATAAGAACAGATATTTTATATACTTACTAATTCTGGATCCAGCAATAATACCTTCTTCCGGACAGTAAGGATCACTTGTCCCTATGGCATTTTTCGCGTAAATTCTGAACAAATATTCTTTTCCTTTCTTCAGTTCACTCACTGCTATATCAGTGATATGACCCTTGGTTGATCCTATCTTCTTAAACTCCTTCTTAGATTTCGCCTCTTTCATTTCAACGATATACTCGAGGATAGGCGAATTTCCTTCATCTTCTGGAGGCTGCCATTGGATAGTAAACGATTGGTCAGTCATTCCAGACACTCCCAGAGGACCTCTTGGTGGACTAGGTCTGTCACCCACCTTAAGCCTAGATGAAGTTTTCAGGTCATACTTTTCAACAACGCAACTATAATCGTACTGGTCTTTCATAGTGACTTTATGCACAACCAGTTTCCTAAAGGTTTTGTTTTTAGTGATAATGTATTTTGAACCTTCTTCGATCTTGGTTCCTTTCCTGAACCAAGTTACTTCAACGTCTTCTCTGGAGAGCTCAACCTCGAATTCTGCATCTGTTTTGATTGGAACGACTGTTTCTTCTGGTAAAGGTTTGATCCAGGAACATGAAGGTACGTTTACGGTGAGAGTGGCGCTGGAAGTTTGCTCACCAACCTTGCAAGTGTAGGATCCTTCATCATCAGGCTCGCACTTGTATATCTTCAGTTTCTGAGTCTTTCCGTCGATTGATAATTGAATGTGTTCAGAAAATTGGATTTCTTTACCGTTCTTATACCATTTTGCAAGAGCATCGCCTTTGGATAGTTCTACTTCGAAGACAGCCTTCTCGCCTTTGGTTACGGTCTTGTCTTGAAGAGGTCTGATGATCTCTGGCGGAAGCTCAATGACAGAAATATCCGCTTTACACTCTTCGTCGATGAGTTTACAAGAATACTCACCCTCATCATGAATCGAGGTGGATCTAATAAGAAGTTTCCTGATTCCTCTCGTTTTTTCAGTCTCAAATTTGTCATCAGTCTCGTTAAGAGGAACTCCGTCCTTAAGCCAGACGACATCGGCAGTGTCTGACGTTATTTCCACTTCCAGGATAGCGACATCTTTTTCTGTCACTTCGAGATCCTGAAGTTTCTTAACGAATTCCAGTTTGCGTTGTTGGACTTTAACCGTTGTTTCAGTCTTTTGATTTTTAACAGTACATTTGTAGTTGCCTTCATCGTTTTGAGAGATGTTTTTGATGATGAGTTTATGAGTTCTGCCATCATGGATAACAACGCGATGGTCCATTCCGCTGATCTCTGTATCATTGTACCACCATTTCGTTCTAACAGAGTGGGAAGTTTCGCATTCGAGTTCAATAGTTTCCCTCTCAAAGGTTTCATAAGTTTTCTGTAGTTTTTTAGTGAACTTAACAGTATCGACTTCAACGTTGACTGAAGCTCCGTGGGAAGCTCTTCCCATAGAGTTTGTAGCGATACATTTATAAACTCCTGAGTCGAGTTCAGAATTGGTTTCTTTGATAGTAAGTTCGATATTTTCTCTGTCGTACAATATTCTCACTCTGTCTGATGATTCTAAGGGTTGGTTGTTGAGTAACCAAGTAATTTCTGGTACAGGGTTTCCAGATACTTTAGCTCTTAATATCAAGGGAGTCTTTTCAGGAATGTTTTGTTCTTCGAATCGTTTTACGAAGAGTGGTGGTTCTGCATTGTCTGGGAATTCTATAAATTATAAGAAAACCTAAGTTTTTTCTGTGTCATTCTAATTTTTGTTTTGTAATTTTAACTTTTTCTTCATATTACTATTAATTGATTGTTTGTTATTTTTAAAGTTTTTTTCGGTTCGTAAATCGTAAATCCTTTGGTTAATTATATTATATAGAAAAAGTTAATATTACTAAATTAAAGCCAAGAAAAAGAGAAAAGTTAGTGCTGTCTACTTAAATGAAACACTATTACTTTCTAATATATTTATTATAACTACAATATTCCGAAGAAGCCTAGAAGCAATATTTGTAAGTTGCAGCGATGAAAATATATCAGTAAAAGCAGTAGAACCTAAAAGCAGTAAATCAGATATAAAAATTAGTAAGCAACAACAAATATAAACTAGTTTTAAACCTACCTTGAACGGTAATGGTAGCTGACGTTTCAGCTGATCCCAGCGGATTTCTAGCTTTGACCGTATATTCTGCAGTATCGTCAGGCTGAGCTGTGTCAATTGTGACAACGTAAGTATCTCCATTTCTCTTAGGCGACTGATCTAAGGGTTTTCCGTTTTTAAACCACTGTATAGCTGGTTCAGGATTACCCACAATAGTCGTTGTGAGAGTGATAGGTTCGCCTTTTCTCACTGTGGTTGATTGGAGAGGTTGTATTATCTCTGGTGGTTCCTGTTCTGAAGTTCTAACGCGCAGGGTAAACTCAACACTTGCCTGCCCTTCACTATTCTTAGCCACAATCCTATACTTTCCTTCTTGTTTCTTAGTGATTTTCGTTATCTTGATCTTAGTAGTGTACATGTAGTTCTCCGAGGTCTCAGTTAAGGTGATATTTTCCTTAGTAGACACCCGTTTTTCGTTTCTGTACCATTTTATCATGGGTTCAGGTATAGCTGCCAAAACTGCATCTATTTCAACGTCAGTGTTCTCAGGTACACTCTGAGTCTTGGGTTTCTTAGCAAACACTGGAGGCATACCTTCAATAATGTCGGCCAAGGAAGATGTTCTGGAAAGGCTCTTTCTGGATACAGAATGAGTTCTTTCCGATCCGTGGGATGACAGGGGTCCTTCAACTGTCAATTCAGCTGTACTCGAAGCGAATCCAGCTGAATTTTTCGCTACGCAAGTGAAAGTACCGGCGTCTTCTGGAAATACTTCGTTGATCACTAGTCTAACGACATTTTCTTCTGTGTAGTACATTTGGAAATCGACAGATTCCTTGATAATGTGAGTTTGGCGGAACCAGGTTATTTGAGGTCTTGGATAACCTTCGACCTTGCACTCAAATGTAACGGAAAAACCATCTTGGGTTGTGATTGGTTTTAGTTTTTCTAGGAATTTTGGAGCTCGTGGTTTCTCTTGTGATTTTGGCTCTGAAAATGGATTATTTTAAGAAAAGTTTCAATTGCGAGAGATTTATATGTTAAAATAATTGTCTTTTATAAATAAAAACATAAATATAAATATTTAAATTTTTCTCACAAGATCAGTGATTTCCATCAGTGTTTCTATTCAAACTAAACAATTTCGACTTGCATTAATTATTTATACTTACAAAATGTTTCGACCAGATGTCTCACTGGCCGTTATCAAGTGTCAACTAATCTAAATCCTAAAATTACTGAACTAATACACTAGCATTCATCTTTAAAGTTGGGTGCAGTTAAACATGATGTGGTCCATTGAGAATACGCGCATAGTGTCGTGTTTTATAAGTTGTTGCCATATTGTGGAAATTTCCACACTTGGATGGATAAAGATATTATATTGCTAGATATGAATACAGATTATTTAAATTTACACTGTTTCTAATGACGTTCCTTGTGGAAAACACAGGCTTCAGACTATTTTTTGTTGTGGTGCTTGAACCACACGTGATCTGCAATACCTATAACTTCATTTTTTTCACTTCTTTGCATATATTTTTATGTCCGATAAGTCGTACGTATACAGGACGTTTTGCCCCTCCAATATACGACTCACCGCACTCGCAAGATACACGATATATACACTCTTTTTCTTCTTTTTCTTGTTTTCTTGATTCCGGTTTTGTTTTTAAGACACTTCTTAAAGTATTCCCAGACTTAAGAACAGTTAATTAAATTAACTGTTTTTCAGTCTTTAATTAACTGTAATTAACAGTTTAATTTTTTTTTATACTGCTTGGCTATTCGCCTGAATTTTTTTGATGTTTCTTTCAAATATGGAATCATCAAGAGACAGAGAGAAAGAGAGAGAGAGAGAGAGAGTATCGTCCTCCGCGCCTTGCTGGTGCGCCAATGAGTCAGTTTTGCAGTTGGATATAATCTTGTCGAAGGATTTTGCAGATTTCACATCTGACCGAAACGTTATGTAAGTAAAAATAAATAAAGACAATGGAAGTTCGAAAATCTTTTAGATTCAAAATTGAATCACTGTCTACTACATTCAAAGAAATCAGTGTTGTTAGTCAAAAAGTTATTAATTTTGTATATTTTACATATACTTACAAATAAACATAAATTACAGTTACAAATAAAAAATAAATGAACTTACTTTCAAGTACGGGTAATTTGTCAATTTTCTCATTAAGTTTCTTCTGTACAAACTGGACGTATTGTGGTTCGTCCATAAGTATATTTGCAGGTACCCAACCACTGTCTTCGGTAAGATGTTTCTTAACAAACCACCATTCTCCTTGAGTTTCTACCACATAAACCTTTTCTCCTTCAACAAGATCACAAGCCTGATCAGCCTCGGCATCGTAGAATATAACCGAGTAGTACACATCGCCTTTTTGGACTTCTTCCTCATGGATAACAACGACTTTCTCTATTTCTTTTTCTTTGGTTATACTTAAAGACACCTCTTCTACAAAAAAATATATATTAGATTTAATTTAGCTATAAATAAATATTTCCTACCTGAGAGAGATACTGATTCACGCCTCTTTGGTTTAATCTTAAAGTCAATTTCCGCTTCTTCTCCATAGTCCTCCTTCTTTAGTGGCTTTTTCAAGCTAAGACTTACGTCCTCTTCATTCTCGTGCACCACAGAATATTTTCTCGAAGGTTTTCTCTTAAATGCCACGTGGAAGCTCTCAGATACTTCGTCATCATCCAATGGAAGCTCTTCAGCATCGCTTCCTTCGTCAATTATTTCCTCTATAGCAGGACCTTCACTCTCGACCTCTTCGATAATCTTCAAAGACTCTTCTGCAGCTTCCTCTCCAAAGGTAGGCTGTCTTTTCGGTTTTCTCAACTTAATTTTAGATGATAAACTAATTTCCTCCTCGGCATAGGAATCCAGGGAAATCTTGAACTCTTGTTCAACGTCCTCCTGGGTTTTGGAAAGTCGAGGTCTAAAGGTTACCGAAGGGATTTCTTCTTCTTTGATTTCTTCTTCGGGTTGAGAGGGTCTCCTGACGGGTTTCAAACGTTGGACTGTAAGCTCTTCAGCCGGTTCTTCCGTGGGTGGTTTTATGACCTTCTTTTTCTTAATCTTAATATCAGCGGCTTCTTCACTGGGAACCTCTTCGTGTTTCTTTGGAAGTTTGATCTCGGCTTCAACCTCAGGTTGTTCTTCGGTTTTTGCAGGTTTCTTCAAAATTACCGCTTCAGGAATTTCTTCCTCTTCGTCTGGTACAGGAACATATTTTTTGATGGATACTTCATCTTCACCTTCATCCTGTGGCTTCTTCGGAGGTTTCTTTTGTTTGATTGTTTCATCGACCTCTTCTACAGGAGGCTTAACGCTGACTTCTTCTTCTTCTTCCGGAACATATTTCTTTATTAACAGTTCCGCTTCTCCTTCATCTTTTACTTTCTTTGGTGGTTTCTTTCGTTTGATTGTTTCTTCAGCCTCTTCCTCTGGTTTTGGGAAAGTTACCTCCTCTTCTGGAGTAGGAACGTTTTTCTTTACCGATATTTCTGCGTCACCTTCATCTTCTAATTTCTTTGGCGGTTTCTTTTGTTTGATCGTTTCTTCAGTCACTTCCTCTGGTTTTGGGAAAGGTAACTCCTCTTCTGGAGTAGGAACGTATTTCTTTATCGATATTTCGGCTTCACCTTCATCCTCCGTTTTCTTAAGTGGTATCTTTTGCTTTATAGTTTCTTCAGCTTCTTCTTCCGGAGTAGGTTTTGGAATAGTTTCCTCCTCTTCAGGAGTTGGAACAAACTTCTTAATGGATATTTCGGCCTCACCTTCTTCCTTTCCCTTTTTCTTGGGTTTCTTTCGTTTTATTGTTTCAACAACTTCTTCCTCAACAGGTTTTTTGATACTAAGCACTGTTTCTTGTTCTTCCTCTTCAGTAGGTACAAATTTCTTTACCGTTACTTCATCTTGTTCCTCCTCTGCCGGTTTTTCTTTAGGTTTCTTGAGAACTATGTCCGCCTCTTCTTCAGAAGGAGGTGGCTTAACTGTTTCTTCGGTTTCTTCAACAAGATCTTCTTTTATAATTGGAATTGGTTTTTTAACTGTTACAGCCTCTTCAACTTCTTCTTCAGGTTTTGTTTCTGGACCAAATTCTGTTTTTTTAATTGTAATTTCAGCTTGATCTTCTTCAGGAACTTTCTTTTTCTTCTTTAGTTTCTTAATTTTAACATCAACTTCCTCTTGAACGACTTCCTTTTTAGGTAATCTAACTGTTTCTTCTTCATCTTCTTCTACAACAGGTTTAGGCTTAGGTTTAGATGGTATTTTAATATCTACACTAACATCTTCTTCAACATGTTCTTCCTCTGGAACTGGAACATGTTTTTTAACAGTTACTTGATCTTCACCCTCGTCTGGTTCTTGTTGTTTGGGTTTCGGTTTCGTAATTTTAATTTCCACTTCTTCTTCCACTTGTTCTTTCTTAGGAATCGTTACTTGTTCCTCATGTTCTTCCTCAGGAGTCTCAATAGGTACCTGCTTTTTAATAGATACTTTATATTCGTCATCTTTTGGTTTCTTCGGCTTCTTTTTTGGTTTTATAATTTCTTCAACAACCTCTTCCTTCTTTTCTTCAACAGGAACAAGCACTTTTACACTAACTTCAGAAACAGGTTCTTCAGGTTCTTCTGCGGTAACAATGGGTTTCTTAATCAAAATTTCAGCCTCACCTTCATCAGGTATTTTGTCTTTCTTCTTTGGCTTTTTAACAGAGACAGTTACTTCTTCACTATCAGGCTTTTCCTCAATTTTCGGTTCTTGTATAATAGTAAATTGAGCCTCCGTGTCAAGAGGTTCCGGTTTAGATTTTTCTTCTTGTGGTTTTATAACGACTTCGGATTTTACTTCTGGAATTTCTTCTTCCGGTTTGGGTTTAGGTATAGAGATTTTTTCCTCAACTTCAGGAGGTTTCTTTGCACTCTTTTTCTTTAACTTAACTACTTTTTCAGGAACATGTTCCTTTATTTCTTCTTCTTCTAGTGGTTCTTCAACGATGACCTCATCTTCTAATTCAGTTATTACTTCGTCATGTTCTTTTTCTATTGGTATTATATATTCTTCTTTAGGCTCTTCTATTATAGGTAATTCAGGAACAGATTCCGGAATTTCTTCAGGAGTTTCCTCTGATTCTATTTCTTCGATTGTTACTCCTTCGGGTTTCTCTTCTTTTTCCACAGGTTTTTCTTCCTGCGGTTTAGGCTTTTTGGGTTTGCGCTTTTTAACTACTACCTCCTCCTCAATAATTTCAATTCTCTCTTCAGGTTTAAGCGTTATCTCAATCTTCGCTTCTGTCTCTGCTTCTTCTACTTTAGACGGTTTCTTCTTAATTATAATGGTCTCAGCTTCAACCTCAGGTACCTCTTCTGGCCCTTTCAGTTGAATCTTTACTTCTTCAGTGGGTTGTTCATTCTCAACTTTAGGCTTTCTCTTCAGCACAACAACTTGTTCAGTTTCAACATCTTCAGGTGTTTCAGTAACTGGTTTTTCTTCCTCCGTGATAGATTCCCCTGGAACCGGCTTTTCTTCTGGTTTTTTAGCTTTAGGTTTGGTCTTCTTTTTCTTTTCTTTTATTTCGTCATCGGGATAAGGTTTAAAGTCAATTTCATCCTCTGGTCTTGGTATAATTTCTTTAGCTTCGATGGGTTGTGCGGGTTTGGATATAGTTACAACTTCCGATTCCTCTTCCTCTTCAGGCCGTTTAATAGGCTTAAGTTTGAATTCTTCAGGTTGTTCTTCTGGTTTAGGTTTTCTTGGAGCTTTAAGAACCACCTCTTCCTCTCCCTCTGGTTTAGATGGTTTCGGAATGCCTTTTTCTATTACTGTTTCGGGAATCTCTTCTTCGGGTTCCTCTTTCTTTTCGGGTTTCTTCTTAATTTTCTTCTCCTTTGGTTTTTTCTTGCCCGGTTCTTCTCTTTCAGGTGGTTCATAAGTATCTCTTTCAGTTTCTTCATGCTTGAATTCGAAAGGTTCAAACGGTGGTCTTTCGACTTCTCCCTTAGGTTCTTTTTCTTCTGTATCTTTTTCCTCTGGTTTTAACGATTTTTCCTTTACTATATCCTCTGGAACAATCTCTTCTTTTTTAGTAGGTCGTTTTTTCAAAGTTACAGTATCTTCTGTTTCATCTTCTTTAGGTGGTCCTTTACCTTTGCGTATTTTTATTTCTATAGGCTCCGCTTGTTCTTCTTCAGGTTTAGCTTTAGGCTTTCTCTCGTACTTGTACGCATCGTCCACTTTCTCTGGCTCATTCTTCTTCATTTCTTCAAATTCGAGATCGAGTTTTTCAAGGTCCGTAAGTTCTTTATCGACGTCCTTGAATTTCTTAGGTTTCTTCTTTTTGATCTTTTCGGCCTCCTCAACATTTCGAGAGATCACGCCATTTTCTTTAATCGCACCTATTATTGTAATCTTTAATGGTTGAAGTACCTCGTTCATTGGTGGGAAATCAACCCAATTGATTCGGCTTTTTAGTTTAAGTTTCGGAACTTTGAGTTCGGTTGGTTCTTTGGCTTCGGGCTTAACCGAAGGTTTCTTCAACTTAATCTCGGCCAAGTTAACCACTTCCGGCGTTAAATCGACCACTTTGGCTTTTTGTGGTTTCACTTCGACCTTTACGATTTTCATTAAGACGGGCTTCTCTTTTTTAGGCTTTACTGGCCGTTTTCTGAACTCGTCATCAACTGTCTCACGAGCTTTCTTCAGTTCATCTAATTCTTGTTCAATCTTTTCAAGGTTTGATTCAACAGGCTGTTTCTTCTTTTTCTTAGGTTTAAGTTTGACGGCTTCTTCGACATTCCGTGAAATAATGCCATTGTCTCTGATAACAGGTTCCAACAACGAAATGAGCGGTTTCTTTTCGATTTCAGAAAGCGGTGGAAAATCAACGTATACTATCCTGCTTTTCAATCTTAATCCCAATCCTTCGGGCTTTTTGGCTTCAGGCTTAGCAGGAACTTTCTTCCTTTTAGTCTCGTCTGGTTTCTTGATTAATTTACCTTCTTCAGGTTTCGGTGTTATCTCTCCAACGACCTCTGTGTCAGTTTCTTCTTCCGGTTTTTCGAAAGGCTTTAATTTTATTTCTTCTGTTTCGGTTTCAGGTCTAGGTTTTTTAGGTACTTTAACTTTCTTTTCAACTGGCACCTCTTCTTCGGGTATCTTAGGAACACCTTTCTCCAGAATAGTTTCTTCAGTTTCTGGCACAGGTTTCTTCTTTTCTTTCTTTTTATATGGTAATTTAACCTCGACTTCTTCTTCTTTTTCTTCTTCTGGAGCTTCAGGAGCCTCGTATTTTAATAATTCCGGTTCTTCTCGTTCAGTATCAAACGGTTCAAGCTTCGGTGCCTCAATGGAATCATCTGTTTTCTTTTTGGTTACTTTCTTCGGTTTAGGCTCTTCCGTTTTCTTTTCTTTTACTGTAGGTTCTTCAGTATCTCTAGGTACTTCTGGAACCTTTTTCAATTTGATATCTTCCTTGTCCTCTACATCTTCAGGTAGTTTACCTTTTCCAATTTTAATTCCAGGAGTTTCTTCAGGTTTTTCAGGTTTCTCTTTAGGTTTCTTGTCAAACTTGAGCGGTTCTTCCATTTTTTCGAGGTCTCGTTTTTTCTGTTCTTCATATTCCAGGTCTAACGTCTCTAAATCTGTTATATGTTTATCGATATCCTTCGGTTTCTTGATTTTAGTCTTTTTGATTTTACGCGCCTCTTCGACATTCCTTGATAAAATACCGTTGTCTCTTACGACAGGTTCTAGGTCCATAATTTTGGGTATACGTTCGATTTCATCCTCAGGTGGAAATTTAACATGAGTGATTCTGCTCTTCAATCGAGGGATTTTATCTTTCTTCTCTTCTTTTTTAGGAAGCGGTCGTTTTGGTTTCTTGACCTTAGTCTCAGGAACTTCGGAAACTTCAAGTATATCCGGTTCTTTCTTTACTTCGATTGGTTCTACTTTTTCCTCATGAGATACCTTTTCTTCAACCTCTTCCTTAGGTTGATCTTCGATTTGTTCTTCAGGTTTCTCTAAAGGTTTCTCTTTAGGAATTCTCTTCTTGATTTTCTTAACTTTTGTTTCTTCTTCAATAATTTCTTCAGTTATTTCTTCTGGCGTTTCTTTTGGAGCTTCTTCTAAGATTTCGGCTTCTTTCTCTTCAGGTTTCTTAGGAACCTTCTTTTTAATTTTCTTCGTAATCTCCTCAGTAACTTCTGTAGGTTCTTCTAAATGTTTCCCTTCGGTAACTGTTTTTAATTCTTCCTCTGTATCTATTGGAGCTAATTCTTCCGTGATCTCTTCGGGTAATTCTTCTACAGTTGCTTCAATTTTAGGTACGTCCTCTTCAGTGATTTCATGTTTTGAATCTTTTCGCTTGACCTTTTTAATAATTTTCTTCTTTTTGACTTTATCCTTTTCTTTCTCTTCATCTGGACTAATTTCCATTTCGATATCAGGACCTTCGAAAGTAATAATAGCATCGTGCTTCATTACAGTCTCACCTTCGACTTTAAATTCCTGATCTTCTGCTTGTTTTTTGAAAGGTTTTAGTTTAATTTCTTCTGGAGCCTCTTCGGGTTTGGGCTTTCTAGGGGCCTTCAAAACTACACTCTCTTCTTCTTCAGGTGCTGGCTTTTTAGGTTCTCCTTTCTGTAAAGTCGTTTCTTCGGTTTCAGGAACAGGTTTTACTTTCTTCTTTGGTTTGTATTTTGGTTTTTCCTTTCCAGGTTGTTCTTCTTCTTCTTCCGGATATTCGGGAGGCTGATACTCGAGTTTGTCCGTTTCATCTTGAGGTATATCGAAGGGTTTTAGGACTGGTTTATCGACGGTCTTTTCCGGTTTCTCTTCTTTTGGAGTTTTCTTCTCCACCGATTGCGGTTTCAATTTCACTTCTTCATGGGCTTCTTCCGTTTCGGCTTTTCTCGGAGACTTTTTCAGCGTTACCCGTTCCGGTTCTTCTTCGGCTGGAGGCATTTTACCTTTACCAATTTTGATTTCTACCGGCTTTTCTCCCTCAGGTTCGGGCTTTTTCTTCGGTTCCCGTTGATGTCTGAAAGCTTCGTCGACCTTTTCTAATTCTGTCTTTTTGATCTCGTCAAATTCAAGATCGAGTTTTTCCAGAGGAGTGATATCTTTCTCGATATCCTTTAGCTTCCTTCTCTTTGTCTTTCTAACTTTCTCCGCTTCTTCGACATTACGAGATATGATGCCGTTGTCTTTGACAACCCCGATAACGGTAACTTTCAGAGGTTGAAGTACTTCATTTAGAGGTGGAAAATCTACCCAAACGATTCGACTTTTTAATCGGAGTTTAGGTACGATAAGTTGAGTAGGTTCTTTAACGCCAGCTGTCTTTGGTTTTCGCAGTTTTATCTCTGCTAGATTTACAACAGGAGTCAAATCGACAACTTTTCCTTTTTGAGGAAGGTGTTCTATTACGACAATTTTCATTAAAACAGGTTTTTCCTTTTTAGGTTTTTCCTTTCTCTTTCTATATTCGTCATCGACTTCTTCTAAAGGCTTCTTGAGTTCTTCAAATTCTTTGTCGATTTTCTCGAGGTCTTTATTTCTAGTGACCAGCTTTTTCTTTTTCGGTTTGACAGTCTTTGCTTCGTCTACGTTTCGAGATACTATTCCGTTGTCTCTATAAACCGGTTCTAGAGTTGTTATTAAAGGTTTCTGTTCTTTTTGTTCGATAGGAGGAAATTCGATGATCTGCAGTTTAGATTTAAGCCTGAATTTGGGGACCGTAACTTCGGATACAGGAGCTTTCTGTGTAGCTTTCGGCTTCTTTAATTTAATTTCAGCAAATTCGGGTTTAACTTCAGATATGACAGGTTTTATTGGTTTATCTACAGGTATACGTTTGATAGTCAGTTTTCTTAATTTCACTTTTTCTAGTTCAGGAACCTGTTCTTCTTCTAGTTGTTTCTTTACCTTCTTTACTTTCTTTTTTGGTTTTTCTTCTGGCTTAGCCTCTTCAGGCACCTCTTCCGGCATAATTTCTTCTTCGATAGATACCTCTTCTATAGGTAAAGCCTCTTCTGGTTCAGCTGGTGTAATAATGTCTTCTTCTAGTACCTCTTCTTCTGTCTTTTTCTCTTTGGGTTTTTTAATTTTCTTTATAATTTTCTTTTTGGTTTTAGTAACCTCTGTATCTCTTTCGGGAGACAGTTCATATTCCTCCTCTGGACCTTCAAATGTAATAATAGCATCATGCTTCATAACGGTATCTGCTTCAACTTTGTATTCTTTGTCCTCCTCTTCTTTTTTATGAGGTTTTAATTTAATTTCTTCTCCATCGCCTTCTGGCTTAGGTTTACGTTTCTTTTTCAATCCAATGCCAGGAATTTCTTCTTCTTCCTTTGGTTTAGGTACGCCAGGAACTAGTTCGTCCTCGATAGTTTCAGATGCGGGCTTTTCCTTTTTCTTTTTAGGCTTTTTAGGTTTATCTTTTTCTACAGTTTCTTCGTCCTCTTCTTCAGGTTTAGGTAGTTCTAATGTCTCTTTTTCTGGTGATTCGTGATCGATATCGTAAGGCTCAAAAGGCGTTCTTTCAGGAGATTCCTCTTGTTTTGTTTTAGGAACTCTCTTTTCTTTCTTCTCTTTCTTTGGTATTTTTGCCTTTTCTGGTTGCTCAATACTCTCGGGCTTTTCTGGAATTTTCTTTAAAGTAACTTCTTCGTCAGGTCCAGGTTGTTCAGGTAAATTTCCTTTGCCAATTTTAAGTTTCTTTTCTTCCTCTTTAGGTTTTTCAGGTTTTTGTTTCTCCGGTTTAATAAAGAGATCTTTGTCAAGGGTCTCCTTTTCTTTTTTCTGAAGCTCTTCAACTTCTAAATCTAATTTTTCTAAATCTTTTAGATCTTTTTCGTAATCTTTCACCTTAATTTTCTTCTTCTTAGGTAATTTTTTAGCTTCTTCCAGATTACGTGACAAAACCCCGCTATCTCGATAAACAGGGGGCAATTCAGTAATCTGAGGTAATCTCTCAGATTCTTCTTGTGGTGGGAATGGTACGTGTGTTATTCTGCTTTTCAGTCTTGGTATCTTATCTTTCTTAACCTCTTTAATTGGTAAAGGTTTCCTGACTTTCTTAGGTTTCTCTTCAACTTTTTCCTCTATCAATTCTTTTACCTTTTTAGGTTTTCGTGCTGGAATCTCCTTTTCTTCTACTGACAATTCTTCTTCTTGTGGAGCTTCAGTAGGAAGTTCGGGTATTTCTTCTTCCTCGGGTACCTCTTCGACAGGAACTTCTTCAGTAACTTCCTTGTCTTTCTTCTTTATAATCTTTTTCTTAATAATTCGTTTCTTCTTTTCTGGGGTTTCATCTTCGGTGGCTTCTGGCTGTATAACTTCCTCCTCAACAATTTCTGGTTGATATTCAGGCGTTTTAGGCTGTTCTTCTACCACAACAGCTGTAATGTCTTCTGGCATTTTCTCATCCTTTACTTCCTCTAGTAATATATCCTCAACGACAGTTTCCTGAGGTTCGATAGTTTCTTCCAGTAGATCCTCTTTAGATCCTTTACGTTTAACCTTTTTAATAATTTTCTTTTTCTTTGGTTTTTCTTTTTCTTGATCTTCATCTGGTTTTATACTCATATCGATATCTTCACCTTCGAAAGAGACAATGGTATCATGTTTCATAACCCTGTCTACAACAACCTTAAATTCTTCGTCTTCGACTTCTTTTCTATGTGGTTTTAACTTAATTTCTTCTGGAGGTTCTTCAGGTTTAGGTTTTTGTTTGTATTTTAAAGTAACTTCTGGCTCTTCAATTTCATCTTCTGGTTTAGGTTTTCCAGTTTCTAAAGTAGATTCTTCGAATTCAGGAGTAGGTTTTTCTTTCTTCTTCTTCACTATTTTAACCTTCTCCTTCTTGGGTTTTTCTTTCTCTTTGTCTTCAGGAACACTGGGTACATATTCTTCTAGTTCTGGTTCTTCATGGTCGATATCGTAAGGTTCAAATTTAATCTTGTCGCTCTCTACCTTTGGAATCTTTTTAGTTTTCGGTTTTTCAAGAGTTTCCTTTTTAACTGGTTTTAAGGTCCGTTGTAACTCTTCTTCTTCAATTTTCTTGGGTATTTTCTTGAGAGTGACATCTTCCTCAATACTTTCTTCTTTGGGAATTTGTCCTTTTCCAATTTGTAACTTTTTCGGTTCGTCCTTTGATATCGACTTTCTTTTTGGTTGTTGTTTTTGCTTGTACTCCTCATCAACCTTTTCGGGCTCTTTCTTTTTCAGTTCTTCCATTTCAAGATCCAGTTGTTCAAGTTGTTTGTTAATAACATCTTTATCTCTAAGCCTTCGGCGTTTGGTCTTGGGTATCTTTTCAGCTTCTTTAATATTTCTAGATAAAACGCCATTATCTTTATAAACAGGTTCAAGAAGTGAAATTCTTGGCAGAGTAAATTGCTCTGTTATTGGTGGAAAATCGATATGTCGTATTCTACTTTTGAGACGTGGAATTTGCACCTTACTAGGGGCATCTTTTCTTTCTACAGGTTTCTTTGGTTTCCGTAGCTTAATTTCACCAAATAGTGGAACATCTTTAGCTTCAACAATTTTAACTTTTTGGAATTTAACTTCTTTTATTTCCAGAGGTACAAGGACAGATAGCTCCCTTCTAAGTTGTTTGGGCTTGCCTTCTTTCGGTTTCTTTTTAACTTTCTTTTCGGTAGGTACTTTAGGCACTTCCTCTACAGTAACAGTTGTTTGAGGCTGTTCACCCTCCTCTTCAATTACAACAATTTCTGTCACTTCTTCTTTTTCACCTTTCGGTTTCTTAATTACACGTTTTTTGACTATTCTCTTTTTAGGTTTGCCTTCTTCGTTAACAATGATTTGCTCTTCAACCTCTTGAGGTAATTCGTGGATATAAGTCAATGTGACATCTAATGGTTTTGGAGAGAGTGCCTCTTTAACTGTCTCTTCTGGTATATCAAATTCCTCGACAGTGATTGTAGTCCTAGGTTTTTTACCTTCCTCTTCGACGACAACTATTTCCGTTTGCTCTTCTTTATCACCTTTTTTCTTCTTGTATATTTTCTTTTTTATCACTTCCTTCTTCTTGCCTTCTGGAGTGATTTTCTCAATAACTTTAACTTCTTCGGGTGCTTCAGTAATTTCGATGGTGGGAATTTTAGGAAATTCTTCCAAAGGTACCTGAGTTTCTTCAATTGTAATAGTCGTTAAGGGTTCTTTACCCTCTTCTTCAACCACTACAATAAGCGTATCTTCTTGCTTGCTTCCCTTGCGTTTTCTAATAACTCGCTTTTTGGTTGTTTTCTGTTTAGGACCCCATCTACCTTTAACCTCTTCCACATTCACTTCTTCGGGTAGTTCTTCGATGTAAACAGGAATTTCTTTTTCTTGAGGCTTCTCTTCGATTGGTACCTCTTCAATTGTAATCGACGTTTGAGGTTTCTTACCTACCTCTTCAACAGTTACAATTTGTGTGATCTCTTCCTTATCTCCCTTCTTCTTCTTAATAGTCCTCTTTTTGGTTGTTTTTGTCGGACCAGTTTCATCCTCAACAATTTGAATCTCCTCGGGAAGTTCCTCTATGATAACGGGTTTACCGAATGTTTCTTCAATTTCGTCTGCTTTTTCAACGTGCTTTCTAGAAACTTTCTTCTTTATTATCTTCTTCTTGGGTCCTTCTTGGACAGTTGTCTCGCTAATATCAACTATTTCAGGTAATTCTTCAATGAATACGGGTTCTATCAATTCTATAGAGGGGATAGGAAGTTCCTTGACGATATGTTCAGGGATTTCAATTTCCTCGATAACAACAGATGTTTCCGGTTTTTTACCCTCTTCTTCTACAGTAACAGTTAAGATGGATTCCTGTTTGCTACCCTTACGTTTTTTAATTACTTTTCTTTTTACAGTTCGCTTATCTTCAACAACAACCTCCTCTGGAAGTTCTTGTATAATTATTGGCTGTTCATATTCAACAGCTGGGAGACCTAAGACTACAGATTCTGGTATATCGATTTCTTCAATTACAACGCTTGTTTCAGGTGCCTTGCCCTCTTCCTCTCGAACGATGACTTCAGTCGATTCTTGTTTACTGCCCTTGCGTTTTTTAATAACCCTTTTCTTTGTAATTACTTTTTTAGGCCCTTCAGCGGTTTCTACTTGCACTATTTCGGTTTGTTCGGGTACCTCCTCAATAATAACCGTTTGTTCGAACTCTTCGGGTACTTGGTCTTCTGGTACATCAAGTTCTTCAATCACAACTGAAGTTAGCGGTTCTTTTCCTTCTTCTTCTACTGTAAATATTTGAGTAACCTCTTCTTTTTTACCCTTTTTGGTTTTAATAACACGTTTTTTAACGATTTTCTTTTGATCACCTTCGGTTATTATTTGTATTTCTTCAGGAAGTTCGTGAGCAATAACCGGTTGTTCGACATGCTCCTTAGATTTTTTAGTCACTTTCTTTTTAACGATTTTTTCTTTAGGTCCTTCTATAACCTGCACTTCATTAATTTCGACTTTTTCAGATTGTTCTTCGACAAACACTGGTTTCTTAGATTTTTTCTTTGGAATTGACAAGTCTTCTAGTACATCTTCAGGTATATCGATTTCTTCAATAGTCACCGAAGTTTCCGGTTTTTTACCTTCTTCAATGACAGTGACATACTCTGTCACTTCTTGTTTGCTGCCCTTTCGTTTCTTTGTAACTTTCTTCTTTATTGTCTTATGTTTGTCAACGACTTGCACTTCTTCAGGAAGTTCTTGTATAATTACTGGTTCTTCAACAAATGATACTTCAGGTAAGGTTTCCAAAACATCTTCTGGAATGTCTATTTCTTCGATCATTACTGAAGTTTGAGGTCTTTTTCCCTCTTCTTCTCTCACAATAATTTCTGTAGTTTCTTGTTTGCTACCTTTACGTTTTCTGATGACTTTCTTCCTGGTAACAATCTCTTTGGGACCTTCGTATGTTTGGACTATTTCTGTGTGAATTTGATCAGGCACTTCCTCTATTACCACTGTATGTTCTGGTTGAATTTCCGGAAGATCTTTAACTAAATATTCAGGATAATCTATTTCCTCTATAATTACACTGGTTAAGGGTTCTTTTCCTTCTTCTTCTACAGTGAAAATCTGTGTTACTTCATGCTTACTACCCTTTCTTTTACGTATGGTTCGTTTTTTAATGATTTTGTCAGGTTTGTCCTCTTCAGACACTACGTGAATCTCTTCCGGTAATTCTTCTGCTACAACAATCTCAGGTACTTTCTCTTCTATTACTTCCTGTCTTTCCTCCTTTTTGACGACCTTCTTTTTAACTACTTTTCTAGCTGGGCCTTCCTTAACCACTACATCAGAAACATCAACCTTTGGGAGTACATCTTCTATAAACACCGGTTTTTTCGATTTTAATTTAGGCAAACTAAGTTCCTCCACTATTTCGTCTGGCAAATCAAACTCTTCTATTACTACTGAAGTTTTTGGTCGTTTACCCTCTTCCTCCACAACAAAAACCTTTTCCGTTTCTTGTTTGCTCCCTTTTCTAGTTTTAATAATTTTCTTTTTAATAATCTTTTTCTTTTTGTCATCTTCATAGATTTGTTCTTCCTCTGGCCATTCCTGGATTATGACAGGCTCTTCTTCTAATATAGGTAGTTGTTTTACATCTTCCTCAGGAAGATCTAGTTCTTCAATTGTTACTGTAGTTTGTGGTGCTTTACCCTCTTCTTCAACCACAGTAAGCTCTGTGGTTTCCTGTTTACTGCCTCGTCTCCTTTTAATTATTTTCTTTTTAATAACTTTCTTCTTTGAGCCTTCCGATGTTAAAGTTTCTACTACTTGGACGGTTTCAGGAACATCTTCGATTATAACCGCTCTGTCAGGTATAACTTCAGGTATTTGATCAAGTTCATCTTCGGGTAGTTCAACTTCATCTATAGTGACGGTAGTTTGAGGCTTCTTCCCTTCTTCTTCAGTTGTTACTATGTGAACTGTTTCTTGTTTACTGCCCTTACGCCTTTTAATAACTCTCTTTTTAGTTATTTTTGTCTCTGGAATACCTTCTTCGTTAATTGTTTCCTCTACAAGAATTTCTTCAGGAGCTTCTTCAGCAAATGTTGGCTGTTCTTGTTCAATTTCAACAACTTTTTCTTTCTTCTTCTTTATTATCTTCTTAACCTTTTTCTTTGTAACTTCTTTCTGTTCTTCTTCTTCTTCCTCCATAGGTACATGTTCCGGAACCTGTTTTGCTAAAGCCATTTTAATAAACTCCATTTGAATCATATCTTCAACGCCCTCTGGTTTAACTTTGTCTTGCATTAAAGAAGGCACAATGAGATAGCCTTCGTCGGATATTAAACTTTCTTCTGCCTTTTTAGGTTTCTTCGCCTTTTTGGGTTTCTTTATGGTTTCTTCCTCAACAGTCTCTACTTCCCTAACAACTACCGTGGTTTCTGGTTGTTTGCCTTCTTCAACTATCGTGAGAATCTCAGTTTCCTCCTGCTTGCTACCCTTGCATTTCTTGTAGACCTTCTTCTTTATAACTTTCTTCTTAGGACCTTCGAGTGTGTCAACATGTGTTACGATAACCTGTTCAGGTGTTTCTTCAACGATATCAGCTTTAGCTGTGTCAACTTTTGGTAGTTGAGTAATTTGTTCTTCTGGAATAACTTTTTCTTCAATTGTGACGGTTATTTGTGGTTTCTTACCTTCCTCTTCTACAGTAACGATGTGGGTTTCTTCCTCTTTGCTACCCTTTCTCTTTTTAATAACTCGCTTCTTGGTGATTTTCTTTTTGGGACCCCAGCGACCCTTGATTTCTTCAACTTCGACTTGTTCTGGAAGTTCCTCAATATAAACGGGTTGTTCTTCAGCTAGCGTTTCTTCTATTACTGTCTCGGTGACTTCAGGTTCCTTTCCAACCTCTTCAACCGTTTTTTGTTCCACTATTTCTTGTTTATCTCCTCTCTTCTTCTTAATAATTTTCTTTTTGATTACCTTCTTATCAACCACCACAATTTCTTCGGGAAGCTCGACAATTTCCGGTTCTTCAATCTTTACCTCTTCTTCCGTTACTTCCTGTATAATTACTGAAGTTTGAGGTTCTCTGCCTTCTTCTTGTACAGAGAAAATTTCTGTAGATTCTACTTTGCTACCTCTTCGTTTTTTAATTGTACGTTTCTTAAACACTTTTTTCTTGGGGCCTTCAGTGGTATCAACTTCAGTTTCGATTATTTCTTCTGGCAGTTCTTCTATGTAAGTCGATTCTTCAGTTTTAATAGGAATCTCAGCTAGTTCTTCTGGGACTGTGATTTCCTCGATAGTAACTGTGGATTGTGGTACCTTTCCTTCTTCTTCTATAGTAACGATGTGAGTGTCTTCTTGAACACTTCCAAGCCTCTTTCTGATGGTACGTTTCTTGATTACTTTCTTTTGTTTCTTTCCGTCTTCCGCTACGGCTTCTAGGACTTCAACTTCTTCGGGAAGTTCTTGAATTACGGGTACTTCTTCAACGGGTTTTTGAGACATTACAGTTTGGATAGTAACCGATTCTTTGACATCTTGTATTAGCTTACCTTTGGCCTTAGGGATTTTTTCCTCTAATTCACCTAAAAAATGTTGATATTGAGGAATGGGCACATTATTAAAAAAAAGTCAAGAACATTTTAGATTTAATAAAAATTAATATATAAGATGTTTCAAGTTGACAATTAAATATACCTCGCGTTTTTCAAAAGTGGCTCATCCCTATAACATTTTTATTTTGTCAGATAAAAAAAACGAAATTATTTTAGTATAAGACATAAATCAGAATTGATTGACGTTTTCAATTACTTTCCAACACTTCCTGTTTCACCGGAAATGACTAGAACTTTTATATCTGAATAGAAACATTTGATATTTTCTCTTAAAAAATGTATTTTAAATTTCAATCTAGAGTGTCAAGACAATAAATATAACGACAGTTTGACTCGAAATACCATGTATGTGGTACCAAATTATTCGTACAAAAATGCTTTTTCCGAATATGCTAATGAGCCAATTTTGTTCTATTTGAAAAAATTGAGGTATGATTAAAAATACGATAAAATACGATTTGGCGATATGAAAAAAGGCATTTTGATACATAGAAGGCGTGTATCAAGATTCATAAAGATATCTGTACTAACATCAGAGTTATTATAAAGAAATTATAAATTTTTCTGCATAAATAATGCTTAAGAAACATGTGTTACAATTCGTTAGGAGATTATTAAAGGGACATCCTATATATTTAATTTTATTTAAGAGAGAGAATGAATAATAGTTATAACATGTGTTTTGCTCACCTAATTCCTGTGTATGTTCGATAGTGTGTAGATCGGTTGTTTCTAATTCGGTGAGTGGAGTGATGCGTGGTTTTAAGGATTTTTTGGGTGTTTTGAATTCAAACAATTCGAATGTGTCGTCGGGTAAAATTTCAGTAATATCCGATAACGATACAGTAATAGTAGTCACTGGTTTCACATCCTCAGTTTCAACAGTTTTGATTTCGGTTGTTTCAATTTTATCACCTTTCTGTTTACGTATTTTCTTTTTCGTAATAATAGTCTTTGTTTCTGGTTTGGCTAATACTTCTTCAGGCAATTCGACCACCTGAGCAGTTTCTAAAATATCTGAGATATCCTTGATTTCTTCAGTCGTTAAAACTGTCTCAGGGATCTTATCTTCCTCGTACACCGTTAAGACAGTAGTTACGTCTTGTTTAGGACTGGTCAGTTTCTTTATAGTTCGTTTTTTGATGACTTGTTTTTTGGGCCCTTCTGAAGTCTCTATTTCTTCTACAGTTACTTCCTCGGGAAGTTCAACAAAAATTTCCTTACTCTTTTTCGGCTTCTTAGGTTTTTTATCGCTCTCAATATAGAACACTTTTACTTCTGTTATTGGTAGTTTATCATCTTCTTGCACTGTTAAAATTTCAGTAACTTCATCTTTGTCATCAATTCGTTTCTTAATAACCCTTTTACTAATCTTTTTCGTAACTGGTTTACCCTTAACTACTTCTTCTACAATCTCTTCAGTAACGGGGCTTTCTGTCAGAAGTACAGCTTCCAAAATATCTGTTATATCTTCTGGTATTACTTCTTCAATAGTTACGGTAGAAACGGGAGTTTCATCTTCTACCTCTGTAGTAAGTATTGTAACAATTTCTTCTTTGGGCTTTAGGAGTTTCTTGTATTTCTTTTTGTGAGAAATTATTTTCTTTGTAGCGTCTTTCTCTGTTTGGACTTCGCTAACTGTTACATGTTCGGGCATTTCAACGACTATAGGCTTGGGTTTTTTGGTCTTTTTGGTGGGCAAGGGTGTCAGATTATCTTCCTCTAAAACACGATCTTCAGCGTAAACAACAACAAGAGTTTCTGGCTGACTATCATCTTCTTCTAAAGTCACGATTTCGGTAACTTCGGTTTTTGGTCCTTTGGGTTTCTTATATTTGCGTTTGATTAGTTTCTTTGTTACTGTTTTATCATCCTTTGTCTCTTCAATGACATTTATTTGTTCAGGAAGTTCCTCTATTTCGGTTGCTTCATAAGGTATATCACTTTCCTCAGGAATATCAACTATTGATGTAGTAACGGTAGTTACAGGAGTGGCATTTTGCCAAGCGACTGTTTCTATAATTGTTGTCTCTTCAGTGGGTCCCTTTCTCTTCTTTATAATTCTCCGTTTCTTCACCTTCTTCACGATTTTACCATCAGGTAATTTTTCTTCGCTGTAAGATACGTCTTCGGGTAGTTCAAAAATAACGACGGGTTTTTCGTATTCCGGACCTTCAACGCGTACTTTATGAGTCAGGTCCTCCTTCTTAGGTTTCTTAAAAGGCTTTAATTTTATTTGTTCGGGTTCTTCAGGTAGTTTAGGTTTTTGTTTAGCCTTAAAAGATTTTTCTTCTTCCTCAGGTACCTCCGGTTTTTTAGGTATACCTTTGATCAGTTCTGATTCCTCAGTTTCATGTGTAGTTTTGGTTTTAGGTTTGCGTTTATATTTTTTCGTTTTTCCTATTTCTACAGTTTCTTCATCCTCTTCAGATAGTTTTTCCGGTTTTTCTAATTCATATTCGCCTTTTTCGATGTCGTAAGGCTCAAAATGTACAGGTTCGTGTTCTTTATCTTCTTTTTTGTCCTTAATAGCTTCCTTAGGTTTTTTGCCTTTTTTGGGCTTAACTTCTTTTTCTAATTCGGGTTCTTCATCTTTCGTGGGAACTTTCTTCAACTTAACCGATTCAGGTTCTTCAATTTCTTCCGGTACTTGACCTTTACCAATTTTAATTTTAGCTGGTTCGAGTTCTTCCGGTTTAGGCTTTTTGGGTTTCCTTTCATACTGTGATTTTTCTTCCGGTTTGTCCTTAGACAGCTTCTCAGGCATCTCAAAATCTTCAACTTTCTCTAGTTCTGGTTTTTCATGTTCGATGTCCTTAAATTTCTTTACTTTCTTGCGTTTCAGGACTTTTTCAGCTTCTGCAATATTTCTGGACAGTTCTCCATGGTCTCTGGTATATGGAGGCATAGTGGTTATGGTAGCATGCTGTTCAATCTCATTCTCGGCAGGGAACTTTATAAAACAAATTCGGCTTTTGAGACGGAACTTGGGGAACTTTGTTTCCTCCTCAGGTTTTTTCGGTACCTTCCGTTTTTTAAGTTTAACATCGGAAAGTTGAGGGAGTTCCTCTTTGCCCATAATTTTAGGCTTACTGGGCTTAACCTCTATTAATTCTAATTTTTGTTTGAGATCCTTAATTTTACTTGGTTTTTTACCAATATCGATTTCTTTTATTGTAACAGTATGTTCTGGTTTTTTACCGTCTTCTATAACAGTCGTAATATCCGTTTCCTCTACTTTGGAACCTCGCTTTCTAAGGAGCTTCCTCTTTTTAGTAATCTTCTTTTTCGGTACTTCACCAGATGTTGTTATTTCGAAAACGTCAATATGTTCCGGAAGTTCGATAACAGGAAGCATCTCGCTCATATCCTCCAAAGGAACTACATCTTCCTCATCGATGGTTGCAGTAATTATTGGTTCTGTATTTGGTTGCTCGATTATTTCGATTTTAAGAACTTCATCTTTGTCTCCAACGCGTTTTTTAATTTTCCTTTTCCTAATAGTTTTCTTAGTACCATCGGGCAGTACCGTTTCAAAAATTTGTTCAGGAAATTCGATAAGGACTCGTTGGCCTTCAGGCAAATCAACTAATTCAGGAAACTCTGGTAATGGATGAGATAATATTATTCTGATAATTTCCATTTTGAGAAGATCGAATACTTCGGGTGTAGTGGGCAATTCTTCTTGTTCAGCCAGTAAAGGCACGAACAAGTATTTCTCCTCTGCATCTTTTGGTTTCTTCAGTTTCTTAAGTTTCTTTCTTGGTTTCTTTTGCACATCTTCTGGTACTTCGTGTTCCTCTACAGTAACTATGATTTGCGGCGTTTTTCCTTCCTCTTCTACAGTTACTATATGTGTAGTCTCTTCTTTGGGACCTTTGCGTTTCTTTATTAATCGTTTGGTAGTAGTCTTCTTCTTTAACACTCCCTCATCAATAACAGTGGATTCCTCTATTTTCACTGGCAATTCTTCAACTACAAATTCAATATCTTCAGGAAGTTCACTAACAGTCGATTCTGTAATTACAGGCTGCTTATCCGCTTCTTCGACTACAGTTATTTCTGTCATTTCAGGAACTCCCTCAGATTTGCGTCTTAAAAGAGTTTTCTTTGTAACTTTTTTCTTAGGTTTACCTTTTTCGACTACAGTTGTTTCGTGAATATTCAACGGTATTTCTTCAACATCAGGTTGTTCTTCAGGTATCTGTTCGTAGGTAACTACAGTTGTTTGAGGTTCACGATCTTCTTCAACTATAGTTAAAATTTCTGTCGTTTCTTCCTTTGGACCTCTTCTTTTCTTTATAACTCTCTTTTTAGTTATCTTAGTTTTAGGTACGCCATCTTCTATTAGAGTTAATTCATGGACCTGTTCTGGAAGTTCTTGTATTTCTTCCTCTACAGTAGCAGTTTCAGAAGAAACAGTGACAGTTGATTCAGGCTTCTTGCCTTCTTCATCTACTGTTACAATTTCGGTAGTTTCCTCTTTGAGACCTTTTCTTTTCTTTATTTTTCGTTTTTTAGTTTTTACACTTTTAGGAACACCGTCTTCAATTACGATTATTTCCTGTATTTCTTCTGGCAACTCCAAAACGATTTCTGGTTCAACAACTTGTTCTTCGATTGTTACAGTTACTTGTGGTTCATGTCCAGATTCTTCAATTGTTATAATGTTTGTTACTTCTTCTTTATCACCTTTCTTCTTTTTTAGTACTTTTTTCTTAACGATTTTTTTCTTTTTAGGTATTCCCTCATGAATTTCGACATATTCTCGAACTTCTTCTGGCAGTTCTATAATGTTTGATTCAACGGGTTCAAGAACATCTAAAGGTTTGACGTCTTCAGTAATACTGATAACTGTTTCTGGTTGTTTGCCTTCTTGTTCAGTCACCACTATTTCTGTTGTTTCCTCCTTATTACCTTTTCGCTTCTTAATTATACGTTTTCTCTTTGTTTGTTTTCTAGGAACTCCATGTTCGATGACAACGTCCTCTTCTGTTAGTTCGGGTAATTCAAATATTACACTCTCAAGGGGTGTTGGTACAGTTTCTTCTTCAACTGTTACCAATACCTCAGGTACATTTCCTTCCTCTTCTTTTGTAATTATTTGTGTAACTTCAACTTTATCACCTTTTTTCTTCTTGATTACCCTTTTCTTCGTGACTTTTTTCTTCGGAACACCATCTTCCACAGTTACTGTCTCCAGAATTTCCTCTGGTAATTCCTCGATAACTAACTCTGGAATATCCTCTGCAGGTTGATATTCTGGTAACAATTTTGTCATTGCCTTTTTAATAAGTTCAATCTGAATCATTTCTTCAACGCCTTCAGTTTTTACTTTTTCATCGGCTAAAGCCGGTACAAATAAATAACCTTCGGGTGTTATCAAATTTTGTTCTTGCTCTTTCTTTTTCTTAATAACACGTTTCTTAATAACTTCCTTTCCAGGAATGCCTTCTTCAATAACTGTAGTTTCCTGTAGTTCAGGTAATTCTTCTACAATATATTCGGGCTCTTCAGGTACTTCTTCAATAACAGTAACTGTAGTTTCAGGTTGTTTACCTTCTTGGTCTATTGTTACAATTTCAGTGGTTTCTTGTTTGCCATCTTTTTTTATCTTGATAACGCGTTTCTTAATAACTTTCTTTCTGGGAACACCTTCTTCAATTACTGTAGTTTCCTGTACTTGTTCGGGTAATTCCTCTACAGTGTACACAGGTTCTTCTGATGCCTCTTCTCTAATAGTAACTGTAGTTTCAGGTTGTTTGCCTTCTTGGTCAACTGTTACAATTTCAGTTGTTTCTTGTTTGCCATCTTTCTTTTTCTTGATAACGCGTTTCTTAATAACTTTCTTTCTGGGAACACCTTCTTCAATTACTGTAGTTTCCTGTACTTCTTCGGGTAATTCCTCTACAGTGTACACAGGTTCTTCTGATGCCTCTTCTCTAATAGTAACTGTAGTTTCAGGTTGTTTGCCTTCTTGGTCTACTGTTACAATTTCAGTAGTTTCTTGTTTGCCATCTTTCTTTTTCTTAATTACACGTTTCTTAATAACTTTCTTTCTAGGAACGCCTTCTTCAATTACTGTAGTTTCCTGTACTTGTTCCGGTAATTCCTCTACAATGTATACAGGTTTTTCAGGAGCTTCCTCTTTGACAGTAACTGTAGTCTCGGGCTTTTTGCCTTCTTGGTCTATTGTTACAATTTCAGTAGTTTCTTGTTTACCATCTTTCTTTTTCTTGATTACACGTTTCTTAATAACTTTCTTACTAGGAACGCCTTCTTCAATTACGGTAGTTTCCTGTACTTGTTCCGGTAATTCCTCTACAATGTATTCAGGTTCTTCAGGAGCTTCCTCTTTGATAGTAACTGTAGTCTCTGGCTTTTTGCCTTCTTGGTCTATTGTTACAATTTCAGTAGTTTCTTGTTTACCATCTTTCTTTTTCTTGATTACACGTTTCTTAATAACTTTCTTTCTAGGAACTCCTTCTTCAATTATTGTAGTTTCCTGTACTTGTTCAGGTAATTCCTCTACAGTGTATTCAGGTTCTTCAGGAGCTTCTTCTTTGATAGTTACTGTAGTTTCAGGTTGTTTGCCTTCTTGGTCTACTGTTACAATTTCAGTTGTTTCTTGTTTGCCATCTTTCTTTTTCTTGATTATACGTTTCTTAATAACTTTCTTTCTAGGAACGCCTTCTTCAATTACGGTAGTTTCCTGTACTTGTTCTGGTAATTCCTCTACAATGTATTCAGGTTCTTCAGGAGCTTCCTCTTTGATAGTAACTGTAGTCTCTGGCTTTTTGCCTTCTTGGTCTATTGTTACAATTTCAGTAGTTTCTTGTTTACCATCTTTCTTTTTCTTGATTACACGTTTCTTAATAACTTTCTTTCTAGGAACTCCTTCTTCAATTACTATAGTTTCCTGTACTTGTTCCGGTAATTCCTCTACAGTGTATTCAGGTTCTTCAGGAGCTTCTTCTTTGATAGTTACTGTAGTTTCAGGTTGTTTGCCTTCTTGGTCTACTGTTACAATTTCAGTTGTTTCTTGTTTGCCATCTTTCTTTTTCTTGATTATACGTTTCTTAATAACTTTCTTTCTAGGAACACCTTCTTCAATTACTGTAGTTTCCTGTACTTGTTCCGGTAATTCTTCTACAGTGTATTCAGGTTCTTCAGGAGCTTCTTCTTTGATAGTTACTGTAGTTTCAGGTTGTTTGCCTTCTTGGTCTACTGTTACAATTTCAGTTGTTTCTTGTTTACCATCTTTCTTTTTCTTAATTACACGTTTCTTAATAACTTTCTTTCTAGGAACGCCCTCTTCAATTACTGTAGTTTCCTGTACTTGTTCCGGCAATTCCTCTACAATGTATTCAGGTTCTTCAGGAGCTTCCTCTTTGACAGTAACTGTAGTCTCTGGCTTTTTGCCTTCTTGGTCTATTGTTACAATTTCAGTAGTTTCTTGTTTACCATCTTTCTTTTTCTTGATTACACGTTTCTTAATAATTTTCTTTCTAGGAACTCCTTCTTCAATTACTATAGTTTCCTGTACTTGTTCCGGTAATTCCTCTACAATGTATTCAGGTTCTTCAGGAGCCTCCTCTTTGACAGTAACTGCAGTCTCTGGCTTTTTGCCTTCTTGGTCTATTGTTACAATTTCAGTAGTTTCTTGTTTACCATCTTTCTTTTTCTTTATTACACGTTTCTTAATAATTTTCTTTCTAGGAACTCCTTCTTCAATTTCTATAGTTTCCTGTACTTGTTCCGGTAATTCCTCTACAAAGTATTCAGGTTCTTCAGGAGCTTCCTCTTTGACAGTAACTGTAGTCTCTGGCTTTTTGCCTTCTTGGTCTATTGTTACAATTTCAGTAGTTTCTTGTTTACCATCTTTCTTTTTCTTGATTACACGTTTCTTAATAACTTTCTTTCTAGGAACTCCTTCTTCAATTATAGTAGTTTCCTGTACTTGTTCAGGTAATTCCTCTACAGTGTATTCAGGTTCTTCAGGAGCTTTTTCTTTGATAGTTATTGTAGTTTCAGGTTGTTTGCCTTCTTGGTCTACTGTTACAATTTCAGTTGTTTCTTGTTTGCCATCTTTCTTTTTCTTGATTACACGTTTCTTAATAACTTTCTTTCTAGGAACGCCTTCTTCAATTACGGTAGTTTCCTGTACTTGTTCCGGTAATTCCTCTACAATGTATTCAGCTTCTTCAGGAGCTTCCTCTTTGACAGTAACTGTAGTCTCTGGCTTTTTGCCTTCTTGATCTATTGTTACAATTTCAGTAGTTTCTTGTTTACCATCTTTCTTTTTCTTGATTACACGTTTCTTAATAACTTTCTTTCTAGGAACGCCTTCTTCAATTACGGTAGTTTCCTCTACTTGTTCCGGTAATTCCTCTACAATGTATTCAGGTTCTTCAGGAGCTTCCTCTTTAACAGTAACTGTAGTCTCTGGCTTTTTGCCTTCTTGGTCTATTGTTACAATTTCAGTAGTTTCTTGTTTACCATCTTTCTTTTTCTTGATTACACGTTTCTTAATAACTTTCTTTCTAGGAACTCCTTCTTCAATTATTGTAGTTTCCTGTACTTGTTCAGGTAATTCCTCTACAGTGTATTCAGGTTCTTCAGGAGCTTCTTCTTTGATAGTTATTGTAGTTTCAGGTTGTTTGCCTTCTTGGTCTACTGTTACAATTTCAGTTGTTTCTTGTTTACCATCTTTCTTTTTCTTGATTACACGTTTCTTAATAACTTTCTTTCTAGGAACGCCTTCTTCAATTACTGTAGTTTCCTGTACTTGTTCTGGTAATTCCTCTACAATGTATTCAGGTCCTTCGGGAGCTTCCTCTTTGACAGTAACTGTAGTCTCTGTCTTTTTGCCTTCTTGGTCTATTGTTACAATTTCAGTAGTTTCTTGTTTGCCATCTTTCTTTTTCTTAATTACACGTTTCTTAATAACTTTCTTTCTAGGAACGCCTTCTTCAATTACTGTAGTTTCCTGTACTTGTTCAGGTAATTCTTCTACAGTGTATTCAGGTTTTTCAGGAGCTTCTTCTTTGATAGTTACTGTAGTTTCAGGTTGTTTGCCTTCTTGGTCTACTGTTACAATTTCAGTTGTTTCTTGTTTACCATCTTTCTTTTTCTTAATTACACGTTTCTTAATAACTTTCTTTCTAGGAACGCCTTCTTCAATTATTGTAATTTCCTGTACTTGTTCCGGTAATTCCTCTACAATGTATTCAGGCTCTTCAGGAGCTTCCTCTTTGACAGTAACTGTAGTCTCTGGCATTTTACCTTCTTGGTCTATTGTTACAATTTCAGTTGTTTCTTGTTTACCATCTTTCTTTTTCTTAATTACACGTTTCTTAATAACTTTCTTTCTAGGAACGCCTTCTTCAATTACTGTAGTTTCCTGTACTTGTTCCGGTAATTCCTCTACAATGTATTCAGGCTCTTCAGGAGCTTCCTCTTTGACAGTAACTGTAGTCTCTGGCATTTTACCTTCTTGGTCTATTGTTACAATTTCAGTTGTTTCTTGTTTACCATCTTTCTTTTTCTTAATTACACGTTTCTTAATAACTTTCTTTCTAGGAACGCCCTCTTCAATTACTGTAGTTTCCTGTACTTGTTCCGGTAATTCCTCTAAAATGTATTCAGGTTCTTCAGGAGCTTCCTCTTTAACAGTAACTATAGTCTCTGGCTTTTTACCTTCTTGGTCTATTGTTACAATTTCAGTTGTTTCTTGTTTACCATCTTTCTTTTTCTTAATTACACGTTTCTTAATAACTTTCTTTCTAGGAACGCCTTCTTCAATTACTGTAGTTTCCTGTACTTGTTCAGGTAATTCTTCTACAGTGTATTCAGGTTCTTCAGGGGCTTCCTCTTTGACAGTAACTGTAGTCTCTGGCTTTTTACCCTCTTGGTCTATTGTTACAATTTCAGTAGTTTCTTGTTTGCCATCTTTCTTTTTCTTAATTACACGTTTCTTAATAACTTTCTTTCTAGGAACGCCCTCTTCAATTATTGTAGTTTCCTGTACTTGTTCCGGTAATTCTTCTACAGTGTATTCAGGTTCTTCAGGAGCTTCTTCTTTGATAGTTACTGTAGTTTCAGGTTGTTTGCCTTCTTGGTCTACTGTTACAATTTCAGTTGTTTCTTGTTTACCATCTTTCTTTTTCTTAATTACACGTTTCTTAATAACTTTCTTTCTAGGAACGCCCTCTTCAATTATTGTAGTTTCCTGTACTTGTTCCGGTAATTCCTCTACAATGTATTCAGGTTCTTCAGGAGCTTCCTCTTTGACAGTAACTGTAGTCTCTGGCCTTTTACCTTCTTGGTCTATTGTTACAATTTCAGTTGTTTCTTGTTTACCATCTTTCTTTTTCTTAATTACACGTTTCTTAATAACTTTCTTTCTAGGAACGCCCTCTTCAATTACTGTAGTTTCCTGTACTTGTTCCGGCAATTCCTCTACAATGTATTCAGGTTCTTCAGGAGCTTCTTCTTTGATAGTTACTGTAGTTTCAGGTTGTTTGCCTTCTTGGTCTACTGTTACAATTTCAGTTGTTTCTTGTTTACCATCTTTCTTTTTCTTAATTACACGTTTCTTAATAACTTTCTTTCTAGGAACGCCCTCTTCAATTATTGTAGTTTCCTGTACTTGTTCCGGTAATTCCTCTACAATGTATTCAGGTTCTTCAGGAGCCTCCTCTTTGACAGTAACTGTAGTCTCTGGCTTTTTACCCTCTTGGTCTATTGTTACAATTTCAGTAGTTTCTTGTTTGCCATCTTTCTTTTTCTTAATTACACGTTTCTTAATAACTTTCTTTCTAGGAACGCCCTCTTCAATTATTGTAGTTTCCTGTACTTGTTCCGGTAATTCTTCTACAGTGTATTCAGGTTCTTCAGGAGCTTCTTCTTTGATAGTTACTGTAGTTTCAGGTTGTTTGCCTTCTTGGTCTACTGTTACAATTTCAGTTGTTTCTTGTTTACCATCTTTCTTTTTCTTAATTACACGTTTCTTAATAACTTTCTTTCTAGGAACGCCCTCTTCAATTATTGTAGTTTCCTGTACTTGTTCCGGTAATTCCTCTACAATGTATTCAGGTTCTTCAGGAGCTTCCTCTTTGACAGTAACTGTAGTCTCTGGCCTTTTACCTTCTTGGTCTATTGTTACAATTTCAGTTGTTTCTTGTTTACCATCTTTCTTTTTCTTAATTACACGTTTCTTAATAACTTTCTTTCTAGGAACGCCCTCTTCAATTACTGTAGTTTCCTGTACTTGTTCCGGCAATTCCTCTACAATGTATTCAGGTTCTTCAGGAGCTTCTTCTTTGATAGTTACTGTAGTTTCAGGTTGTTTGCCTTCTTGGTCTACTGTTACAATTTCAGTTGTTTCTTGTTTACCATCTTTCTTTTTCTTAATTACACGTTTCTTAATAACTTTTTTTCTAGGAACACCTTCTTCAATTACTGTAGTTTCCTGTACTTGTTCCGGTAATTCTTCTACAGTGTATTCAGGTTCTTCAGGAGCTTCTTCTTTGATAGTTACTGTAGTTTCAGGTTGTTTGCCTTCTTGGTCTACTGTTACAATTTCAGTTGTTTCTTGTTTACCATCTTTCTTTTTCTTAATTACACGTTTCTTAATAACTTTCTTTCTAGGAACGCCCTCTTCAATTATTGTAGTTTCCTGTACTTGTTCCGGTAATTCCTCTACAATGTATTCAGGTTCTTCAGGAGCTTCCTCTTTGACAGTAACTGTAGTCTCTGGCTTTTTACCTTCTTGGTCTATTGTTACAATTTCAGTTGTTTCTTGTTTACCATCTTTCTTTTTCTTAATTACACGTTTCTTAATAACTTTCTTTCTAGGAACGCCCTCTTCAATTACTGTAGTTTCCTGTACTTGTTCCGGCAATTCCTCTACAATGTATTCAGGTTCTTTAGGAGCTTCCTCTTTGACAGTAACTATAGTCTCTGGGTTTTTGCCTTCTTGGTATATTGTTACAATTTCAGTAGTTTCTTGTTTACCATCTTTCTTTTTCTTGATAACGCGTTTCTTAATAGCTTTCTTTCTAGAAACGCCTTCTTCTATTACAGTAGTTTCCTGTATTTGTTCTGGTAATTCTTCCACGATGTATTCTGGTTCTTCAGGCCCTTCTTCTTTCACCGTTACAGTCGTTTCGGTATCTTTGCCTTCCTGGTTTACCGTTACTATTTCAGTAGTTTCCTGTTTGTCGCCTTTTTTCTTCTTAATAATACGTTTCTTAACCAGTCTCTTTTTAGGAACACCTTCTTCAATAACCGTAGTCTCTTGCACTTCCTCTGGTAATTCTTCCAATGTATATAAAACTGGAGTTTTAACTTCATCTATTTCATCTATTAAATATTCTGGTTGTTCTCTATCTGTTAATGTTTCGGTGTCTGTAATTTCTTCAATGACCAGTCCTGTTTTTTCAGTAACTTCCGGTATACTCTCGGAAATAACTTCTTCTATGACCATATCACCCTCGCCCTTCCTTCTGTGTTTTTTCTTAACTATTGTGCGTTTAGTAACAGTTTGTGCGGTTTCTGTTGTATCGGGTATCGATTTAAACCTTGTAATATATTCGTGTGTTTCTTCTGCATCTGACAGTTTCCTGACAGTTGGTGTGTGTTCGTCTGCCGTTTCTGTGGTTGATGGGATTTGAGTGAAGATAGCGTGTGTTTTTTGTGGTGTGGTGTCATCCAATGGTCCTGTAATTTAAGCAAATTATAGCGACCATTCACAACATTTCGTGGTGCAATGGAATGATGAACGCGATCGTGAATATATATTTTTTGTAAGGTGTATTCGTGTATGTGTACACTGTTTTTATATAAATGTTTGTGTCTAATTTTGAGCTACTTAAATTTTCTTGATTTTTTTGGAAAAAAAAATCTGGGAATAGTTTTCTATTCAAGTCTAAGTAGCTCAATATACGCAGGGAAAACTTACCTGTATGTTCATGCAGCTGCACTTCGCTAATCTGCAAGCTGGGTTTCCGAGAGTCTTCTAATGCCATTTTAGTCTTCTTTTTATTGGGGGTTTCAAGGTCGAGGGGTTCAACATTACCTGAGGTTCTTTGTTCGGTTACAATGATACTTTGTTTTGTGTGAGAATATTCGCTTTGAGCTTTCGAAGTTTTTGTTTTGTCAGGCTGAATTATATCGACCGTGTCTAATGGTTGGATTTCTTCATTGCATACAACTGGCTTGTGTTCAATTTCGGTTTTAACCGATTTTTCTGTAGCAACGCCGCTGATAGCTTTTTCACTTACTTCTGCCTGAGTTAGGACTTCAGTCACTAATATGCCTTCCTTCGTAGTTATCTTAAGAATTGCTGATTTTGTGTCTGTTTCGGAAATATCTAAAACTTTAGTTAAACCTTGTATATTAACGGTAGTTTCGGTTATACTCTCAAAAGTATCTTTTTGGACAGTTGCTTTCTGCGTGTCAAGTGGTTTTTGATCTGATATGTCCTGAACAGTATCACAAGTCTTTACAACTCCTTCTTGTAAAGGTGTATGTTCTGACAACAACTGCGTTGCTGTATTCTGTAGTGGCTTTTCAGTTTCAAGAACACCCTCCTTCTCGGTTATTTCTGTCTCTGTAATACTTGCTGTTTTCCCCAACTTCGATAGACTTATCTCAGCTTTCGAAGTTGTGAGAGCCACATCTTTAATATTTTTCCCTAAACTTTCATATATATTAGTATCGGTACCTTCTAACATTTTATGCTCATCTAGAGACAATAACGCTGTATCTTCTGTAACATCTTCTGTCTTCAGATCCGCTTCTTTTTCATCAACAACAAGTTCCGAACTTAGGGCAGTTATATTTGCATCTTCAAGGCTTGGTTTAGCACTGAAAGTTGCAGGAACTTTATCTGTTATTTGTTCTAGAGTATCGTAGGCCTTAACGTCTTGTTCTTCTAAAACTTTATAAGGGATTACTGAAGGGACTGCTGAGTCTGAAGTAGGTTTTTCCGTTGAAAGATCAGATTCTAATTGGTTGGTCAGGATTTCTGTAATACTTGGAACTTTTGGAGCTTCTTCTAGATTGATATCCGCCTGTGTAGATATTGGAACTTTATCTTTAGTTAAAGTGCCTAAACTTTCATACACTTTAACATCCTGCTCTTGGATTACCTGCTGTTCTAATATTGAAGTTTCAGCCGAATCTTCTTTGGGTATTTCGGACTTTAGTTCATTTTCAGTTAAAGTAGTTAAAACTTCTGTAATGCTTGCAGCTTTCTGAGCCTCTTCCAATGTTACATCCGCTGCACCAGTAACAGATACAGCACTATCAGATATTTTCCCAAGAGATTCATACACTTTCACGTCTTGTTCTTCAATAAACTTATGTTCGGTGAAGCTCTGCGTAACAGTGTCTTCTTTAGGTTGCTGGTATAGTAGTTCTGCCTCTTTCTGATTGATTAATGTTTCTGAAGTGCTGGCAATCTTATCAGCTTCTTCGATATCTATATCCGCCTTAGCATCCTGAGGAATTTTAACTTTCAAAACGTCACCCAAACTTTCTAAAGGCTTAACTTGCTGTTTTTCTACTGCTAACTGAGGGCTAATCTCCACAGTGGCAGTACCTTCTTTAGGAGTATCAGTTTCCAGACTTGCTTCAAGTTGATGGATAAATAATTCAGTAATATTGGCAGCTCTGTTGCCTCCTTCTAACGAAATATCTGGAGTAAAACTTTCAGGGATTTGATCTTTTAAACGTTCACCCAAACTGTCGTATACTTTGGCTTCGGTTTCTTCAACAGTAATTTGCTCTATTACGGTAGATTTAGCAGTTTCACTTGATGGAGTTTGTTCCGTGAGCTCTGATTCAATCTGACTAGTTAAAATTTCTGTTATGCTCGCGGCCTTTCCGAATTCTTCTAGGTTGACATCAGCTCGTGTAGATTTAGGGACTTTTGATTCGGGAACATCTTCAACTGATTCGTAAACTTTAACCTCTTCTTCTAAAATATTTTTAAATGCGGTAATATCAGTACTGGCTGTGTCTTCTTGAGGAGCGCTTAATTTTAACGTATCTTCTAATTGGCTAGTAAGCGTTTCGGTTACAGTCGCCACCTTGCCTACGTCTTCTAAATTAATATCCGCCTGAGATTCTGGAACTGTATGCTTACCTGAAAAGTCACCTAATGATTCGTACGGTTTTGTAGTTTCTCCCTCGGCTACGTTGAATTGTGTTATAGTCGGAATGGCAGTACTGGACACTGGTTTGTCTAAAGGTAATTCATCTTCATTCTGGCTGGTTAATATCTCGGTTATGCTAACTGCTTCAATGGCTTTTTCTAAATCTACTGCAGCTAATCCTTTCTCTGGTAATATCTTTCCAACATAATCAGCTTCTTTTTCTACTAGTACGTTTTCAGAAACATTTACACTTGTAAAAGGTATGTTTTCTTCGTAAGCCTGACTTGATTCAGCTTTGGAGACATCCAAATCCGTAAGATATTCTTCAGTTTTTACTTCTGATATTTGAGTAGCATCTCGAGGAATTATTACATCATCAGCTTGACTTTCCTTAGGTTTAAACTTATCAAATTCCGTTTCCTGCTCTGTTGTTATAGTTTCGCTAACTTTTATAGCAGTTTGCTCATCGATAATAGCATCAGCTGTTCTCGTGTCGACCTTATCTGGGCTAAATTCAGTTTCTTTTTCTCCAGTTTCCTGAGAACTGACTGTTAAACCGATCACTGTATCGCGCAATGGAACTGCACTTGATTCTATTGGCACTTCAACATCTAGATTACTGAATGTCTCGTTGGCTTGGGTTTCGGACTGTTGTATAGAATGTGTTGGTAAAATTGACAAGACAGATTGTTCTCCTTCAATTTTTCCGGGAATGTATGGTTTTTCTTTTTCCTGAACTGATGTTTCTATCGTTTGAACTGATAAAATTTCGTCAAAATTAACGAAAGCCGTTTTTTCTTCAGGTTTTGATTGTTCTAAACCTTTTTCGGATTCTTGTACAATTTTTTCGGTTTGTGTTATACTTTCTAGAGTATCCTGAATTATGTTAACTAGTGACGGGACTTTTGTATCTTCTTTAAAATCAGCTAGGGAATGATGGGCTAGAACTTCAGATTGCTCTAAAGCTTTGATCGCATCAAATTCGTAAGATGCTGTCTCGGTTTTTTGTTTCTTTTCAACAAAGTCTTCTGGAGAGTCTTGCGTAATAATTTCCGATACATTTAGACCAACTACGCTGTCAATTTTTGTATCGGCGGTTCTAGTATCAGGTGCTACATCGATAAAATCTTTTGATGTCTCCAGTACAGTAGGTTGGCTTTCGTGTATGCTCTCTAATATTGTGTGATCAGGAAAAGCAGTTTCCTGCCTAAATGTTTCTATTGTGTAAGTATCAGTATTATCCGAAGTTATAACTTCAAATGACTGTGCCGTTATGTTTGCGTTTAGTGATATTTCGGCTACGTTAGTGTCTGGTTTTTGTTCTAGATCTAAATTAGATTCACGTTCAGCTGTTACAACCTCACTACTTTCTATGGTACGCTCTTCTTCAAATTCCAGGGATGCTATCTTTTTGTTTAACGGAATACTTTCGTCAAACGTACTTTCACTTTCATGTACTTGAGGGATTTGCTGGGTAAGTTGTTGCAGTTCAGTTTGTTCGATATTAGCAATCATCGGTGTTGGTTTTTCTAAAGAACTATTTACTAAGGTGTCAATAGTGACTGTTTCTATTACCTCGGGAATAGTAATAGTATCGATAGCTACGTTAGCTGCTTGCTCGTCTGGAATTTGAAGTTTATTCATAGTACCCTCTTTGTCTTCCGGAATTAACTCGGACACAGAAACAATCTTTTTAAATGCCTCTACTGAAACTTCTCCTTTAGTGGTTTCAGGTATAAATTTCCCTTCAAACAAATCTTCCTTTTCTTCGGAATAATTTTCGGTAACTAATATACTGTTTAGAACCTCCTCTGCTGGTGTAGCTTTATATAGTTCAGGCTTGGTGATCGAAAGAAAGTCAGGATTTTCTGATATATCGACAGGATTCAATTCAGCTACTTTACCAATAATACTTATTTTTGTATCAGCACGTCTTTCTTCTGGTAATTTAAATTCGTCTAAACCTTTTTCTTTTTGCGCTAGTACTACCTCTTCAGCCGATAATCCTTCTGTTTCTTGATAAACTAACGATGCAATAGTAGAAGTTGGTTTTTTCATTTCTTCCATTTCAGATTCTTTATCAATAACAGTTTGCTGGAGTTGTGTAACTACATCAAAAGGTATATTTGAAATATTAGCTGTACCTGCAGTCCTATCTTCTTTAGTAAAGTCCTGAGTATTTTCGTTTGAAACTACCTCTGATTGCGAGGCAATGGTCTTTGTGTCTGTGAGTGATACACTAGCTAGAGTCTCTGTTGGTTTTTCGGTTTCCAAATCAATTTCTAGATCTTGAGCAATAACTGAACTAATCATAAGACTTTTGTCAAAATCTAATGAGACATTTACTTGATGTTCTTCAGGCTTCTGTAATTCAGGACGTTCCATCTCTGTTTCTCCTACTAGAGTTTCCTCATTGATAGCTATATTTAATCCCACAATATCAGTCTCGGCAGAATAAGATACTGTTTTTTCCGTAGGTAATTCTTCAAAATTTTCGTTAACTGTGACTGTCGTCTGGGAAGAAATAGGATGCGCATGTATATCAACTTCCGCCTGTTTTCCTTCTGGTTTTTCTTGAGAATTATATATTGATTCGGCTTCGTTTGTTATTACCTCAGTAATAGAAATACCTTCTTCTGGTTTAAAACCAATATCAGCTACTTTGCTATCTGTGTCTGGTTGATTAAAGTATTGTTCTCCTTCTTGTACCAGTGTCTCTGTTTGAACTAAACTCTGTAAGGTAGTTTGTTCTACATTTGCTTGCATAGTGTCGGGTTTAATTTCAACAACGTCTTTAATTGTGTCTTGCGAAGTAATTTCTGAAGTTTCAGCCACCGGTTGCACCTCCAATGACATTACAGCAGTTTTCTTTTCGACTTCACTATCAGCTTGAGGTCCTTCCTTTTCCGAAACTTGTGTTTCTATTACTTGAGCAGCTGTAGCTTCTTCAACGTCAACATCGGCATTCTGTTGCAAGGGTTTAAGATCTTTTTCTAAAACATCTTCACTTTCGCCAACAATCGCTTCAAGAGTCACCAGACTTTGGAATTCTGATTGAGCTGATATTGCATTATATTCTATAGGTACATCTTGTTCAAGGTTAATAAACGAATCTTGAACTATAACTACTTTGGTTTCGATGTTTTCTTGTGGCAGCATAACATTTTCGGCTTTGTTATAGCTCATTTCCTCTTTAAGAAAATCTGCTTCTTTTAAACCTGCCGTTACTGAAGTTACTGAAATACTTTCAGCTTCCTGAAATTCAGGAAGCGCGTTTCTTTCTTCTATTGGTTGTTTTTCAAATTTAGACTCTTGTTCGGTTAATACAGACTCGGTAGTGATTAAGCTATCAAGAGGTACTAAATCAAGCTTGCCCTTTTCCGTTCTAAACTCTTGTTCTTCGAATTTAGCCACTGAATCTTCCGGTTGAATTTGTTCACTTATAGGTAATATATGTGAAGAAATAGCTGACTTGCTTTGGACTAATTCAGGTAGCTCTTTTTTAGGTAATTCGTCTTCTTTATCATCCGTCGTTGTTTCAGTGATAATTATACCTTCAAAGTTAGTAAACGTTGCTTCAGCTTGTTTTGAGTCAGGTTTAATAACATCGGGACTATGAGCTTCCTTTTCGCCAACTGTGAATTCAGTTTGAATAAGAGAATGAGAGATTGTTGGTTGAGATGTAGCCAACTGTTTTTCGGGCGATTCTCTTTTAAAGTCTCCAGGCTGTGTATTTACAGATGTCTCTTCTGTAACAGCAACTTGTTGCTCCGTGACATTAATATTTGCACTGGAAGTACTTAATTCAGGAATATCCAATTTTCCTTCTTTATCATCAGTTACTGTCTCAGTAATATTTAATGATACTTCGGGTAAGATATCAACATCGGCATTCTTTGAATACGGATGTATATCCACTGGTAAATCTTTTTCAACATCAGTTACGTTAGTTTCAGTTACAATCAACTCTGTAAAGGGTTTAGCATATTTCTTAGCTTTTCCTGTTACTAGTTCATCTTTGACTATATCATCGGCATGAACCACAGTTTCTATTACAGATTTAACAATAACTTCTTGAGTGGTAATACGTGATTCAGCAAAACCTTCTGTGGGTTTAACATCTTCAACATACTGGCTTTCTTTTTCGTTTATAACAATTTGGGTAACATTAGGACCGCTTAATCCTTCTATGAAATGTACAGCAACTGTTTTTTCTTCTGGTTTTTGTTCGATATGTTCGGACTCTTTTTCTGCTGTTTCATGTTCAGTTAATATTAAAGGTACCAAGGCTTCTTGTTCAGTATTAGCCTGTACCTGTAATGTAGTTTCAAGAGTTAAAGATTCAGTAGAGAAATTAGGTTGGACCATTGACTGACTAGCTACATGAGATACGTCTATGTCAAGCAAAGCTTGCTGACCATGAGGCAGTTCAAATGGTACATGCGGTCCTTCTTTATCATCTGTCAGTACTTCAGATACGTTAATTGCTTCTTGGGGTAAAATATCAGTGACAACAACCTTTTCTGTAGGTTTCTCAATGTCAGCTTCTGTCCAGCCCTCTCCTAAGATAGTTTCAGATACTACAGTCTCAACTAACGTACTCTGTTCGATATCTGCTGTACCTTCTTCCGGTGTTATATGTTTTAAATCTTCAGCTTTGTGCTGAGCTGTTACTTGCTCTGTGGTTCCTGTTGGTAGCATATGAGACGTAGTAGCCTTTCCTTTGTGCGAGTCAGGTTGCTCAAAGTCTTTAAGAACATTTTCACTTTCCATCAAAGATGACTGACTTATGATAAGTTGCTCGTGTGTTCTAGTTAAACTGGTGTCAATATTAACTTGGTCCGGTTGGATCTCTTCATATGAAACTTCACTTTCACCAGCAAAAGTTTCAGTAATATTTTTTGCTTGGGTAGTTTCAATATCTCTGTTTGCAATATCGGTAACATATTTAAGATTTTCTGTATACTTTTCAGTAGTATCACCGGTTTTGACTTCTTCGATGACAATGGATTCGTGAGGAAAAACGTTAGATATCGCTATAACTTTGGTTTGTTTATCCGATGGTACAAAATCGCTTTCGGATTCCTGAACTGTTACAAATGATTGACCACTAACCTCGATAGGTGTAAATTCACTTGAAGCCAGTTTACTGCCAACTTCTTCTTTTTCATAGACTTTTTCAGATTCCGATACTAAAACTGTCTCTGTTTGAATAGATTCTTTAGGTAGTAAATCGACGTTAGCAGTAAATTTATCTGGTTCTTCATATTTTAGTTCTCTTTGAGGTGCTTGACTATCAGTGACACTTACAATGATACTTTCAGAAACAAGCAAGTCCTCACTTGCATTCACAGATTCCGGTATATCTGATTCAGTAAAATGTTCTTCTTTATCTTGTGTTTGAATTTCTGAAACTTGTACGCCCTCATCGGTAGCTACCTTAAAGTCGGCTTTTTGTGACGGAGGTAGCTTATCTGAAACATATTCACCTTCGGTTTCTGGTGCAACTATTTGATCCTGTATAATGGACTTTTGAGTTATAACGTTTTTGGTAGCTATTTCGGTAGCTACAAATGCTTGAGGGAAGTATTTGCCAGGTTTATCTCCAGCGTGTACTTCTTCAATAATTAACCCTTCTTGAGTATCTACATTTATTCGAGGTTTCACACCAACAGGTTTCGTGATATCCATTTTATCTTCAGACATACCCTGTTGCACTTCTTCAATTAACAAACTTTCTTTCAAAGTAAAACTCTTTGACGCCTCTGCTGTTTTGGGAGCTTTAAATTCGTCTAGAGGTGATTCTTTATCAGCGGTTTCAGGCTGATAAACGCTAGCAGACTCTTGTGGTAATAAAGAGACAAAGGCATTACTTTCAACTGTGTCTTCTTCTTTTAAAATAGACGGAACATCAGCAAGATTAATTTCTTGAATAGTAATACTTTCAGTTGATATAAAATCTGGTGTTGCTGTGAATGATGCAGGTTTAAAGGTTTCGTCGTATATACCAGTCTGGTTTTGTACATTTTGTTCGCTAATCATAAAAGCCTCGAAAGAATCTACAGTTTTTGTAGCCTGCGATGTTACTGTTGCGAATTCTTTGTGGCGTTCTTCTTTCTCCTCAACTCTAGTTTCCTCACCAGATACAGCACTTAGAGTTAAAACCTGTACGTCAGCTTTACCTTCAGCAACTTCCTCATTGATATAGGCTACTTGATGAACGGGACTTGCTTCGAAAACTTGTTCGGGAACTCCTAGTTCTAAAGGTTTTTTGGTCTTGTATTCCAGAGGCTTCAGTTCTTGCTCTTTCTGAGAAACCTGCACTTCAGAAATATTTTTAGAGCTTTGTGGAATGAAATCTATTATCGCTTTCCCTTCTGAGGGTGCTTGTATCTCGAGGGTTAATGGTGTATCGTTGGGCTGAATTTGTTCAACAGATAAACTTTCGTTTTCTTGTAATGATTTGGATGCGTTGTACGTTGTTGGTTTAAAACTGTCATCAAACTTTCCTGGAATAGCTTCTGTAGTTACCTCTGCCACTTCCAGTGCTTTGAGTTCGTCAATGGTTTTCTGGGCTGATACAACTGCTGGAATGTGTTCTTCTTGGGGTCCTTCTTTTTCTTCTGTCAGAGGCTGTTCTTGTGAACTAACGGTTAAGGGAATAATATCAATTTGTGCTTTACCTTGATCGATATCTTTATCAATGCAAGTTATTTTATCGGAATGAACCACTTGAGACACTATGTTTGATGTATTGAGGGGTAATTCAGATATTGCAGGGACATGACTAAGTTCTAAAGGTTTGTAGTCTTCTTCTTCGAAAGAATACTCTTCCGATTTCGGTCTACGCGCTTTAATTTTCTTTTTAATCGTTCTAACCTCGTCAATTTCTTCTTCGAGCTCAATCTCGACGTCGCGTTTTTTGTGAACCTCAGGTAACTCGATAATCTCGGTGATTTCCACGGAGTGTTTCTTAGGTTGTGTCGGTTTGTCACCTCTCGTAGTGCGCTCGACTAATTCTTCCACTTCGAGAGATTCTGTGAAAGTGTATGATTGAGGACTGTGTGTATATTTTTATACACTCACAGGCACGAAAAACGGGCACCTTAAAATGTTCATATATATTAAAGTTTTATAAATTGTGTCCTAGTGAATCGATTTTGATGATGTTTTAAATAATTTGTAATTGTTATTTCATTTTTTAGTATCTCTTTCTAAATTAAAAATAAAAGTTTCCATCTGTCTATTATACGAGGGAAAACAAAATGTTCGTATTTTGGTAAAAGTTTGAAACACCCTGTGGAATATGTTCACAAAGCAATGAATTTAAAAATCATTTTATCATTTAGTTGTATCTTTTCTTGATAATTTGTTTTTTGGTTCATCTCAACAGCTTTTTTTGGAGATATTCACTTTTGAAGAAGATACTCACATTTTTTCCAGAAGTTGTCTCTGCTATAGTTGCTTTAATTGAAGATGGTAGAGATCAAAATGATGTTGCTAACAGATTTAGGTACGATTGAATTGTAGCAAGGGGGGAGGGGTAATACTCGGTATTAGTAATAATTTTCTTACATGTTTTTATTTTTTCCATCATTTAATCGCTAACTCTGTAACATTTTATTAACAGAATAAAAATTACAAAAATGTCAGTGTCTTCTTCAAAAGCGAATATCTCCATCAAAAATAAAGCTATTAAGATGAATCAAAAAACAAACCATCAAGAAAAGATGTACCTAAATGATAAAATGATTTCTAAATTCCTGGCTTTGTTAACGTTCCACAGGGTGTTTCAAACTTCCACCAAAATATCAACATTTTGTTTTCCCTCCTATAAATTGACAGATGGGATCTATCATTTTTAATTTAAAAAGATATACTAAAAAGTCAAATAAGTCAAGTTGCTCAAAAAATCATCAAAATCGGACCACAAAACAACATTAAAATTTAAAATACATAAAATTTTTAAAGTGCCCTTTTTTCGTACCGGTGAGATTTAATATTACATTAAATAAGTATCTATTCTGCTTTCTAGGCTTAGTGCTAAAAAGCATAGGGGGTGTATAAAAACATAGTGTCAAGCATTAGTTTCCATCTTTGGTCGGCTGAGTAGTAGTAGTAGTAGTAGAGGGAGATTTTGAGTTTCGGTTTATTGTGTGAGTATAGTGAGAGATAGATGGATATGAGATATCAGTTTGGTGGAAGGATGAACAAAAAATATAAAAAATAAAAGAAAAATAAAGCACTGAACTCACCTCGAAGCGCTAAACGTATGAGAAGCCATGCTGGAGCTTGGTAAGTTACACTGACTGCGGTGCATTAACTTGCAAAATAACTCGGCCTTAGTCGCACTACTTTAAACACTATTAATGTTTTTAACTGATTATCACTATAAACTATTGCGGTAAGCTCAATATACGTAAAAATATATAGTGAAAGGACGAATAACAATGTCTACCGCGTAAAATTAACACTTTAGTGGTGGATCCAACTTACTAACGATCAACCACAAAGCAATTACGCAATTACATAAAAATATCGCTAATATTTACGCAAAAATAAGCTACAAACATCGAGTCTTACCTTCTTTTTCTCCCTTTCTTTTAATCTTTCTCTTAATAATTTTCGTGGTATCTAAAGGGAAATAAACAAATTAGAAAACTTGTAACAGTAAAAAAAAGAATTTATTATGTTACACTAAAGCCAGGCAGCATCACAAAACAATATATAAAACTATATTATAATAAATATAACACTTTAATGTCCTTGTCATATTTTAGTTTATAGAAAAAACACAAAACAAAAACAAACATAAAAAGCTTCATGTCCATTACAGTACACACTAAAAAAAAGGAAAAAACACAACTTAGAAAGCATTCGAATAGCCATCAAATAGAAAACGACTTACCTTCGTGCACTTCTTGTGTTTCGGTGACAGTTACTCTTTCCATAACTGATTTGGTGGGAATCTGGAAAAAAGATTATTTATTCAGAAAAAATGGATTTATGATAAGGGATTACTGAGAACATGGTTTCAGTAAGTATTTTTCAAAAAAGTGAAATGTAATTCTGACTAATTCTATTTTTTACTATTCTTCTATTATTATTCTAACTATTCTGCATTAATTGCCTTTTAACAAAAAGTAACCGTAAAAACAAAATACCACTTACTTCTGTTACTTCAGTGGCTTCCCATGCCCTGGACATAAAATCTTCAGGTGTAAAGTTACTGAGAATCTCTTCAATGGTCACGTAGTTAGCTTCAACCATCTTCATAAATGCCCTAAATCCAACGGTAGCAGCAAGCTTAGTTTCATCAATTGATTCTTCTGTCAGAACTTCTGTTATCAAAGCTCCATGACCTTTACGTTCTACAACATTAACCATAGCTGACTGAGATTCCGGAGTTTTGAGTGAAGGATATTTGTCTTCATCATATAAAACAGTTACTTCTTTGACTGTTATTCCGTTTTTGAGTAGGTAGACGATTTCGGCTATTTCGCGTAGTGGACTTTGACCCGGTCCAAACTCTTTTGAATGGATAAGTTCGAGCATTGAAGTAACTTCTTTGGCCATTTTGAGTTCGCTTTTTCTTATAATCTTCTCGCATCTTTCAATAATTTGTTCAAGCTTGACTTCAGTTATGTCCACTGTTTCTTGGACGCCTTCTTGAGTAGTGGGTTTGGCTTTGGCGGTCTTGGGTAGTATTTTTTCGATGTCTTTTATAATTTCTTCGGCTAGAATTTGGTCAATAGTAAGAGGTTCTGTAGGAGAAAGCTTTTCTGTGACTTTTTCAACTGGTGTATCAGTTTCTTTCTCGTCAATTTTCTTGCAAGAAGCTATAGCTTCAGTTTTTAGTGGTTCTACAATATCCAGGATCGGTGTGGCTTTAACTTCTTCAACTTCAGGTACTGTAATATCTTCAGTTGCTTCTATGGGTTGTACTTCAGTAATATCCAAAGGTTTGGTTTCTTCTTCTGTTACCGGAGCAGCACGTTGCTTCTTTCTCACATCGCGTTTCTTTTCTATTGTTACTTTCTCTTTCTTCACTTTTTCTTCTTCCTCTTTGGCTCGCTTGACGCGAATTTCTTGTTTCTTCTCTTCGGGTATTTCTTGAATGAAGAGGTTGGCTTTGGTTGTTGCTTCGCCGACATCGCTCACGGCTTTGCACACGTAAAGACCGACGTGTTCCTTGTTGACATCGGTGATTGTGCATGTTGTTCTGTTGTCTTCTATGCGGATCTTCACGTTCTTGGTGTTACGTACAATTTTGTTGTCGTGGTACCAGATAATATCTAAAAGAAATATATTATTTAAAATTATAATACCATACCATCGAAAAAACCAGCATCAAAGACGGCTGGGGAATAACAATCAATGATAATTTTAGCGAGGTCAAGTTGATTTATAAATGGTCTAGTTTAATATTCGAGAAAAAAAAGTTTTATGTTAATTAAAAAAAAATTATGTAAATGTCGTCTAGAGATTGACATCGCTAAAATTATCATCGATTGTCATTCCCCAGTCGTCTTCGATACAGTTTTTTTCGATCATACGGTATTTAGTAGTGAATAAAATATTTTTACCTGGTGTTGGGGTTCCTGAGAACAGACATTCAAAAACAATGGTTTCAGCTTCTGTTGTCCGAATGTCCGTGATTTCTTTGACAAAAATAGGTACAGCTCTTACAGCTAAAAAGTAAACAATTAAAAATAATAAACATTATACTAATTTAACAATATGAAGATAGGCTGAGATTTTCTTAACAGTGGGATATATTAAAGAAATCGACATTTTACGATATTCTTATATGCGATTTAACTATGCAAATGCAATGCAACCAAGCAAAATAATAAAGTTTAAAAATTGTACGGTGCACTAATTCATAAACATGAGTTTGCAAGTTACGAGAGTATAATTCATAGCAGTCATGCCTCATATCTGAGGTTAAGTTTTCGTTCAGGATTGCAATCATATAGAGACAAGAGAACGAACTTCATTTGAATATGTTGCTCCAAATACTACTTGCTGCAGACTGTGCGATATAGATTATGAAACAGCAGAGCACATAATATGCGAGGCTCTGGATCGCAAGCCACATTCTTTCTACTCTCGGTGCAGACATAAAAAGGGGTCAAACTCAATAGGCCTTAGAGGCCGCAATATGTCTACCATGTCCAACAGCCCCTTCATATTAAGGGAAACAAATAAGCAGGTATACCATGCGACAGAATGAAAACAATATCACAGCAGGCACTAAAATGTCATCGAACTTTTGTTTTGCTATATTTCCATCACTGTGATTCTCATCAATTACAGAGAAAAAAATCACTGTAATGATGATATTTTTGAATAATATTTTAAAAGGTTGGAAAATCAACAAACTACTCATGATCTATAGAAGTTCATTCTCTACATCTCTATACCAATTTATCAATTAAAACTACAAGTAAAAACAAGCACATTACCTGGGTAACACAATGCTGGTTTATTGCCTGGCCATGCATTGGGTGGGAGTTTACTGTTCTAAACGAATTTCAAAAAAACAATCAGTCATTTAGTAAAGCAAAAACACACTCTAGCAAAAAGTTAGTTTACCTTGCTCTTCGCAAGTGAATGTATTCAGCGACGTTTCATCGATATCGTCGTGGTCAGGGCTGAAGGCCGAAGCAAGACCACGCCCTCGGTCGCTCATACATTCACTTTCAAGCAGCAAAAACTCTTGAAGTTCCTCCTGCGAGTCAGCAGTGTGCAGTTGGAAAAACGCACTTGGATCAATCTCTCGAGGTTCCAAAGGGTACATAGTGTTGTCGTAGTAGTTCTTGGTTAGTTCTCTTGAAAATGATTCGTTTTTAACTCTAGGAATTGTATGGGATCGTTCCTGGTACTCTAACTCCGAGTCTTCATAAGATTTTGGTAGAGCATTACAGGAACTTGAGTACTTTGAGAAGTCATAACCTTGTTTTCTTCGTTCAGAACCACTGCTTCCTCTGAAACTGCTGGATCTAGTTGAAGGTTCACTTTTTTCCTCGATTGGTGACAGAATAAAGAACTGATCCGTTTCAGGATCCTCGTAGCTCGAAACGTTTTGATCTTTTGGCTGTTCCAACTCTTCATAATCGTTATCTATTGTATCGAAGCTCGTGTAATGAGACTCCGGAACTCTTTCAGCTATTAAGAGCTCCATAACTGACCCAACTGAATGCCTGTGTGCGTTGAGATAATCAGCCATGGTCAAATTAATAAAATCGTCTCTCTGGGACGTTCTGTTATCTCCTGGCTCGCTGTGGACCGAAATCGAAGAGTTCTTTCTTGACGATGATGGTTTGTTGAGGAAGAATGGCTCGTCATCCACGCAAAGGTTGCTTAAAGCGGATTTCAAACTATCAGCTGATACGTTACCTTGAGACTTTCGGCGTTTTTTTGGTTGCGCTACTTCTAAGCTGTCAGTAGAAACATCGACAGAGCAGGCATGCGATGACACACTGGGTGTATATTTACCTTTGAGCGCTGTGGATAGTTCTTCCATGTGAGTAACGCACTCGGGTTTGCGGTAGTGTTTTGTGCCAATTATTCCTAAAAAGTTGATTGGATTTAGAACAAGGTCCTTTATTATACAAAATACAGTGTTATCTAAATTAAATATCAACTAGTAACAACTTAAAGTTATTTAAAATTAAAAAATAAAAAATTGGGTAAAGTCAACCGAGGTTCTCTAATGCTATAAATTGTGTAGTAATCAAACTGATTTAACTACTATATTTTGGTGGAATTAAAAACAAAAGACATCTAACTTAAAGAAGACAAAACTATTTACATTTTATCCCGATCAAACATCGTTTTCAACAAATTTCTGCTGATTGCGTTAGATCTACGGCTGGTAAACAAAATATGTTATTGTTGATGTTTAAGTAATATTTTTTCGTGCACCTATTGAGACGATATACTAAATATATGTGTAAGTATATCATTTTAGTTAAAATACATAGATTTTAACTTTGAATTTTTTTTAGTTTTCTAATTAAATTAAATTAAAATTTATTAGGGAGGCAATTATAACTGCACGCTATTTGTAAAACGAAAAGACAGAAATGCACACGAAACTCAACAGCTTTATCATATTTATGCACCCATCCCTTTTTAACTTATATAAAAGTGTTAATGTAGGTATGATTGTAAACAAAAATGTATTTAAAATCATACATACGGTGTTTTATGAATGGAATGTTGTCTCCCCCGTTTAGTTATATGTCTTTGAATTAAACTATACTAGAGCTGAGCATGAGTTCAAGCTTTCTGTAATGGATTGTCAAAATGGTAACAAGTAATTTATATAACACTGCAAATACATCAAGGTACGAACAAATTGTATAAAATTCAAGATTCAAGTATGTTGGAAAGTGTGTAAAGTTTTGGGGGATAAAAATATCAAGGAAGACAAATAGAAGCTTCGTAAGGCTTATACAAGTTGCTGAAAATAAAAATATGTTTAAAATTATTCTGTATAAAGTACAGTATTAATAAAATAGCTACGACTACAAACATACCTTCTACTGTTTCTACTAATAAATGCGTTACAGTAGTAGCTATTCCTAATGGGTTTTGTGCCTCATACACTATCTCTCCAACATCATCAGGATATGTTTCAGGTAGAGTTAGAACAGAAGTACCGTCTTCGAAATTCTCTATTATGTATTCATTGGATGGAATCACTTCTTCACCTTGCTTAAGCCATTTTGCTTCGGGTTTTGGCTTGCCTATGGCTTTGGCTTCCAATCTAAAATGTTTATTTATTAATTTATTCGAATTTTATAAATTTTGAATTAAAGCAATATACTGAACTCTGATTCTAAATAATTTCAATAATCCAAATTACCAAAGGCCCTTGGTACATAATTATTTATGCATTTATAATAAACAAAACAGCGACTTTTATTTTTGACCTCGACACGTCGATAATATGGCGACTATGAAGTCAATGTTGACATTGTCAAAAATGCACAGGTCAAATGGGTCAAGAAGCACAAGTTCGAGGTTAGGTTTGTCAAGGTTTGTCTTTTGAAGGGTACGATTTATTCCATCCCCTCCCCACTGATTGATAATTATTACTCATTTCTCCGGATATTTTTGGTTATTTAATATGACTTAAGCAATTCTGTAAACAAGTGGTGGTTATTGTTTCCCATAGTTCAATTAATTAATTGCAGTACATTAGACTTTAGGTCTATAATTATGGGTTATTAAAAACTTTGAAATGTATCAGTAGTCCTACTTATCTTTTTTTCCTTCTTGTTAAAATAACCACTAATATTTTTTAGGCACATTTGCAACACTTTCAAATAAGAGGTAAAGAAATCCTTATTACTCGACTTGAGCGATTATTCGCAAACTGGGTATACACAGACTTTTTGGAAATAGACTGTCATTTTAACATTCAAAAATGTTGATCTACTACTTATATTTTACTCTCCGAAGTGAAAATACTAAAAGAAATTTTGGTTCTCATAATGCTGATTCTTATTCAGCATTCAAGTCATTCAGCGACGTAGAAGATTAATGATAGTTCTATTATATCTTGTGTTTATCTGAGAATGTGTATTTTATGTTTTTAATAAATGTTTATTCTACGGTTTTAAGTTTTAATCATATAATGTTTTCCTTTAATTGTAGCTATAATTTTTGTAACAAATTATTCGCTGTCGACATTGTCAACATTGACGTCGACACCATAATTGACGCGTCAACAATTAAATTGTCAACGCGACATTCTCGGCGTCTCCGAACTGACAAAAAGTGTCTTGATTTGTGTCTTCAACAAAAAATAAATAATTTAGAATGTTAACCTCATATTCCAAAGGAAAAAACATAAGAGTCATGTATCAGAAAACAATATCATACCTTGTAACACTGCCATCTTTAGTTGTGACCACCTCGGGAAGTTTGGTTATAATTCTTGGCGCAAATTCTTCTTCGTCTGACAAAATGCCACCTTCGCTTATCGTCTTGTCATCAAGCAGTTCTTCTTCTGATCCAGTGATATGACCCAATTCTGAGTCAGGTACGTATTCGTAGGCCTCAACGATTAAAGATGTCTTGCAAACCGCTTCACCAATCTTATTAACAGCTCTGAAAAAAACAGTTTAATTATAAAATGTTCTGTTGAAGTTCTACAGAGTGGCTCCTCTCATACAAACCGGAGGCTCCAATGAATTTAGAAGCTCCAATGACAGACAGTCTGTATTGAAGTGAAGTTTGAGAGCATATGTAGGTTAATTTAGAGCAATTTTATAAATATATAGAGTTCTACAGGTGTACCCAAAAAAATTTACAAATCAAAGTTGTGTTTTTTGTGAAGGAATATCAATTGATTTTCGAATTCTAGAAAAAAGTAAGGTTTTATTAGAGAAACATATAACAAAAATGTGAAGTTTTTGACATATTTATTATTTTCTAAAAATTAAAAATAAGTTTTAAATTTCAACAAAAGCTACCTAAACGGTAATTTAAACTGTAACCAATTATTTTACTTCAAATGAAATTAAAATTTGATAGGAAAAGTTATAGAAGGTGAGATAAAATTATTCGTAATATTGACCATAGGTCACTTTTAAAAGCAAGTTACTCTTTTATTTTAAATGGAACATCCAGTATATTATTCCGATATTTAATGGAGAAATCATGTCTCTTCAAAATACTACAGCAGTAAAGAGATAGATACACGTTGAAGACATATTTTAAATTTTACAGAATTAGAACTCGATATGAAAACGTATAATTATATAACAAAAATTAGCTAGAAGAAATTAAATGTTCAAAATGCTTCCCTTCTTGTTAACTGCATAAAATTATTCTCTTTTCAAAAGATCTTTTCATATTAAGAGGTATACGTAGAGTTATACTTCAAAAGGCAGCCACAATACTTTCATCATGTAATCGACAGTAGCTTGTGGAGTTTTGTAAACCCCGTTGTTTTTAACATATCCCATAAAAACACAAGACCAGACTAGATTAATTAGGAGCAGTCTATTAGCTGGTAAATATACAACCAATTCATCATTTCAATTCTCTCTGTTTCAGTATAAGTCTCCATTTTCAGCAAATTCCACCTTAATTTTTATCACTTAATTAAGATCTATTATTAAAAAATATTTTGAATTTAGCTACATACACTAACAAAATTTCATTTCAATACAAACTGTCGTTCTCCTTGGAGCCTTCGCGTCGTATGCGAGGTACCACTCTGTACAAGTAAGTAGAGTTTACCTGCAAGTATATACTCCAGCATTTTCCGGGAATACTTCTGAAATAGCCAAAGTACATACTCCTTCAGTATCCTGTGATATAACCACATCCTTTGCTTCTTTAATAGGTTGCTCATTGTGGTACCACTGTACCTTTGGCGTCGGTTTACCGACAACAACACAACTGAATGATACTTTTTCACCATCCATGACACTCACAGGCGAAATGGGTTTGACAAATCGTGGATAAACTAGTTCTTGAGTATCCTCCCAAGGGGTCTCCTTTACCACATTAAGACTGGCAGTATGTGTGACTGATCCAGCAACATTTTCAGCACGACATGTAATCGGTCCAGCAAACTCCGGAGTGACTTCGCTGATTAATAGGGTTGATTTATTATCTGTTGTGATGATTCTAATATCGGGACTTGAGACTACCGGTAGTTCTTTAATGTACCACTGGAATGAGGCTGTAGGATAGGCTTCTACGACAGCTTCCATAATCACCACTTCCCCTTCTTCAACTATCTGTGGTTTAATTGGTTGAATCCATCTTGGAGCTTTAGTTTCACTTACTTCTTCTGTTATAACAACAGTGCTAGTAGATTTTGCTTCACCTGCAGGATTGACAGCTCGTACTTCATATTTACCAGCTTTTTGTCTCTTTGGTACGGATTTCTTTATAACAAGTTTGGTAGTAGTATCTTCTTCGATTATGTCATACTTATCATCAGGTTTTACTTGTTTACCGTTTCTAAACCATTTAATATTAGGCTTAGGAAGTCCTTCAATTTCAGCTTCGAGCACAACTTCGTCTGATGGTTTAGCGACCACAGCTTTAACAGGCTTAATAATTTTGGGTGCGTGCATCACGACTGGTTGGGTAACTTCTACAGCTTTGGAAACTATAAGATTAGCTCTGCACTGAGCTGTTCCAAACTTATTCTCAGCCACTATTCGATAGATTTTCTCATCTTCAGGTGTCGGTTCTAATATTTCTAGCGTAGTGACGCCAGTTTCGGGATTGTAGGTTATTATTTTTCCTGGCTGAGATGTAACTTCCTGTTCTTCTTTAAACCATTTGACGATTGGTCTTGGTTGACCTAGTACCGTAGCTTGGAGGAGTGCCTTGTTGGTTTCTTCCACGATTTGTGGTTTAAGAGGTTTCGTAAAGTGAGGAGCTATACCTGATTCTTCTTTTTCTGTAAAAATCAGAGAAATTTAGTTGATTTATAATCATAATAAAGGACTGTTAAAAATGATTAGTAGAAAGCTGTAAACAATAATTATGGAGGGTTACAAAAAAACAGAGCAAAACAGTAATCAAAATGCGTAGAATATTTATTTATTATTCTATTTTAAATAATTATTTATTATAAAAGTGTATTAGGGAGCATTATATCCACGCAAGAATGTTTAAACACGAGAACGTTCGAGTTTTTGAGAAAAATGTATTCTTGATAAAAATGTTTGTTTATTCTAAAATGGTTAATCCCGTTTATACTGTTCCAAATTCCCATACCGTTTTAAAGTAAATTAAAAAAAAACATGAAATATTGATTGAATTTTTTCTAAGCCCTAAAAATCAAAAGGCGTTTCTATAATAATATAATTTCGATTTTATTCTTTTATAGATGGTTATTAATTTTGATTAACGTCATATTTTTTGCTGTATAACAAACTATTAAAGAATGAAAACGAAATTATATTACCATAGAAACGAGTTTCGACTTTTAGAAAAAATTCAACTATATTTTTAAGTTTTTTTTTTAATTTTCTCTAAAAAAATTTAAAAATTTATATGAAGAATGCATTTTCCTCAAAATATCATTAATAAAAATGTTTCCTCTTGTAAAAACAATGCGGGGACGTACTGTATAAATTTAGTTAAAATTAAGCAAGCATTATTTTTAAAAATGGTATTATAAAGTCGGAGCTCATGTCATAAGAATTTGCAAATTTTTTTAAAAATCACAGAAAAATACAGGAAGATGATGATGATGGGTATTCCTACAGCAATTTTTGCTCAAGCTCAAGAAGAAATTACCCATTCACAGCCTGCAAAGTTTAGAAAACATTACAAAAAGTATGGGTTTATTCCACTAGTGGAGTAAAGTTATTTTACCCACCAGTTGGATAATATATTATTTTAAACACTTCAAATGAGTAGAAGCAACTCCAATTATTGTATGATTGTGGATAAACATTATTAAATATAAGCAAAAAGTAGTCTTACATCAATAATAGGTAACATCGATTAAATCATGCAATGGTATAAAACAATATTAGTTTTTTAATTAACAAAACTTGAAAGAAAATACAAATATTTTCTTTTGAAGCAGTACTTCTTACACACGTGTATTATTTTTGCAGTCTAATACACTTTATTGCAATTCGCTGTAATTCTAATTCGTTTTTTATTGTCGTACAGAAAAAACGCAGTGCAGAAGAAGAAACGATAAACATATTCGGGTTACGTTAAACTGCAATAAAGAACATTAAGCCAGAAAAATACAAAATAGTGCAGGAAATTTTAGAATAAAGAACGTTTACAAAAAGGAACATTCTTTAAAACCATTATTGTTATATTAATTTAATGCAAAATCATAGTAAAAAATGTTTCAAAGTCGCTACACACATCTGTACCTAAAATAACGAGATTTGCAGTCGACGTTGCCACTCCTGCAGGATTACTGGCTCTGCACGAGTACACAGCGACATCTTGCGGTTCAACTTTCGAAAACTCTAACGTGACCGTGTCTTCCAGTACCGTAACTGTGACGCGTTCTGTAGTGTTAAATACTTCGTCGTTTTTGTACCAGGTTATTTCTGGGAAAGGAGTACCTTCAATTTTGCCCACCAACCTCGTGGGTTCTCCTTCTTCTGCAACAACAGGTTCAACGCGTTTAGTGAACCGAGGAGCAACATCCTTAGATTTAACCCGTCTACCTATAGTTTTCTGTACAATAGATGTTTGTACTGTAGTTTCTTCGCGTAATCCTTTCTGTTCAACTAATTCTTCGTCAGGAATTTTATCAGTAACCTCCGTAGTTCTCTTTTGTGATATTATTTCTAGTTCAGGCAAGGGCTGACTATCGTCAAACTTAATCACGCGCTTCTTCTCTTTCTTGACTTTCTTCGAAACTATTTGTACTTGAATATCTTTCTTGAATTCTTCCTGATCTTCTGGCTGTTCTTCTTCAGGCTTCTCTATCGGTTGTGGTAACTCTTTCTTTTCTAAAAGAGTTATTTCAGTTTGAGATATCTCAGGTATCTGTACTGTTTCTTCTACGTCTTCTAATTTTGTAGGAATCAACTCAGGTGCTTCTTCTTCAGGTTGTTCTTTATGTTTCGGTTTTTTCTTCTTAATTTTCCTGATTTCTGTCTCGGTAATTTCCTTAATACCGGGTTGTTTGAGTTTAAGCTCATCATCGTGTTCAACTTCCGGAATCTCGTATGGTTTTTCAGTTTTAACATCTTCCGTAATAACTTTAAATTCTTCTTCTTCCGGTTTTTCTCTAGGTATGGGTTTAAGTTTAATTTCTTCCAGGGGCTCTTCTGGTAACGGTTTTCTTTTACCACGAGGCCATTCTTTGACTTCAGGTACCTCCTCAACTTTCTTTTTGGATTTTCTCTTATAAGTTGTCGGTTCTTCTGGTTCATGAACTTCTTCTTCGAGTTCAGAAGGTTTAAGCTCAACGATCGTCACTTGCTCAGGTCGAGGTACTGGTTCCTTTTCTTTCGGTTTAAATTCAAACTCACCCTTTTCGTAGTCTTTTGGCTGGTAGTCGCCTTTAGGAAGTTTAACAGGTTTAGATATTTCAGTACTTGTCTCTTCAACCTGTTTGTCTCTCTTAACCGGTTTCAGTTTAACATCTTCGATTATGTCCTCATGTTTCGGTATTTTTCCTTTTCCTATCTTTAATCCAGGAACTTCTTCAACTGGTTGTTCTTTCTTGGGTCTGACAGGTTTCCTCCAAGGTGCAGTTGGAGTTTCTATTTCTTCTTTAGGTTTTTCCTCAAATTCGATTTTCTCGGCAACTTCAGGAACGTACTTTTCAGCGTCTGGTATTTCTGGCAGAATAACCTCTTCCTTCTTTCTTCTCTTTTCTTTTTTCTTCTTCTCTACAAGTGTAGCTTCTTGAAGCTCGGGCAAGTCTACTGGTTTCAAAATGACTTTTTCCAAGTCTTCTTCCTCTTCAGGCTGTTCAGCCTTTGTTACTGGTTTTAGTTTAACCAGTACAGGTAAAGCAAAATCTTGTACTTCAGCCTTTTGAGGTTTCTCAGGTTTGCTTATATGTTTTAATTTGATAGACTCCGGTTTTTCTTCTTCTGGAATTAATATTATCCTTGATTTGAGTTTCTTGGGTTTTTCTTCATCGACTTTCAATACTATTGTGTCCTCGACTTCGGTAACGGTTTCAACAATAACCGAAACAGTTACTTCCGGTTGTTTTCCTTCTTCTTCCACAGTTACAATTTCAGTAGTTTCCTCTTTGCCTCCTTCCTTCTTCTTAATCTTTCTCTTTTTGATGGTTTTCTTTTTGGGTTTGCCTTGTTCCAGTACAGTGGTTTCCTGAATTTCTTCGGGAAGTTCTTCTATGACCGATTTCTCAGGTGTTTCTTCAGATGCGGCTTCTTCTAATATCGAAACAGTAGTTTCTGGCTTTTTACCTTCTTCTTCTACTGTAACAATTTCAGTAGTCTCGTCTTGATCGCCCTTTCGTTTCTTGATTTTTCGCCTTTTGACGACCTTCTTTTTAGGAACACCCTCTTCAATAACTATAGTCTCTTGAATTTCTGTTGGTAGTTCTACGACAATAAACTGCGGAGCTTCTTCTTCAGTTTCTATCGGTGCCACGTCTTCTTCGACGGTTACAGTAGTTTGTGGTTGCTCGCCCTCTTTTTCAACTGTTACTATCTCAGTTGTTTCACGTTTATCTCCATCTTTCTTAATAATTTTCCTTTTTTTGGTCACTTTCTTTTTGGGCTTGCCCTCTTCAATTACAACAGTTTCCTGTATCTGTTCTGGCATTTCTTGGACTATATATAAAGGTGCCTCTTGTTCTGGTGCGACCTCTTCAATAACTATCGTTGTTTTTGGTTGTTCACCTTCCTCTTCCACTGTAATGATTTCGGTGCGTTCTTGTTTGTCACCCTTTTGTTTCTTGATAACTCTCTTCTTGACGACTTTCTTCCTAGGAACCCCACTCTTATCAATAACGGTCGTTTCTTTAATTTCTAGCGGTAGTTCCTCGACTTTGAATATAGGCTCTTCAGCTTCCTCTAGTTCGATAGGCTTCAACTCAACTTTCTCAATGTCTGGTTTTTCTGTTTCTTTGGGAGCCTTTTTGGTCGGTTTTAATTTTACTAGTTCGTCAGTCCAAGGAACTTCTTCGATTTTCTTTGCCTTCAGTTTCTTTTTGGCTTTAGGTTTTTCTTCTACAATTGGTACTTCCTCTATAACTACTGTGGTTTCGGGTAACTTACCCTCTTCTTCTACAGTAGTGATTTCTGTTTTTTCTTCTTTGTCTCCTTTCTTCTTTTTAATAACTCGCTTCTTAAGTACTTTCTTCTTTGTCACACCACCATCGACAACAGTGGTCTCCTGAATCTCAAGTGGCATTTCTTCAACAGTGTAAGATGTATTTTCTTGAATAGGGGTCTCTTCAATGGTTACAGTAATCTCGGGTTTCTTTCCTTCTTCTTCTACAGTAATAATTTGAGTCGTTTCTTCTTTGTCACCTTTACGCTTTTTAATTGTTCTTTTCTTCTGAACTTTTCGTTTAGCAACACCTTTATCTACAACGACAGTTTCTTGGATTTCAACTGGCAACTCTTCTACAAGGTATTCGGTCTCAACTTTTTCAGTTGGTAATTCTGACGGTACTTCACTTTCAATAACAGATATAGTGACTTCAGGCTTGTGACCTTCCTGTTCGGTCGTGACGATTTCAGTAACTTCTTGTTTGTCACCTTTTCTAGTTTTAATAACGCGTTTCTTCTGCACCCTTTTTTTACGAATTCCTTCATCTATAACTGATGTTTCAAATACTTGTTCTGGTAGTTCTTCAACTGTATAAATTGGTTGTTCTTTAGGAATTGTCAATTCCTCTACTGTTACTGTAGTGTGAGGAACTTTTCCTTCTTCTTCAACTGATACAATATGGGTTGTTTCTTCCTTGCTACCGCGTCTTTTCTTAATAACTCGTTTTTTCGTGATTGACTTTTTCGGGACACCGTGCTCCACAGTAATAGTTTCCTGAATTTCTTCAGGTAACTCTTCAACGACATATTTAGGTACTTCCTCGGCGAAGACATGATCAGGAAGGTCTTTAGCCAGGCGCATTTTGATTAATTCAACTTGCACCATATCCATGATATCTTCAGGTTGAACTTCTTCTGTCTCTTCTGCTAGTGAAGGTACAAAGAGATATCCTTCGGAGGTTGTCAAAGTCTCTTCAGTTTTCTTTGCCTTTTTAATCTTTTTCACTTTAGGTTTCTTCGCTTCTACCTCAGGCACTTCCGTTTCAAACACTGTAACGGAAGTAGTGGGCTTCTGGCCCTCCTCCTCAACAGTTACAATTTCGGTGGTTTCGTCCTTGCTTCCTTTCCTAGTTTTAATAACCCTCTTCTTGACAAGTTTCTTTTTAATCACCCCTTTATCTTCTACTGTAGTTTCCTGTATTTCCTCAGGTAGTTCCTCAATTACAGGTTTCTCAAAGGTACTTTCAGTTTCTTCTACTTCGTAAATTTCGACTGTTGTTTGCGGTTCTTTGCCTTCCTCTTCAATTGTAACAATTTCAGTTACTTGTTCCTTGCCATCCTCCTTCTTTTTCTTAATAGTACGTTTTTTCTGTACTTTCTTTTTCGTAACACCTCTTTCAACTATAACTGTTTCATGTACTTGTAAAGGCAATTCTTCTACAATATACTCAGGTTGAATTTCTTCAAGTAGAGCAGGTTGTTCTTCTATAGACACGACAGTCTCAGGCTTCTCGTCGCCTTTTTGTGTAGTCAAAATTTGAGTTATTTCCTCTTTATCTCCTTTTCTAGTTTTTATGATGCGTTTTTTAACAACTTTTTTCTTCGAAATTCCTTTTTCCACAACTGTTGTTTCGAAGACTTGCTCAGGCAATTCTTCTACTGTGTAAATAGGTTGTTCCTGAACTGCTTCTGGTATTTCTTTTTCTTCTTGTTCCACTGTTATTTGAGGGGCCTTTCCTTCTTCTTCTACCGTAGTAATTTGAGTTGTCTCTTCCTTGCTACCCTTTCTCTTTTTAATAACACGCTTTTTAACAATTTTCTTCTTAGGATGACCTTCTACAATCACCGTAGTTTCTTGGATTTCTTGAGGCAATTCTTCGATAGTAACAGTTTGTTCTTCTTCAGGTTTCTCCTCAGATTTTATTGGTTGAAGTTGAACTTCCTCTAGCTTATCTTTAACGATTTTCTTTTGAGTTTTGTTAGTACGTTTTAGTTTAACTTGCTCGGTCCATGGAATATCTGGTTTTTGTTCAAATATCGTGGCTTTTGGCTTTTCTTCTGGAATTTCTTCTTCTTTTACGGTGACAGTTATTTCAGGTTTCTTGCCCTCTTCTTCAACGGTAAGAATTTCCGTTGTTTCATCTCTACTACCCTTTCTTGTCTTAATAACCCTCTTTTTAACAAGTTTCTTCTTAACAACCCCTTTGTCTACAACTGTAGTTTCCTGTATTTCCTCTGGCAATTCCTCTATTACAGGTTTTTCAAAGGTGATATCAGACTCCTCTAATTCATGAATTTCGACCGTTGTTTGTGGTACTTTTCCTTCTTCTTCAACTGTCACAATTTCAGTAACTTGTTCTTTTCCATCATCCTTCTTTTTCTTAATTGTTCTCTTCTTTTGTACTCTCTTTTTCGTTATACCTCCTTCAACTACAACTGTTTCTTCAATTTGTAAAGGCAATTCTTCTACAATATACTCAGGTTGAATTTCTTCAAGTAGAGCAGGTTGTTCTTCTATAGACACGACAGTCTCAAGCTTCTCGTCGCCTTTTTGTGTAGTCAAAATTTGAGTTATTTCCTCTTTATCTCCTTTTCTAGTTTTTATGATGCGTTTTTTAACAACTTTTTTCTTTGGAATTCCTTTTTCGACAACTGTTGTTTCGAAAACTTGCTCCGGTAATTCTTCTACTGTGTAAATAGGTTGTTCCTGAACTTCTTCTGGTATTTCTTTCTCTTCTTGTTCGACAGTTATTTGAGGGGCCTTTCCTTCTTCTTCTACCGTAGTAATTTGAGTTGTCTCTTCCTTGCTACCCTTTCTCTTTTTAATAACACGCTTTTTAACAATTTTCTTCTTAGGACGACCTTCTTCAATCACCGTAGTCTCTTGGATTTCTTGAGGCAATTCTTCTATAGTAACAGTTTGTTCTTCTTCGGGTTTCTCTTCAGTTTTTACTGGTTGAAGTTGAACTTCCTCTAGCTTATCTTTAACGATTTTCTTTTGAGTTTTCTTGGTACGTTTTAGTTTAACTTGCTCGGTCCATGGAATGTCTGGTTTTTGTTCAAATATCGTGGCTTTTGGCTGTTCTTCTAGAATTTCTTCTTCTTTTACGGTGACAGTTATTTCAGGTTTCTTGCCCTCTTCTTCAACGGTAAGAATTTCCGTTGTTTCATCTCTACTGCCCTTTCTTGTCTTAATAACCCTCTTTTTAACAAGTTTCTTCTTAACAACCCCTTTGTCTACAACTGTAGTTTCCTGTATTTCCTCTGGCAATTCCTCTATTACAGGTTTTTCAAAGGTGATATCAGACTCCTCTAATTCATGAATTTCTACCGTTGTTTGTGGTACTTTTCCTTCTTCTTCAACTGTCACAATTTCAGTTACTTGTTCTTTTCCATCATCCTTCTTTTTCTTAATTGTTCTCTTCTTTTGTACTCGCTTTTTCGTTATACCTCCTTCAACTACAACTGTTTCTTGAATTTGTAAAGGCAATTCTTCTACAATATACTCAGGTTGAATTTCTTCAAGTAGAGCAGGTTGTTCTTCTATAGACACGACAGTCTCAGGCTTCTCGTCGCCTTTTTGTGTAGTCAAAATTTGAGTTATTTCCTCTTTATCTCCTTTTCTAGTTTTTATGATGCATTTTTTAACAACTTTTTTCTTTGGAATTCCTTTTTCAACAACTGTTGTTACGAAAACTTGCTCCGGTAATTCTTCTACTGTGTAAATAGGTTGTTCCTGAACTTCTTCTGGTATTTCTTTTTCTTCTTGTTCAACAGTTATTTGAGGGGCCTTTCCTTCTTCTTCTACCGTAGTAATTTGAGTTGTCTCTTCCTTGCTACCCTTTCTCTTTTTAATAACACGCTTTTTAACAATTTTCTTCTTAGGACGACCTTCTTCAATCACCGTAGTCTCTTGGATTTCTTGAGGCAATTCTTCTATAGTAACAGTTTGTTCTTCTTCGGGTTTCTCTTCAGTTTTTACTGGTTGAAGTTGAACTTCCTCTAGCTTATCTTTGACGATTTTCTTTTGAGTTTTCTTGGTACGTTTTAGTTTAACTTGCTCGGTCCATGGAATATCTGGTTTTTGTTCAAATATCGTGGCTTTTGTCTGTTCTTCTAGAATTTCTTCTTCTTTGACGGTGACAGTTATTTCAGGTTTCTTGCCCTCTTCTTCAATAGTAAGAATTTCCGTTGTTTCATCTCTACTACCCTTTCTTGTCTTAATAACCCTCTTTTTAACAAGTTTCTTCTTAACAACCCCTTTGTCTACAACTGTAGTTTCCTGTATTTCCTCTGGCAATTCCTCTATTACAGGTTTTTCAAAGGTGATATCAGACTCCCCTGATTCATAAATTTCTACCGTTGTTTGTGGTACTTTTCCTTCTTCTTCAACTGTTACAATTTCAGTAACTTGTTCTTTTCCATCATCCTTCTTTTTCTTAATTGTTCTCTTCTTTTGTACTCTCTTTTTCGTTACACCTCCTTCAACTACAACTGTTTCTTGAATTTGTAACGGCAATTCTTCTACAATATACTCAGGTTGAATTTCCTCACGTAGAGCAGGTTGTTCTTCTATAGACACGACAGTCTCAGGCTTCTCGTCGCCTTTTTGTGTAGTCAAAATTTGAGTTATTTCCTGTTTATCTCCTTTTCTAGTTTTTATGATGCGTTTTTTAACAACCTTTCTCTTCGGAATTCCTTTTTCCACAACTGTTGTTTCGAACACTTGCTCAGGCAATTCTTCTACTGTGTAAATAGGTTGTTCCTGAACTTCTTCTGGTATTTCTTTTTCTTCTTGTTCAACAGTTATTTGAGGGGCCTTTCCTTCTTCTTCTACCGTAGTAATTTGAGTTGTCTCTTCCTTGCTACCCTTTCTCTTTTTAATAACACGCTTTTTAACAATTTTCTTCTTAGGACGACCTTCTTCAATCACCGTAGTTTCTTGAATTTCTTGAGGCAATTCTTCGATAGTAACAGTCGGTTGTTCTTCAGGTTTCTCTTCAATTTTTACTGGCTGAAGTTGAACTTCTTCTAGCTTATCTTTAATGATTTTCTGTTCAGTTTTCTTCGTACGCTTCAATTTGACTTGTTCGGTCCATGGAATATCTGGTTTTTGTTCAAATATCGTGGCTTTTGGTTTTTCTTCTGGAATTTCTTCTTCTTTTACGGTAACAGTTATTTCAGGTTTCTTGCCCTCTTCTTCAACAGTAAGAATTTCCGTTGTTTCATCTTTACTACCCTTTCTTGCCTTAATAACCCTCTTTTTAAGACGTTTCGTCTTAACAACCCCTTTGTCTACCACTGTTGTTTCTTGTATTTCCTCAGGCAATTCCTCTATTAGAGGTTTTTCAAAGATGATATCAGACTCCTCTAGTTCGTGAATTTCTACCGATGTTTGTGCTACCTTTCCTTCTTCTTCAACTGTAACTATTTCAGTAACTTGTTCTTTTCCATCGTCCTTCTTTTTCTTAATAGTTCTTTTCTTTTGTACTCTCCTTTTCGTAATACCTCCCTCAACAACAACTGTTTCTTGAATTTGCAAAGGCAGTTCCTCTACTACGTACTCAGGCTGAGTTTCTTCAGGGACTGCAGGCTGTTCTTGTATGGATACGACCGTTACAGGCTTTTCCTCGCCTTTTTGAGTAGTTACAATTTCAGTAATTTCATCTTTGTCTCCTTTTCTAGTCTTTATTATACGTTTCTTTACAACTTTTTTCTTTGGCACTCCCTTCTCTACAACTGTTGTTTCATAGACCTGCTCAGGCAATTCTTCGACTGTATAAATAGGCTGCTCTTGAACATCCTTGGGAATAACTTTTTCTTCTTGTTGTACTGTAATCTGTGGTGCTTTTCCTTCCTCTTCTACTGTAGTAATTTGAGTTGTCTCCTCCTTGCTTCCCTTTCGTTTCTTGATAACGCGTTTCTTAACAATTTTCTTCTTAGGTTTACCCTCTTCGATAACTGTGGTTTCTTGAATCTCTTGAGGCAATTCTTCCATTGTAACTGTCATTTCCTCTTTCAGTTTGTGTTCAGGCTTTACTGGCTGAAGCTGAACTTCCTCCAACTTATCTTTACCGATTTTCTTTTGAGTTTTCTTAGCTGGTTTTAATTTGACTTGCTCTGTCCAAGGGATATCAGGTACTTGTTCAAATATTTTAGTTTTTAGTTTTTCTTCCGGAATCTCCTCCTCTTTAACTACGACAGTAACTTCAGGTTTCTTTCCTTCTTCTTCAACAGTAACTATTTCAGTAATTTGATCTTTACCATCCTTTCGTTCTTTGATAATTCTCTTTTTAAGTACCTTTTTCTTAGATATGCCTTTCTCAACAACCGTTGTTTCTTGTATTTCCTCAGGTAATTCAATAATTTTAGGTTTCAGCTCTTCAACTTTGCTTTCCTCTTCTTTTGTAACGACAGATATTTCAGGTTGTTTACCGTCTTCCTCGGTCGTTATAATTTCTGTGATTTTTTCTTTGCCATCCACTTTCTTTTTAATGGTTCTTTTCTTTAAGACCTTCTTTTTGGGCACACCCTCTTCTATTACTATGGTTTCTTTAATCTCAAGTGGCAGTTCTTCTACAATAAATTCGGGTTGAATCTTCTCTGCGGGAGTTTGAATTTCATGATAGGTTATTGTTGTTTCTGGTTCTTTACCTTCTTGTTCTATGGTAACAACTTCTGCTAGTTCTTGTTTTGTACCTTTAGTTGTTTTAATTGTCCGCTTTTTCTGAACTTTCTTTTTGGGAATTCCTTTTTCAATAACAACAGTTTCAAGGATTTGTTCTGGTAATTCTTCAACAACATAAATCGGTTGTTCTTTAGGAATTTCTTCCTCTTCGATAGTCACTGTCGTTTGAGGTACTCTACCTTCATCCTGTACTGTGACTATTTGAGTTATTTCTTCTTTACTACCTCTTCTCTTCTTAAGAATTCGCTTCTTTGTTAATTTCTTCTTTACTATGCCATTTTCAATTACAGTTGTTTCCTGGACTTGTTGAGGTAGCTCTTCAACTAGCGTAAATTCCTCTTTAGTTTCTTCTGGTTTTGGTTTAATTACTTTTGGTTTCTTAACCTTTGGCACTGTTTCTTCAGTGACCAGGACTTGAAACTCTGGTGCTTTTCCTTCTTCTGTAATAGTAATAATTTCTGTCTTTTCATCTTTGCTACCTTTCCGCTTCTTGATAACTCGTGTTTGAACGACCTTTTTCTTAAGAACGCCTTTATCAACAACAGTGGTTTCTTGTATATCTTCTGGAAGTTCCTCTACCACTGGAGTTGTAGTGGTATCTTCGAGCGGTACAGCCTCTTCATAAACTACAATACTTGTTTCGGGTTTTTTGCCTTCTTCTTCAACAGTTAAAATTTCTGTGGTTTGCTCAACTCCATCCTTTTTCTTTTTAAGTGTACGTTTTTTAACGACTTTCTTCTTATGTGTGCCTTTATCGACAACAACGGTTTCTTGAATTTGTACAGGGAGTTCTTCCACTACAAATTCAAGTTCTTCAGGTATTTCTTCTAAAGATGTCTCAATTTCCTGCACGGTAATCACCGTTTCAGGTTTTTTACCTTCTTGCTCTGTAGTGACAATCTTAGTTATTTCTTCTTTATCGCCTTTTCTTGTTCGAATTACTCTTTTCTTTTCAAATTTCTTCTTAGTCACGCCTTGAACTACAACAGTTGTTTCCTTTACTTCTTCTGGTAATTCATAAACAGTGTAAATAGGTTGTTCGGATTTTTCTTCAGGTATCTGTAATTCTTCGACAGTAACTGTAGTCAAAGGAGTTTTTCCTTCTTCTTCTACCGTTAATATATGAATTGTTTCTTCCTTGTCTCCCTTTCTTTTCTTTATTACTCTCTTTTTCGTTGTTTGTTTCTTTTCAATGCCTTTATCGACGACAGTGGTTTGTTGAATTTCCTCTGGTAATTCTGTTATCACTAAAGGCAATTCTTCGGGAAGTTTTGGTTCTTTCTTAACGGGTTTAAGTTGGACTTCCTCCGGTTTCTCTGCGACCGGTTTGGTTGTTTTGGGTGCCCTTTTAAGTTTAACCTGTTCAGTCCAAGGGACAACTTTCTCTTCGATAAGAGGTTGTTTTTTAGGTTTCTTTTCCTCTGGTACTGCTTCTTCAGTTACGTATACTGTTGTTTCGGGTTTCTTTCCTTCTTCTTCGACAGTAGATATTTCAGTTATTTCCTCTTTATCACCTTTCTTCTTTTTAATTACCTTCTTTTTGAGTACCTTTTTCTTGATGATACCCTGATCGACATACTCAATTTCCTGAACTTGTTCTGGAACTTCGCTGATTGTGCTTTCTACCTCTTCGAATGGTGCTTCTTCCTCCTTAACTATTACAGATGTATCAACAAGTTTACCTTCTTCAGAAACTGTTACAATCTGGGTAATTTGTTCTTTATCGTCTTTTCGTTTTTTAATTGTGCGTCTTTTTTCGACGCGTTTCTTAGGAACCCCTTCTTCAATTACCACAGTTTCCTGTATTTCTACGGGCAGTTCTTCTAAAACTTCATAAGTTTCAGGCAATCTTTCTAGAGGAGCTTCCATTTCTGTGACGGTTATAACAGTTTCAGGTTGTTTTCCTTCTTGCTCTGTTGTAATAATTTCAGTGGTTTCTTGTTTACCTCCTTTTCTTGTTTTAATAACACGTTTCTTCTGTACTTTATGTTTGGGTATGCCTTGTTCTATTACAGTTGTTTCATATACTTCTTCAGGAAGCTCTTGGACAACGTAGTGTGGTTCATGTGCCTTATCTTCAGTAAGTTGTTCTTCCTGAATTGTTACTGTGGTGACAGGAGCTTTACCTACTTCCTCTATCGTAGTTATCTGTGTAGTTTCTTCTTTGTCTCCTTTTTTCTTTTTAATAATCCTTTTCTTTGTTATTTGCTTCTTTTCCACGCCTTTGTCGATTACGGTAAGTTGTTGAATTACTTCAGGCAGTTCTTCTATAACTGTAATGGGTTCTTCAAGTATTTCCTTTTGAACTGGCTTAAGATGACCCTGTTCTGGTTTTTCTTCTTCGGGTTTCTTGACTTTTGGTGTCTTCTTCAGACTTACTTGTTCAGTCCAAGGTATTTCCTCTGTAGGTTGAAGTAAAAGTTTTCTTTTGGGTTTCTCTTCTACTTCACTTGGTTTTTCTTCTGTTACAACTACTGTAGATTCAGGTTCTTGCCCTTCAATCTCGAGGGTATAGATTTCGGTGGTCTCAGCTTTGTCTCCTTTCTTTTTCTTGATTGTTCTTTTCTTTAAAATCTGTTTCTTCTCTATACCTTTATCTTCAACTATTATTTCTTGGGTTTGTTGAGGTAACTCAATTATTTCTTCTTTAGGAACCTCCTCGGTAACAATATCTTCCTTAGTTATAACAAATGTTTCAGGTTTCTTACCTTCTTCTTCAATTACAACAATTTCTGTCGTCTCCTCTTTATCGTCTTTTTTCTTTTTAAGTGTTCTTCTTTTCTCGATCTTTTTCTTAGGCTTTCCATCCACAATTACAATAGTTTCTTGTATTCTCACGGGAAGTTCTTCGACCATAAATTCTGGATGCTCAACTAGTTCTTCTTTTGGTGCCTCTATTTCTTGAATGCTTACCATAGTTTCAGGTTTCCTTCCTTCTTGTTGCGTCGTTACGATTTCAGTAATTTCTTGTTTCGAACCCTTTCTAGTTTTAATAACTCTTTTCTTTTCGATGCGTTTTTTAGGTATTCCTTTTTCGATAACAATAGATTCATGGACTTGTTGTGGTAACTCTTCAACAACGTATATGGGCTGTTCGGATACTTCTTCTGGTATTTGCTCTTCAGCGACCGTAACAACAGTTTCTGGAGTTTTTCCTTCCTCCTCAACTGTTACTATTTGAGTAGTTTCTTCTTTACTACCTCTGCGTTTCGTTATAACTCGTTTTTTGGTCACTTGTTTCTTGGTTATGCCCTTATCAACAATGGTAGTCTCTTGAATTTGTTCAGGAAGCTCTGTTATTTTTTCGACAGGTTTCTGAACTTGTTGTAGACGAACATCTTCAAGTTTTTCTATAGGAATGTCTTGTTTTTGTGGTTTAGCTCTCTTAAGTTGAACTTGTTCGATCCAAGGAATTTCTTTCTTATCCTCGGGAATGATTTTCCTGCGTGGTTTCTTCTGTTCGACCAATTCTTCAGTTACAGTTACCTTAGTTTCGGGTAGTTTATCTTCCTGTTCAATAGAAACTATTTCAGTCCTTTCCCTTTTATCACCTTTTTGTTTTTCTATTACTCTCTTCTTAACTATTTGCTTTTTAGGGACACCTTCATCAATTACTATAGTTTCGTATATCTGGACAGGAAGTTCCTTAATGGTAAGTGTAGGTTCTTCTATTAACTCTTCTTTGGTGACTGGTTGCTCTGAAATTGTTACAGTGACTTCAGGTTTCTTCTTTTGATCTTGACGAGTAATAATTTCAATAATTTCTTTTTTGTCATCCTTTTCCTTCTGCAATGTTCGTTTTTTAACCACTTGCTTGATGCTTTTACCTGCATCAATTGTAGTTGTTTCGTAAATTTGTACAGGTAATTCTTCTACAACAAATTGCGGTTCTGTTTTAATTGCATCTTTTGGTAGTGGTTTTTCGGTTATAGTAACGATTGTTTCAGGCTGTTCAGATCCTTTTTGAGTGGTAACTATCTCGGTGATTTCCTTTTTGTCTCCTTTCTTTGTTTCAAAGATACGTTTCTTCTCAATTTTCTTCTTGGTAATGCCTTTTTCTACTACAGTACTCTCTTTAATTTGTTCAGGCAACTCTTCGACTATATAAATAGGCTGTTCAACTATTTCTGCCGGTATATTTTCTTCTTCGATGACAACTGTAGTAAGAGGTGCTTTGCCTTCTTCTATAACAGTTACAATATGGGTAGTTTCTTCTTTGTCATCAATACGTTTTTTAATTGTCCTTGTTTTGGTTGCTTTCTTCTGTACAACACCTTTATCTACTGTTGTAGAAATTTGGATTTGCTCAGGAAGTTCTTCAATGACCACTTGTTTAGCCTCAGGTGTTTCTGAAACCTTAAAGGGCTTTAGTTTGATTTCTTCAGGTGTTATTTCTGGAACTTTACTCTTCTGTGGCTTCGCAGGTTTAAGTTTTACTTCTTCTTGAGTCCAAGGAACAGTCTCTGGTTTTCCCTCAATTACAGGCTTCTTTTTCTTAATGTCTTCCAAAACTGTGACTGTCGTCTCAGGTTGTTTGTCTTCTTGTTCTGTGGTTACGATTTGAGTGATTTCTTGTTTATCGCCTTTCTGTTTGCGTATAATTCTAGTTTTAGTTATTTGAGTTTTCGGTACTCCATCGACGATTACAGTACTTTCTGTAACTTGCAGAGGAAGTTCAGCTGCAGTAATTAACTCAGGTACATATTCTGGTTCTAAAGGTTGTTCTTCGGTACTTACAGTAACATGGGGTGCTTTATCTTGTTCTTCTCTGGTAATAATTTGAGTAGTTTCATGTTTGCCATCTCTGGTCTTCTGAATAGTACGTTTTTTAATAACTTGTTTCGATATTTTTCCACCTTCAATGGTTACAGTTTCATGAATTTGTACTGGCAATTCCTCCACGCGATATTTCGGTTCAGTATAATGTTCAGCTTTGTCTAAAGGCTTTTCGTGAATCTTTACAGTATCTTGAGATACTTCGCCTGGTTTTTGTTTGGAAATAATTTCAATAACTTCTTTTTTATCGCCTTTCTTAGTTTGAATTACACGTTTCTTTTCAACAGTTCGTACGGGTTTCCCTGAGATTATTTCTGTTGTTTCTTGGACTTTAATAGGAAGTTCTTCAACGACATATATAGGTTGTTCAATATCTTTCTTCAGTATTGGTTTCTCTTCAATTACAACAGTTGTCTGGGGAGATTGTCCTGATTCTTCTAGTGTTACAATATGAGTAGTTTCTTCAATACTACCAGTTCTCTTTTTCAAAAGACGTTTTGTAGTAATAATTTCTTTAACCACGCCTTCCTCTACAAGTTTTGTTTTGTGGATTTCCCCGGGTAGCTCGATAATTGGTACTAATTCCTCTTCTGGTTTTTCTTCTAATCGTTCAATAACTTCTTCCTTTTTAGCTATAGGTTTTAAGGTTACGTCTTCAATTTTTTCTTTTGGAATTTCTTTCTCCTTTCGAGTTGTTTTCTTGAGGCTAATAGGCTGCTTATTCCACGGTATTTGTTCATCTTTTTCCGGTAATTCTTTCTGTTCTATCACAGGTTTCTTGCCTCTTCTCCAAGATCGTTCTTCTAATTTGGTTTCCGTTACCTCAGAAGTTTGCTGGTCTAATTTTAATAACGAGGTATCTACAACTTGAGATGGTGCAATTTGAGATGGTTGAATTTCCTCCTCTGGTTTGGATAGTTTTGGTCCTCTATCCCAAGCTCTTGTTTCAGGCCTTGATTCTTGGGTAATTTCTTCCTTTCGAGATAAGTCTAATACTGTTTTATCTTCAACGTGTTGCAGAGGAGCTTGAGCAGGTGGAACTTCCTCTGGTTTTGTTGGTTTTGGTCCTCTAGCCCAAGCTCTTGTCTCAGGCTTTGATTCTTGTGTAATTTCTTCCTTTTGAGATAGGCCTAATATTGTTTTATCTTCAACTTGTTGAAGAGGGGCTTTAAGAATTTCAAGTGGAACTTCTTCTGGTTTAGTTGGTTTTGGTCCTCTAGCCCAAGCTCTGGTCTCAGACTTGGACTCCTGGGTAACTTTTTCTTGTTGAGACAAATCTAATATTGCCCTATCTTCAACATGTTGAAGAGGAGCTTTAGTTATTTCAGGTTGAACTTCATCTGGTTTTGTTGGTTTTGGTCCTCTAGCCCAAGCTCTTGCCTCAGGCTTTGACTCCTGAATAACTTGTTCTTGTTGAGATATATTTAAAATTGCTGTGTCTTCAACATGTTGAAGAGGAGCTTTAGGAATTTCAGGTTGGGCTTCTTCTGGTTTTGTAGGTTTTGGTCCTCTAGCCCAAGTTCTTGTCTCGGGCTTAGACTCCTGGATAACTTGTTCTTGTTGAGAAATATCTAATATTGCTCTATCTTCAACATGTTGGAGAGGAACTTTCACTAATTTTTCCTCATCCTTTCTTCCTCTTGTCCAACCTTTAACTTCTAATTTAGATTCTGTGGTAATTTGTTCAGTCTTTTCACGAATTCCAAGTAAAGCTTTATCTTCGGTATGTTTAATTTCTTGAACTGCAGTTTTAGATACTGTTTCTGTGATTTGTTCTTCTGTTTTTTGTTCTACACGTACCGTCGGTTTTAATTCTACAGACTCGATTTTTTCTTTTGCAATATCTTTTCTTTGAATTGTAGTTTTCTTTAACGAAATATCCTGTTTATTCCACGGTATAGGTTCTTCTTTCTTTTCAACTTCTTTGGGCTTTTCTTCAATAAGCTTCGGTCCTCGTTTCCAAGGTTTTGGTGTTAATTGTTGCTCTACAGTTTCGTCTGTCTTCTCTTTTATATCTAACACTGTTTGATCTTCTACGTGTTGTAATAAATCCTTCTCTTTTACACCTCTTTGCCACTCTTTAATCTGAATTTTCTTTTCAGTTGTTTCGATTTTGTGTTCCTCCACACCCAACAGAGTTGAGTCTTCAGTATGTTGAATATGAGCTTTAGATATCTCTTGTTGTTTTATTTGTTTTTCTGTTATGGTAACAGCTTCTCCGGCTTTAGTTTCCTGTATAATTTCTTCTTTTGATGTCGATTTTAATTTTACGACTGGTAAAGTTTCTTTAGAAATTTCTTTCTTCTGTACTGTGGTATATTTGAGACTAATATCTTCTTCAGTCCATGGAACAGGTTCTTCCGGTTTTCTTTCAAGTACATCAGGATGGAATTCAACATCTTTTACAGCAGGTGCTTTAGGAACCGGTTTCAGAGACACTTCTTCTAGTTGTTCCTTTGGAATGACGTGTTTTTCTGGAACAGTATGTTTTAAACTAATGGGTTCTTCAGTCCATGGTACAGGTTCGCCAGGAAGTCTTTCAACTGCTTGAGGTTGACTTACGTCCTTAATTTGTGGTACTTTTTCGGTATGTTTTAGGACAACGTCTTCTAATTCGGGTTTGGGAATAACTTTCTTTTCCGGAACTGTAGGTTTCAAACTAATATCTTCTTCAGTCCATGGAATAGGCTCACCTGGTTTTCGTTCTTGTAAATGTGGTTGCTGAAGTATGTCTTTAGCTGCGGGTACTTTGTCAGAGTGTTTAAGAACAACTTCCTCAAGTCTTGGTTTAGGAATGACTTTCTTTTCGGGAACTGCAGGTTTTAAACTAATATCCTCCTCTATCCAAGGAACTGGTTCACCTGGCTTTCTTTCAGCGATGTGTGCTAAGTGTTCTTCCAGAGGTTCCCGTACTTTACTCACAGGTTTTAGAGGTACCTCTTCCAAAACTGGTTTAGGTATTTCCTTCCTCTCTGGTTGAGTATGTCGTAAACTAATATCTTCCTCTGTCCAAGGTACGAGTTCGCCTGGTTTTCGCTCAGCCACATGAGGTACATGACCTTCCTCAAAGCCTTCAGGTACTTTAGAAACAGGTTTTAGTGTTACCTCTTCCAGGGTTTCTTTAGGAATTTCCTTTTTCTCTGGAAGAGTATGCTTCAGGCTGATTTCCTCTTCAGTCCAAGGTACTGGCTCACCAGGCAGTCGCAAAGGAATCAACTTTAATTCTTCTAAATCAGGTAGAACTACAGGTCTAAGATGAACTTCCTCGAGCTTTTCTTTAGGGATTTCTTTCTTTTCTTGTGGAGTCGGTTTAAGGTCGATATCTTCTTCGGTCCATGGAACTGGTTCTCCAGGCTGTCTGGGCTGTTCCAATTTAGCAAGTTTTAGTGCCTGAATCTCTTCTAATGTTACTTGTTTGAGGACAACTTCTTCAAGTCTTTCTTTCGGAATGTCTTTCAGTTTTGCAATTTGGTCCTTTGGAGCTGATTTGAGAGTGATTTTCTCGTCGATCCAAGGGATTATTTTAGCTTGTTGAGGCTGAGGACCTGCAGTTTTGATAATATGCTGAGGTTTCTTGGTTATGACTGTATCGATGTCAATTTCGACGGAATCTTGCTTTTCAAGAGTTTCTGGATGGTGTATGGGCTTTTTCCATTGCGTAACTACGGGTTCTTGTGGAACTACTGGTATTTTTTGTATTTCTGGAACGTGTTTTAAGTCTACGCTTTCGAGTGTTGCGTGTGGGATTTCCTTTTGGACAGGTACACTAGGTTTAAGATGTACCTCCTCGATGTGTTCCCTGACGGGTTCTTTACGCTCAATTTTCGCTTTCTTTAGTACTATAGGCTCCTCGGTCCACGGCTGAACCTGTTTTAATCTTTGTTGTTGCTCTTGAAAATCTATCATTTGAGGTCTAACTTTTCCTGGGCGCCTCCAAGGAAGATTCTCGTCTCCCGTTGGTAAATCGTTGGGTTCTAGTGGCTGACCACCCTTGGAACCTGGTACAAATTGGAGGGTGGTTTTGCCCACACCTCCGGATACTGACGGTCCGTATTGTTGTTTTGACAATTGTGTACTTGTATCTTGTTCTGAACCGACATCGGTAGAAGCAGTTTTTCGGTATGTTCCCGAACGCCCTAGAAGTTTTTATTTGGGTTACTTGTGTATAGTAAACCTACCTTTTGAAGTAACCCATACTGGTTCAAATGATATATAAAATTTGGTAAAAAAATATACACAGTTTACCTTTAAGACAAAATATCACTACAACTAGTGTTGCATGGTGGCAATTGATTATTTTTAAATGGTTTTGATGGTGTTAAAGAAAGTTAAACTTTAAAGTGTACTGTACTTAGAAACCTTTCTTTGTTTAAATCAGTTTTATTTATAACTTAAAAAATATTATTTTTTATTTCAATGTTTCAATGCCATGTCATTGCAGCACTAGGTTTGTAAAATACACAACAAATCATATTATTGGTGGGAAAATGCATAATTTATATTCTAGATTATTTTTGACAGTATTTGAACCACAGGAAATATTGAAACTAAATTTGGTATAAAACATTACATTGTGTTAACCAATGTTTTTTTATTATAAAAAAACTATTACGATTCTGCCTAAATTTAAATTTCAAACTTTTATCTAAATGATCAAAAACTTCTTAAAATAAGTGTATCGGAAAGTATAGTTATTAGTTATCTGTCTCATATATAATTATAATAAATAAATCTCTCATATAATTTTAATAAATAAAAAATAATAAATCTCAATTTAAAATGCCTCGTAGAAAAACAAATCGAAATAGTTTTAAATATTTATCAAAAGTAAGGCTAATTTATCTTTTATTCTATTTCAGAACACCCCATACAGAGCTCCTTTTTTTCCATCAACATCTGTCACCATCGACTCACGAAAAACAAAGAACGCTGTTCTATTTTAAGCTCTAAGGCAGTTTAATCTATTTCGGTGCGTATTGAGTCATGTTAGTAGTCACCTGAACTCACGCATAGTTTTCGGGGTTTCTCGACATTGCTGTGACGTCACACCCCACCTCTAGGTAGCCAGCGAGTGACTAAGGCAATGTGTTCATTACATTTCGAACCGCAATGAAGTTCATACGCGTGTTAACTTTTAAGAAAGAGAAGTGAATAGAAAAAGTGCAGTTTAAGTGAATCTTTCGGGAGTTTGTACAGTGAATTATAACGAAAATTAGTGAAGTGTTGTGCGAAAATGTATGAAACTTGCCGCGTTGAATGTGTTTTTCTTAATTTTTATTTTGAGTTAATATTTTACTTAAAAAAACATTCAACGTGGCATGTTTTGAACAGAATAGACCTTAAACCTACTTGAAAAAATATTGTAAAGTTCCAAGTGATATGAGTTATTATAATTATAAATTAAAAAGTAGCCGGTATATAAGTAAATAAACATAAAAATTATATTGTGGTAATCTTTAAGCTTCATTCAGAACCACGAAATTAGTGAAACAAATTAGCGGTTTTAATTCCCGTAGAAGTTTGACAAACTTAGTTTGTTCCTCTAATTTAAATGTAACCATTCCGAACGTCAAAATTAGTGGTGGTAATTTTCAATTAGTTTGTTAACTTTTAACTTTTTTTCTAATTATACTTCAAAATTTGCGAGTAATATCATTTTAGCTTTCTCTATGGATACAACTGACTACCGCAACCTGTTGCTAGGATATTCTATTACTTTTAATTGTATTTTTATTTCACATTGTGAATGATCGTAAACTCTTAAGTATAAAGTATAATTGAAACCACTAATTTATTCCAGTAATCTTGAGGTTCTGAATGAAGCTTTAAGCTTTATATTTTCTGTAATTTGTAATTCGACTATATTGATTGATTGTTATAAGTAAAAACTAGCAAATGTATGTAAATAAACATGTCGCTCTGTCTAAAATTCAATTTTTTAATATAAATTGTGACAAGGGTGTAATGATCGATGTTTTACGAGTCAATTTTGGAAATACTCCAAAATAGAGCATGTAGGAGTAACAATTTTACTACAACGTCTATAGTAAAATCATAGACCACACTAATCCTGTCAAATTATTTATTGATTTAAATAAAACACATCATTAATTTTGCCGAGAGTTTTATTAAACCTCTTTTATTCCATTTCCCTCACAAATTTAATTAAGAATAATAAAGTCTAAATAAATAAAGTGCCTGTTGTGCACATCTGCTTTGCACACGGCCTAATGTGGATTTATTCTACGAGGAGGTCCGGTCCTAATATAGACCGTAACGTAATATTACACAAAGTTTAAAATAGTTCGGGAGCAATGTGCACACGACACCCAAGTGTATTTAAAAGTTATTTTAAAGTTTTGCCCGCGTTTTATCTTTTGATTTTGGCATCAGGCTGCGCGTGTTATTATCTCAAATTTATGTATTTTTTTCTTGCTGCTTGTTTAAACAAATTTCTTTAATTGATGTTTATGCACCTGTAATTTTTCTTTTCACAGATGTGTGAAGTTTTTAAGTTTAAAAGTAATATAAGTAATTGGGGACAGGTTTATATTTTTCAGAATTCAAAACAACACAACTGCTTTCTCTGAAAAAAAATATTGTAATTGGCTTTTTTGGCAAGGGTTCCTTGAGCTACTTAGTCAGGATATTTTGTGATATTATTACTCATTTATGAAATAACAGAAAAACAATGAAAAGTGGAACATATGTTTCGTATGTTTTCGTGCCAAGATATTATATTAGCCAGTTCTGGTCTGGACTCGATGATAAACACGTCAGAATGGAATGTCAATAATTTTGAAAAATGTATTGTTTTTGACACGTTGCACAATAATATACTTATTGTCTTAAAAAATATTTTTTTTAAAAAGTTTTTATTAAGTTTTTTATTATACAATTTGTTTCAAAAACATTTTTCTGTTATTTATTTATAATATTCCTCTTTTGAATTTATATTTGACTTTATAACAATTTTAACAAACCAAACTTCTTTTAAAATAGTATAGTTCTTTTCACGTAACTTTTCTTCGTTATAACATACATCATTGTGTTTGCTGACGCTATGGTTTAAACCTTTGAATTAAAAGATTAAAGAAGAAGCAAATCAATAAAACTAGGTAGAGCGCGTGATGGGGTGTTAATATGGCTGGCTTAAATTCCGGTTCGTCAGTGCCGTTCTAAGTTTATTTAAAACATGTAAAAACATGTAAACTCAATAATTTGTTGGTTTTGTTTTACGTTGTCAATATGTCAATAAATGTTATTAGTTATTAAAATTGCTAAAAAATGTATTTTAATAAAAATAGGTAAGTTATAATATTTATTTAATAACAAAAATATCAGATGACGCGAAATATGAGAGACGCTACTGAAATACCCAAGCCAAATTGACATATCCTAATTATTTTTAAAAAGTTCTAAATAAAAGCGAAAATGCGAGAAAAGATATATAATTTTATTAGTTAATTCGAAGTAAATTTCATAATTGATTGCTTTACTACACAGCAAAGTGTATTATACAAGGTGTCCCAGAAATAAGTGCAAGTATTTTAACTGTTGGTTAGTATAGTTAACTGTTGTTAGTATAGTTCAACCCCAGAAACACGCTTATGAAGCCAAAAAATATCGCCAAAAAAAATTGGAGTTTTTTTTAGTTTTTAGTGAAAAAACATGATTTCTTGATAATATGGCAACATAGGTAGTAGATTAAATTTACAAGAAAGAAAATCCAGAAAAGATCCAGTGGTTCTCAAAATTTGAGCAAAAAATCATTTTTCTGGAAATTTTCAAAGGAAAATAACTCCGTTATTTTGGATTTATTTGAAAAACGATAAAGAGAAAATATGTTTCTTTTATGGAGATCTACCACCCCTTAAAATATTTGCACTTATTTTTGAGACACCCTGTATATTTACTTGGTATGAGTGAAAATTATTTTCTTATTATTATATTATCTCGATTTAGCACACCGCAGAACTATTTTATAATATTTTTCTGGAATTCGCCATAATGTCACTCTTAATTGGAAGTTCCGACCACAATATCCTTCTAGATTTACTACCTCTAACAAAACCAATTTAGAATAAATTATAAGTAACTTAAAATATGCTCAAAAAAGCACATCAAATCCACAAAATTTCAAATCCAATTCAAATGTATGAAATAAAAGTCAAATATGGGGTTTCATTATATCGATTGAACCTTATTCCTTATATGTAATAAATAATGTTTTATTTGAAATTTGATTACTGGTTTTAAAACCTTCATATGAAAAAAGTTAAAAAAATATTTGCCAAAATATTTCCTTCCTTTAATTAAAGTTGTTAAGTATAATCAATGAAAATTTTTTATCATCTCCCCAACACAAGAAAATTAGAAGAAAGCAAGAAAAATAAAAAAAGAACAAAGAAGAAAAAGAAAGAATTCTTTTAAACAACGCCATGGATTTTTTATAACCGTTAGCTGAATTTAACAATGCACTGCGTTGATAACATAAAATTTGTTTATGCCAATTTTTACATCAATTTCAAGCCAAGATACCTTAACTAAATCAAGATAATGTATATTTATATACAGAGTAAGACGACTGGTATGTTATAAACAACCATTACCATTATTCGTAGGCAGTTGTGTTATTTTGAATATCAGTTCAATGTATAATGTATAACTTGAAACTCAAATTGGTTTTTATGTATAGCGATTTATTAAACAAATATTTACTGCAATAATCAAATAATATACATGGTGACATACAAATAAATAAATAATAGTGAAAGGGGAAAGCTATTCAGCAATAAGTTTAGTGCCAAAAGCTTCGTTTCATTCCTAAAATTAATATAAATCACTTGGAACCTTACAACATAATAAATAATATAACATTTTTTTACAAAGTTCATTTTCCCACCACCATAAAAAGTCATTGGGAGCTGCTGTTTTAGTTTTTTTTCCAGTGATTTGAGAAAAAAATGTTAAAAGTAGCACATTTTTATGTGTTTTTTTCTAAATATTTAATGAAAGCGAAAAAAACTATTAAAATGGGTAATTAATACTGGGGTAATATTATGTATTAGAAACAGCACCTCCCATATGTAGAAACAATCCAAAAAAAGCTGGACTATGAATTTATTTCTTACTTTTGATGATAAGCTTGGCCGACTGTTCGACGGATCCAGCTGATGACGTAGCGCGACAACTGAATGTGCCTGAGTCTTCCTCGTAGGTGGTGGCTATCAGTAAGATGGCATTGTTTCCTTCTTGGATCATCTGGAATTAAAGATAAAGTTGTTAAGTAAATGTTGTAGACATTATGAAAACTAAGAATAAATATAGGGCTTTCATACGTCCGAAGTTACACGGACATGTTCAGGAAATCAAATCTAACCGTAAAAACAACTTAACTTTGTTCAATATTTTAATCGTTACTATGTTATAAAAGTACCTATCTGGTCAGATCTTTCGTTTTTCGTGCACTCCTGGATATGAATAATGTTTTTGTCTGGATGTGAAATTCGTCTTTTGTCTTTATTTTGTTATGATGACGTGAGCCTTATATCTGCCCAACAAGAGAGTTCATAACAGTGACAGTTATGCCTGTCATTTTAATTTACTTGTAAATTGTATTTTCTGTCATTTTTTTGAATACCAGACCAATGCCAATGACAGACTTTACCTCATGCTAATTGTATATGCAATCAAAGTTTTCAACTGACTTTAATTTCACCGTTGAAGTAAAGTGTTATCGACATCTAACAATTACTAGTAAACGTTGATATTTTTTTAAATAAGACATATCCAATGCGTAATTGCTAAGATTTCCTAGTGAATGTCAATAATTACTGGATTTCCGACTTTCACTGTAACATATAGACTGATCCGAAGAATAATTCTCTAAAAGTCTCCTATCCACTCGCAAGTAACTTGTAAAACATACTTGCTGTTAGTATCTACACTGTACTGTAAATTTTCCCAATTCGATGTAAAAGAAAAATGTATTAGGTACCTAAGCAAAATTACTTGCATGTGGACATGAGGCTTAACTTGCCTCTTTAACTATTAACTAATTATAAAAATAGCGAAACTAACCTGAAAATCTGGCGATTCCGGTATAAGGAAGCCTTCTCTCAGCCACTGAATCGTGGGCTTCGGTTTGCCAGAAATGGTGGTCTTGAACTGGGCCGGACTACCTTCTGGTACAATGACGTCCTTCATCGGAGTCAAAGACGGAGCCACCTCTTGCGTTTCTGGAGCCAACACCCTCAACTTAGCTTGAGAAGTTATGGAACCTGCCGCGTTCTCAGCTACGCATTTGTAGACACCTTCATCTTCAGGGAACGCTTCGGAGATCTTAAGTATGCAAAAATCACCTTCTTTCAGCATTTGGAAGTATTTGGATGGTTTGATGACTTTGTCTGCTTTGAGCCACTTGATTGTAGGTGTGGGTTTTCCTACTATTTTACATCTGAAGGCAACAGCTTGTCCTTCACGAATAGTTTGGTCACGAATGGGTTCAACTAATGTAGGAGCTTTTTCTGTTCCAGGTGTTGTTGGTTTTGCGGGTCTCTGAGGTCCTGAAGGCGTTAAAACAGTACAGTCGGCTTCGCATCTTGCTTCACCTCCTTGGTTGATGGCAACACACTCGTATTTACCACTATCTTCTGGAACCAGCTCAATGATAAGGAGAGTATATAAATCATCTTCTTCCAAAGTCTTGTATCTAATATCAGGAATAATCTTCTTTCCGTTCTTCAACCAGTAAACGTCAATGGGTTTAGTACCGTTGATTCTGGCATCAAACCTGATAAGTTGACCAACATTTGATGATACAGATTGGATAGTATTGGCAAAGTTGGGTGGAACAACACCTCCACGACCCTGCCTACGTCGTTCTTGGACAACCAAGTTTGCACTGCATTTGGCAGATCCTCCACGGTTTTCAGCTACAACACTAAACACTCCGGAATCTTCCATGAACACTTGTCTAAGTACCAGGATGGATTTTGTACTGAAAGTGTAGATCTTCAAGTCCGGTGAACTGGTAATAGGGAAATCTTCTCTGAACCACGTGACTTTAGGTAACGGATCACCATCAAACTCGACTTCAAACCTAGCCGAATCATTTTCGAAAGCTCTACAAGGTTGAATCTTCTTGGTAAAAACTGGTGGATTACTAGGTAATACTTGGCCTTGAACAACACGTTCTTGAGTCTTGGCTTTGTGTTCTACATCTGTGGTTTCGGTGGCTGTGATATTTCTGGTGATTTCGAGGTCTCCCTGGCGCTCTTTTTGGGTTTGTTTTTGTTTGGTAACGTAAACTTCTCTGCCATGGACTCCAGATTCTGTAGGTCCTGGTGGATAGGCTCCCTTTTTGGTGTCAACTTCGTATTCAGTTTGGAGTTCTTCTTTGGACTTGTCGGTTTTTCTTAAGGTTACTTGGTCTTTGTGAGGTGTTACTTTAGGTGGCTCCGCCTTGGGTAGTCTAGGAATATGTTGGAGTTGTGGCCTTTCTGGTACTTGTTCCCTGCAAAATTAAAATAAAATTTATTTAGTGATATATTTAAAAGAACGCTAAATATACAGGATGTCCCAGAAATGAGTGCAGATATTTTAAGGGGTGGTAGATCTGGTCAAAATAAACATATTTTCTCTTTACCATTTTTAAAATAAATTGAAAATAACCGAGTTATTTAACTTTGAAAATTTAAAAAAAAATCGCAGCATTTTGGGAACCGCCGGCAGATATCGCCAACTACATCCAATTACCCGGATCAAGCCCGGATTTCAGTTAATTCGTCGCACTGTGTTGCCATAGGGACAAGAAAGTATATGTTAAAAGTCATAAAATCACAACACCTGAGGAGTTTGCAGAGATGCATTACATTTTTAAGATTGTGATATTATTACATAAAATAAATTAAAAGTTAAATGTTTAATAATGTGTTAAAAAATGTGTTAAAAAAGTTAAATTAAAAAACTTACCCAACATTAAAAAAGATACTTATGACAGATCGATGTAACTGTGACAGTTCTCTTTTTCGATATACACTTAACTAAAATACACTTCATTGTGCTGCTTTACTTGTACATGCTATTATAATAACTACTAAAATAACAATCCCCGTTTTTAACACATTATTTTCATATAGGCCTCATCACAATTTGAACCACTGATTTACAAAACACCTTGAAAAGCACACATTACTATGAATACCTTTCTGAATGAATAAATGTTGAGAATTATTGTCTCTTACCGCCACTTTCCGAACTACTTTCAATCTAAGAAAATACATGTTTCACTCAACAATTTTAAATACGTATTTTGTTTTTTCGCTATTTTTTCTATGTATTTCAACAATTCCATCGACAGCCCAAACGTCGCGTCGGCCGTCGGCCAAGAGAGCGGCGCATCACTGGTAACTGCTCCTTTGTCGCGCCGCCGTGTCGAGCTTGCGTCATGCGAGGTTGCCGTAGTTTCAACAATTTCAAATTCAAGACACTCGAAGCAATCAAATTCTTATTAAATTTTAAAAATAAAACAGAAAAACATGAAAGGAAACAAACAAAACACAAATGAATTGGTTATTGATAAGGTCACAAAAAAGAAATTTTTTAAATTTTTATCGTAATTCAGAATTCGATACATCGAAAACAGCCCGACGAATAATCAATTCATTTTTGTTTTGTTTATTTCCTTTCATGTTTCTCTGTTTTATTTTTAAAATTTAATACGAATTTGATTGCTTCGAATGTCTTGAATTTGAAATTGTTGTAACTACGGCAACGTAGCTTAACATCGTCGCCTGACGCAAGCCCGCCACGACGGCTACTCAAAGGACCAGTTCACACGCGGCAGTTCTTGGCTGACGGTTAGACTGTCGATGGAATTGTCGAAATACATCGAAAAAATAGCGAAAAAACAAAATACGTTGTCAATAATTGTTGAGTGAAACATGTATTTTCTTAGATTGAAAGTAGTTCGTAAAGTGGCGATAAGAGACAATAATTCTCAACATTTATTCATTCAGAAAGGTATTCAAAGTAATGTGCGCTTTTCAAAGTGTTTTGTAAAACAGTGGTTCAAATAAAACAGAGAAACATGAAAGAAAATAAACAAAACAAAAATGAATCGATTATTCGTTGGGCTGTTTTCTAAATTTCTTGAATTGAATTCTAAATTACGATAAACATTTTAGGAATTTCTTTTTGTGACCTGATTCTGAATAATATGAATCATTTTATTAAATTTATTCCAAAATAAAGTTATTTTGCAGCATAACAAAGATTTTCGTAAACGTCATAAACGTAATGTTTTAGTTAATTTTCGGTGGTTTTTGTTAAGTTTTCATTGAAAGGGTAAGTACTAAAAATATATAGTGTGTTTTTTTTTCTATAATTATTAATAATGAGCACCGATAAAAGATTAAATTTAACATTCCTAATTTTTTGAGTAGAAATTTGTCTATGAATTTATAAATATAGAACTATATTCCGCCGAACTATGTAGAATGTGGATAACATAGGAGGTTGCAACACTGCAAGGTTTAGATAGACAATGTGGATAACATAGGAGGTTGCAACACTGCAAGGTTTAGATACACCGTAGGGAAATCTCAGGTGAATAAACAAGTGGCACTAAAAAGTTTTTTCAAATTTCCCGGAAAATGTCAAGAAAAATTTTAAATTTTCAACATTTTTTTTTGCAAAAAAAAACTCATAGGCGTGTTTCTGGGGTTGAACTATACTACCAGTTAAAATATTTGCACTTATTTCTGGGACACCCTGTATAGTGTACTGCAATGAAGTGCGTCAGACATCTATAGCTCCTATAATATAAAAACTTAGGAATTTTCTTTGCACATCTAAAGTATGTACTAGGATGTATTTCAGGAAAATATTTTAACTTCTACAAGGTGGCTCAAAATAGTATGGTAGATCGAGATGATTTTTTTTTATATAGAACACCCTGTATATTATCGCATTTTTGGCTTTCTTTCTGATCACTTTAAATAATCCTAAAGATATTAAGTTTTGATATTATTTGATTTAAAATGCAAATTATACTAGACATTTACTGTAGTTGGTATTTAGTTACTTTGCTAGAAATATCGTATTAAATCATACGGGGTGTTCAAAATTCAACGCCAAACTTTCTAAAATATAAAATATTTTTACTTCATTTTTTTAAATGGAACACTCTGTATATTATAATTTTATTAAATGCAGAATAAATAATGAACATTTGTTATATTTAAAATATAAAAAATATATAATATACGCTAATAATCTAGTTGGCGAAAATAAGAGTGTTGTTAGTATCAGAAATGATCTTTGACAATAAGATTGATACCCTCTAATGGAGAAACGAAGCACTTATAGAGGTATAGAGGTAAATTGTGTCCAATGAATTTAGTTTGATTTCAAAAATATGTAGTATTTCGATGTCCACCTGATATTGAAACACCCTGTATATATTATAGCAATTTACCATGCCTTTTCCATGATACTTACAAGTTCTCTTGGTACTGTTGTGCCATTCCTCTTGCCACGGAACTGCTCACGATCTTCTCACCAGGAATAGAGAACTGATGCGAAGAATCTCTAAGTCTGATCTCTTTGCTGACCTGCTCGTTTTCCAGTTCCTGCAATTTATTGTAGTACCCTTCTCCTTTCTTCGATTTGACGGTTTTCTGCCATTCTGTCTCGGGTTCGACGAATTCTTTCGGCTGAACGTGGACTCCACTAACGTTCAATCCAGCTTCGTGGAGAGTAGTGTTGCGTTCGTCGAAAACTTTCTCTAACTCGGTTTCTTGGCGCTCTTTCTGGTACTGACTTAGTTCTAGATCGTACCAAGCTAAAGACGAAACAGAATATTTTTTGAAAGGTGGGTGTTTTGAGGGGCAAAAATCGGACACGGTACTACAAAGAGCAATATACGATACACAATAGCACGGTAAAACAATTAAGTGTGCAATATTATGCAGGACTAATCGATTTTCATATTAAACAATTAAAAAAATATATTTTATTTACTTTGTTTAACCAACGAGAGAATGTTGAATATTTTTATTATTTTTAATTTAACCAATTAATTTAGCTTTCCATTGTGTTATCTTAATAAACTAATTCTACACATGGAAACTAGCGTGAATCAGCCAATAACCAAAAATTTGAAGTCGAATAAAAACTTTCCTTGTTTTGATTACCTAATTACCTAATTTAAACTGGCCGCCTATGTTAAAATGTTAAATAATGTATTTTTTCTCTTGTTTATGAGAATAAGTATAGAGTATAATTTTTAGAAAGCTCATAACAAGGCGAATAAAATAAAAAATAATACACAGAGTATCCCATTTAAAAAAAACATAAATTTGGGTCATATTACGAAAATGACATCTCCAAGCGGACAGATATAGTTACACCACTGCATTCTATGTGAAAAACTTTATGGGACTCAGTTTTCAACTTTTAAGTTATAAGATATATAACCGAGATACGAAGGGGGTCAAAAAATGGAACATTTTAAAATTCGCCCTGAATTTCAGGAACTAAAAGGACAAATCTGTGTGTACAATCTTTAGTTTCATAAAAAATAGAACACTAATGTAAAACCGGATTTTTGTATCTCTGGTAATAAACGAGAAACCCCACAAAACACACGAAAATGGAACACATGGAACTGTAAATCGTGTTCCACTAAGACTAGCTCTCGGCTGTATGTTGGAAAGTATTAGCCGTAGAGCCTGCGGAAGAATTATTTATATATAGTATATTTATTTTAAATAAATGTGGTCTGCTTAATATTGACACTAATATAAAAAGCATTTAAGCATGCAGTACCTACGACATATAAATTATAAAATAGCATACCTGTTTGAACAAACTCCCATTGTGCAGAAAGCATGAATACATCCGTAGATGAAATTGCCTCGAAGCATATTCGGGATAAATTCAAATTCGGGATAATTTAAGGATTCAATTGATCCAGTCAACAACTTCAACAGAGGAATCGGGAAAGAAAGGATGTAGATTTTTATGTGGTAAAATATGGAATAGTTGAGTGAGTATTAGAGCAAGTTTTAAGTGTGCCAGCTCGTCAAAATTTGTGCATTGTGTAAGGTATCTTTAGTATGATTCGAAAGTAAATACGTATTTTGATGATTTATAGAAAACCTATTATTATTAAACCTCTTTTTAAAGTCAAAAATCTCTCTGTAAATCATCATAACGGGTAAAAATGTAGTAACGATGGTGTTGGTAAAGTGTTCTAAACTTACGTCTCGGAGAGTTTTTGAGTACTCCTCTATAATCGTCGTGTCTTGGTATGATTTTCAATTCAGTTTCCGCTATGGCCTCACCCACGGAACTTCTTGCGATCACTTCAACCTTTCCTGTATCGTATTGACGGGTTTTTGGTATATCCAGATGGTACATTCCGTCGTAAGTTAGTCTGTAGCGCGCACCGTTCACCACGGTGTGGCCGTTGATAAGCCACATAACCTATAAAGAAATTATATTAGGATAATGTTATTTTTTTGATGGAAGATAAACGTACTCTTGGACGTGGATGTCCAGTGACTCTGCAACAGAATCTTGCCCATTCGCCTTCTTCTACGGTTACTGGTTCTGGTCTGCTCACAAATACCGGTGCTGATCTTGGTTTGGTTTCATCTTCAACTTGTTCAGGGGCACTAGACATAATACAAACGTATTTTCAATGATTCAATAACAGAATGATAATATTCTTTTCTACTACATAGAAACTGTAACGAAAAAAATGTAAATGTATACTTGGACTGACATTGTCTTAAATTTTGGGTAATGAGAGAGACAGGTATAAGAGACAGGTAAAAAAGTTCATAGAACATTCGCAGAAACAAAAAATATTACGGCACACCTGATACGCAAAGACAGTCAAAACTGCAGTAGGTCTTCTAATAGGGCATTGTACGCTGAATAGGCCTCTAAAGCTAATGAGATTGACAAACAAAGCCATGTGCATTATGCAGGTTTTGTCAATCTGAAGAAGAAACAACAGAACACATTGTATATCGGTGCGGCAGCCTGGAGAATGTGATGTTCTCTATAAATATGCAATGTTAGGCCATTGATAGTCCATGATAGAGAGCTATATGGAGGGTACAAGTCTCCTAACCAAATTGCTAGACTTTTTAAAAATAATAGGACTGGAGAATGTAACCTAAGGATCAGAAGAGGACCACAATAGATTTGAGAAGGTCATAATTCCAGAACTGGTACTGGCACTAGCGTTATAAAAGGCTGACAAAGATGTTCTCTCTTGACGATTCCATATTTGAAAGGAGTGGAAAAATTCAAAATTTAAACCGTCAGTCAAATAAGATATTTTAATTCACCACCTTTACGTATGTGTAGGAAAAAAGTTTTAAAAGAATCTTAAAAAAATACTTTCCTTTTAATTTTTTTCCTTTAAGCCTCATTTAGAACTTCAAAATTAGTGGAGTAAATTAGTGGTTTTAATTAACGCAGAAGTTCGTTCCTCTAATTTAAATGTAAGTATTTAGAACGTCAAAATTATTAGTGGTAGTAATTTTCAATTAATAGAAAAAGTTAACAACCTTTCAACCTGTTCCACTAAATTATACTTATGCCTTTGATTATCAAGCGTCTAGGGAAATTGTGGTTAGAAATAAAAAGTTTATTGTTTTATAAGCTAAAAATTTATTAGGCTTTCTCTATGGATTCAACTAACTACCGCCAAGTTGTTGCTAGGATATTCTCTTAATTTTAATTGTATTTTTAGACACTGTGATCAGCTTGCGAATGATCGTAAACTAAAAAGTATAAAGTATAATTGAAACAACTATTTTATTGCACTAATTTCGATGTTCTGAATGAAGCTTAACTATTAAATTTTTATAAGAGGAAAAATCGTTAAAATTTATTAAAAATCTTTGAAGAAAAATAAAATAACTCAATAATTACGTTTGCCAAGTTGCTTCGAGTTCTCTGATTTTCTCGATACTCTTCATTCCTTTAGGCAATTGGGACTCATAGATAATTCCAGGTTTACCAGCCACCTTGATGACAGCTCTTGTTTCGTCCATGCCGTACAAGTTCGTCGCTCTACAAACGTACTCTCCGCTGTCTTCCGGGTAGACCCAACCGAAATTCATGGCTACGTAGCCGAAATCGTAGATCGGCGTAAATCTATTTTCTAGAAAAAAAAGAGGCACAGAGTTATTATCACGTAAGATTAAATTATTGATGATTTTGAAAGGATTTGCAGTGTTGTTAATTTAATTTGTGTGAAATTTAGCCTTTGAATATTAAGTCTTTGAAGCGTTTATGTTAATAATATTCGTCAATTTGCATCTCTACGTTGTTGGATTCTAAATTTAGAGTCTGCTTTATCTACATTGGCTAATAACATTTTACTATTCAATAAATAACCTTACCGATTTAAAGAATGTTGAAGTCCGTATACCGGGTGTTTTTCAAAACTGGCTCACCCCTATAATTTTCTTATTTTTTTTTCAAATAAAAACGAGATTTGGTATGTGAGTATATGACCTAAATCAAGATTACTTTTTTTGACGTAGTCACGTTTGGTCACTTCCGGTTTCAACGGAAATGAATTTAACTTTCGATTTTTAAATGGTACATTCGGTATATTTTTACATTATTTTGATAGAAAATTACATTCAAAATAAAGTGAAATATCAAATGTCAACTTTTGACATCTTTGCTTGAATAAAATAGTATTTTAAATGTCAATCTTGAGTGCCATGGCTGTGTGGTAAGCTCGTTATTTTTTTACTTCATTTAGTAGAAAATTACATTCTGAATAGAATGACATATCAGACATCAACATTTGACATTTTCGCTTGAAAAAATAGTATTTTATATTTCAATCTCTAGATAGCTATGGATGGTGTTAAAACCACTAACTTTTAATGAAAGAACCCTAGAAAATAGATTTAATTATCAAATGACATTTCCTGACCGGCCAAAAGATGCTCAAATCGTAGTTTTAATCATAACTCAATATTTTTCAAATAGAACGAGGGGGGCTCATTAGCATATTTGGAAAAAGTATTTTTTTACGAATAATTTCGAGTCAAATCGTTATGAACGTGAACGCGTTATGAATGAAGTTTCCCAAATACAATTCGGACTACCCTGTATATGTATAAAGTAATATAATGAATTTTAGTATGGAGGGTGATAAATAGTTTTAAAAACAACAGTACATAAATCTGTTTTACTTACTATGTGGTAAAGGTTTTCCATTGAGGAACCACTCCACTTTCATGTTTGGATCACCAACCGGTGCAAGTTGACACTCGAATTTCGTTGTCTGACGCTCAACAAGCTCGTTTTGATCTAAAATCTGCGTCACAAATCGAGGAGGTTGTTTCTTATCCACGTCATATAAGTCGTCTTCAGTTAAATACACCTCAGATGTGTATTTCTTGATCGCAGCCTCCATTTGCATCAAAGTCTCGGATTTCTTCATGCCCTTTGGAACTTGGTTTTGCAGAATGATATTAGGAAGCTTCTTACAGCTCACGTGAGCTTTGGTAAAGTCCTCCCCGTGATCGTTAACGGCCCTACAAACATATTCTCCGGAATCTTCAGAATAAACATTCAATATATCCAAGGATACAAATCCAAGATCGTATACAGTTCTATAACGATGTCCAGCTGGTAATAATTTACCGTTCCTATACCACTCAATTCTCAACTTTGGATCGTCTTTTGGTTCGACTCTGCATTCGAATCTAATAGATTCAGATTCCTCGACTGTAACAGACTGGATGTGGGTCACAAACTTGGGAGGACCAAAAGTCTTGTCCTCCTGAGGTGCCACAGAAACTGGACCTTTTTCTAAATCTTTTAGTTTGTCTGCATTCATTCCAGGTGGAAGTTGGCTTTCAAAATCGATGGTACGTTTAGTTTTTGTGGTCACTGAAGCTTTAGTTATTGCCGATCCCCATTTGTTGGTAGCTCGGCAAATATATTCACCGGCATCTCTGGTATATGAATAGTCGATATCCAGAGAAATAAATCCGAAGTCGTTGATTTGATGTACACGAGAACCAGTGGCAAATGGTTTTCCATTGTGGAACCATTCTATAACCATCGAAGAATCGTTCTTTGGTTCTACGCGACAGTCAAAATGAATTGGCCCACCTTCAGGAACATCAACGTTATCTTTAATTTCAACAATAAACTTGGGTGGATGAGGTGTTTCTGAAGCTTCCTGAATCTCGTCTCTTTTATACAATTCTTCTTCGAGTTTCTGAATACTTTCAGTTCCCGAACGGAAGTTAGATGGTAACTGAGGCTCAACAATAATTCCTTGTCTTCCTTTTACCTCGAGTTTGCAAGATACTGAAGCTTCACCATGTCTGTTGGTTGCCTTGCAAGTATACAAGCCAGAATCTCGTTGATAGATACCAGCTACCTCAAGAATTACAAAGCCAAAGTCGTTGATTGTTTTGATTCTAGATCCAGCCCATAAAGCCTTTCCATTGTGGAACCATTCTACCCTCATACTCGGGTCGTTAATAGGTGTCAAACGGCATTCAAAGTGTGCCAGTGAGTTTTCGTTTAAGATTAAGTCAGATGGTGTTGTTATAAATTCTGGTGGTTTACCAGAGTCTTCTTCAGGGGATGGTTGAGTAGGTGCAAGTCCTAAACCTTCTAGTTCGGCGATTTTGTCAATAGTTCCTTCCATTCCTTTGGGAAGTTGAGATTCCAAGATGATACTACGTTTACCAGAAACTTTCATGGAAGCTGTGGTTACGGCTTCCCCATACTCGTTAAAAGCTCTGCAAGAGTATTCGCCAGAGTCTTCTGGATAAACTGGAGATATTTCAAGGATAACGAAACCAAAATCGCAGAAAGTACGGAATCGTGAACCAGTACGGAGTGGTTTTCCGTTCCAGAACCATTCGACTTTAAGTTTAGGGTCGTCGGTAGGAATAAGTCTGGCTTCGAAGTGGGCGTTTTCGCCTTCACGAAGACTATCGATGTTGGATAGAGGCACTGTAAATACTGGAGCTTGGCGTTTTGTTACTTCTTCTTTTTCATCTCTTGTACGGACCAGAGAGTCTTCCAGTGTCTGGATTTTCTCTAGTCCACCTTCCATGCCCTGAAATAAAACATAAGAAATTTACTTATCGTTTTAAAAACAAATTTTATGGAAAAATTGAAAATTTTTGGGGAATTGTAAATTTTAAACGCTATAGTCTGTACAACGAATCAGCGAAGATTTCGACAGACGATGACAAAAAAAGCAGATGACGTCCATACAATCCATTTTTTTTTTCACTAAAAAATAATATTTTTTAAGTTAATTATGGATGGGTTTATATATATTGGAGTGACGAGACTATGAACGACGCCCGCTGCGTATGAGGACGCAGACGCGTATGAACTCGACTCAAGAATTTAGCCTTAAGATTTGTCAAACTCTTGTCAAATTGAAGGATATTATTTCAGGAGTCTAATATCAAAAGCACCAAAGTCCACCATTCATCCAAACCGAACGAAAACTTTACAAAGAAGTTTATAGTTTAAAATTCGTTGGTTCAGTATCAAGTTCAAGTGAAAATTTAATTATAGAACTATACATGTTGGAGAGTCGGGGTGGAGGAATGGTGGAGTTTGCTGCTTTTTATATTAAATCAATCAAATAACTGCGTTCTGGAAAATGGTAAATATTTGCGATTTGCTTGTGCATTTTGGTTTGTGTTATTACGTGCATTTTGTGTTTTTTAAAGTTAAGTGAAGAAAAAAAATCAAAGGAAAGTGTAGACCCAGAGAGTCCTATTAGCCCCCAATAAAGTCTTATAACATCTCGTATATGTTGTAAATTTGGATTCAAATCTAGAGTAGCTGTAAAATAAAGATATCACACGATAGATAAATAATAATAGTTTTTTGTAAAATAAAATAAACTATTTTGAAATTGAAATAACTGACACTTCTATCACTGTCAAGGATTTTGTCGTTGGACAGACTATACAATCGGTTAAATAAAAATATCAAAATGAAGTCAAATTATAAAATTCTACTTTAATATTTATGCAATTGATTTATGTGTTGACATATTTGAATATTTATGAGTAAAAAAATAAAAAAATACATACCCGCGGGAGTTGCGAGTCCAGGATTAAATTTGCTTTAGAGACACATTTCAATGTTGCCTTTGTAGAGTCTTCTCCATATTTATTATAGGCTCTGCATTCATAAACTCCAGAGTTTTCTTCGTAGCAGTACAAAATATCAAGTATAACAATACCAAAATCATGGAAGGTACGGTATCTGTGACCATGAGGTAATTTCTTACCATTGTAGTACCATTCAACAACCAAATCAGGATCAGTAACTGGTGTAAGACGAGCTTCAAAGTGAGCGCTCTGTCCTTCAACAAGTTTGGTAACATCTTGTATTTGGGTAATAAACTTAGGTGGTTCAGTGACAGGTGTCGTGGGAGCTTGAGCTTGCTGTCCATGGAAACTTTCTAGTTCTCTGATTTTAGCTAAAGAGTCGGGTTGTAAACTCTCAGAGAATACACCTCCTTTACCATGAGCAGATATGGTGGCTCTAGTAAAGTCTTCTCCGTACTTATTGTAAGCTCTGCATACATATTCTCCGGAATCTTGATCTTGAATGTAAGAAATATCCATTACAACAAAACCGAAATCTGAGACTGTCTTGATACGTGATGACTGTAGAATATGTTGTCCGTTGTGATACCACTCTACTTTAAGGTTTGGATCATTAACAGGGATTAGAGTACATTCGAAGTGAGCTGATTGGCCGTCTTTTAGACCAACAATATCTTGAATATGTGTAGTAAACTTAGGTTTTTGTCCTGATTCTTTATCAACGCATTCGAGAGTAACACTTTGTTCTGCTACTCCCCATTTATTTGTGGCTTTACAGGTATAAGTACCCGAATCTTCAATTTTAGTTCCCAGAACTTCTAGAACAACCATACCGAAAGCGTGTACTGTTCTAAATCTGTGAGATGCTTCGATGGTTTTTTGGTTATAGAACCACTCAACAACCATGGTTTGGTCACCGATGGGTGTAAGACCGGCTTCAAAGTGAGCAATTTCACCTTCACTAAGATTAGTGAGGTGTGTGAATTCAGATGTAAAAACTGGAGCATGGCCTTCTTCACCTTCAACAAATGGCATTTCAGGTCTGTTAAGGGAATCTTCAAGATCCTGAATCTTTTCTAAACCTTCTTGTCCTTTAGGATGTTGAGTTCTCTCAATAAGATTGGCTTTAGTGGTACAATAAAGTGTGGTTGAAGTAAACGCTTCACCAGCTTTGTTGGAAGCTTTAGCAGTATACACACCTTGATCACGTTCATAAACATCAGTTAAATCAAGAGTGACAAAACCAAAGTCACTGGTAAGTTTAAATCTTGAAGCATGATCCAACGATTTACCGTTAAAGAACCATTCGATCTTAAGATTAGGATCTTCCTTAGGTTCAACCGATGCTTCCAAATGCCATGGTTTGCTTTCTAGTACGGTAAATTCGGGATTAAGTGGCACAGTCCAAACTGGTTTAGGATATTCTTTTTCAGGAGCGAAGCCTGGGTGTTTAGATTTGGCAGCAGCTGCTTGATCAACAGTGTCAATAGCTTCAAGACCGGCTTGCCCTTGGGGATGTTGCGTGTCGTAATAGATGCTTTTCTTGCCTGTACAACGTAAAGATCCGGATGTTGTAGCTGATCCCTTACTGTTGATGGCTTTGCAAGTGTAAATTCCAGAATCTTGTTCGTAAGAATGAGTGATATCTAATGCGACATATCCAAAATCATAGGTAGACTTATATTTTGCTCCACTTGGGAGTGGTTTATTGTTAACAAACCATTCAATTTTCATAGTAGGATCTTTAGATGGTTCAACATGACATTCGAAGTGTACGTTGTCACCTTCAAAGCATTCCACATTGTTGAGATGGGAAATAAATATGGGAGTCTCGTAAGTTGGTTCTGGAGCTTCAGGCCTTGGAGCTTGTGGTCTTTCCAGTTCTTCGATTTTAGGAATGGCATCAGGATGCAAGCTTTCTCCCAATAACCAGTGTTTATCTGCGATTTTCAAAGAACAGGTTGATATTGCTTCACCCAATTTATTTGTGGCTTTGCAAGTGTATATTGCTGAATCGTCATCTCTTAATCCGTTAATGGATAAGGTTACCAAGCCAAAATCGAATGTACTACGTAATCTGGTACCGGTAGACAATGAAACGCCATTTTTAAACCACTCAATTCTAAGATTAGGGTCAGTTCTAGGTTCCACTTGTGCTTCAAGGAAGACATGTTGACCTTCTACAAGATTATCGTAGCTCTTCAAATGAGTGGTAAATACAGGTGGTTGTTGTGGAGTTGTATCAATAAACATTTCTGGTACTTTGTTCATTTCGGCTTCTTTGAGACGGATTTGTTCCCATGCATCAGGTTGTAATGGTTCTCCTATGATGTTTGATCTGGATTTAACCTTCATTGATATTGATGAAACAGCTTCTCCAGATCTATTAATTGCTTTACACATGTAAACTCCAGAGTCATTAGGAACTGTTGACATGATGTCCAAAGTTACGAAACCAAAATCGTTTGTAACCTTAAATCTGGAACCAAGTTTTAGTTCTACTCCATTGACGTACCATTCAAATCTAAGACTAGAGTCTCCAACAGGTACAACTCTAGCCTCAAAGTGGGCATGTTGGCCTTCCCATAGTTCCGTTGGTCCAGTAAGTACCTGAGTAAATATGGGCTTTTCGAAAATTCGTTCTGGTTCTTCTGGTCTTGGAGCCAGTGGTTGTTCAAGTTGAGCTATTTTGCTTTGAGCCTCTGGATGTTGTGATTCCAGTTGTATACTGGCTTGTGCTGAAAAAAATATATAATAAGAATAAATTTAAGTGAGGTAGTATTAAAATACTTACTTCTAATTCTCATTGACGCCGTAGTAACAGCCTCTCCAAGTGGATTGGTTGCTCTACATAAATATATACCAGCATCTTCTTCTCTGACATGTTGTATGTCTAAAGATACATAACCGAAGTCATGAATCTTAGTAATACGAGAGCTATCTTCCAAAGGTTTCTCGTTCCTAAACCATTCTACTTTCAGGGTTGGGTCTCCTACAGGAATGAGTCTGCATTCAAAGTGAGCAGTTTGAGCTTCTTGGATGAAGTCAATATTTTGTAAGGGTTGTGTAAAGACTGGACGTTGTCTAGTGACCGTGTCTTCAATTTCAGGTCGTTTATAAGGTTCGTGAGCCTCGAGCTGTCTGATCTTGTCAAGACCTTCGGGTCTAGTAGACTCTGTAATGATACTATCTCTTGATATCACCTTCAAATTAATTGAGGATACTGCTTGGCCTAAATTGTTAATAGCTTTAACGGAGTATTCACCAGCATCTTCTGGAACAGCATGTGTAATATCCAGCGCAATATATCCAAAATCAAAAGTGATATGGAATCTGTTGCCATGAGGTAATGGCTTACCATTATGATAAAATTCAATTCTGAGGTTAGAATCGTGAATGGGCTCGACTTGAGCTTCAAAGTGGGCAGTTTGGCCTTCATAAATTTCAGTAGTACCGCGTAATTCAGTAACGAATCTCGGCGGTGTAGCGACAGGTTCTTCAATTTCAAGTCTAGTGGGGTGACCTTGAGCTTCAAGCTCTCTGATCTTCTGAAGACCCTCAGGATGTTGGGTATCGAGTACGATTCCACTACGTCCTCCAACTTTAATTGTGCAAGTATTAACAGCTTCTCCAACGAGATTAGTAGCTTTGCACATATAAGTACCACTGTCTTCTGGATATGCGTATAAAATGTCTAATGCGACATATCCAAAATCGTGAGTCGTTCTAAATCTGTGACCTGCACGTAGTTTGACTCCATTGACGTACCATTCGATTTTGAGGTTGGCATCATTGATTGGCTCAACGCGTGTTTCTAAATGGGCATGTTGACCTTCTTGTAAATTGTCTAAACTTATTAAAGGAGTTAAGAAGACAGGTTTTTGTGGTAATGGTTCTACTTCTTCGCGTTTTGGTCTCTCGTAAGTTTCAAGTTCTTTCAATTTTCTTAGACGTTGTTCGTCCATTGTTTCAAGGTATAAGTTCTTGTCCTTAATCACTGTTACTGCAGCTGTGGTTACAGCTTCACCAACAGCGTTTCTAGCTTTGCACATGTAAGTGCCTGAATCTTCTGCATAAGCATAAAGAATGTCAAGAGCTACATATCCAAAGTCATATGTCGTTTTAAATCTATGTCCAGTTTGAATCGGACGTCCATTGCAGAACCATTCAACTCTCATAGTAGGGTCGTTAACCGGGGTAAGAGTAGCTTCCAAATGGGCACTTTGTCCTTCAGGAAGGTTTTCAATGGTCTTAAGACCTCTTCCAAATTGGGGCTTTTCGAGCACAATAGCATCTTCGCGAGATACTTTCTTGTATTTAGATTCGTCTTCGAGGTATTGGATTTTCTGTAGGGCACCTTCGTGTTGAGTGTCGCGGATAATGGAGGCTTTAGCTATAATTATCAAAATAAATTAGAATATGTTAAAAATGTAAGCTAAGGAAATAACTATTTATGTATTGAGGGAATTATAAGGGAGTGAATTACCGAGGACAAAGTTTCTCTCCCGAGGCCGAGGGTCCATGGCTCGAGGGACAATAATTGTCCGAGGTTATTAACACATTATAATTCCAGTGGTGGTTGGCGTAACCAAGCTTATATTAATTCAGTAAGAAATAAAAATTCTAAAAGACTTACATCTAACACTTGTTTGTACTGATGACTGAGCTTGTCCAATTCTGTTGGTTGCTCTGCAGGTATAAGTACCAGAATCTTCAGCATAAGCTGTAAGAACATCTAGACTAGCAAATCCGAAATCGTAAGCGGTACGGAACCTGTGGCCAGTTGTCAAAGCTTTTCCATTGTGTAACCATTCAACCTTTAGATTTGCGTCAGGATATGGTTCAATTCTACATTCGTAGTGAGCACTTTGGCCTTCAATAAGCTCGGTTGGGCCGTTGAGTTGAGTAGAGAAGAACGGAGCTTGAGTAACCTCAATCTCCTCTTCTTCGCGTCTTTGATAGCGGCTGGTGTCTTCAAGTTGGCGGAGTTTTTGTAGAGCGCCTTCGTGTTGGGATTCGAATTGAAGAGAAGCTTTGGCTGCAAAATTTAAGACCATTAAAATGTTAGAAAAAATTATTGAGATAAATTTCTTACATTTAACATCCAATACAGCAGATGTTACTGCTTCTCCCAAGTCATTGACGGCACGACATGTGTAGGTTCCAGAATCTTCTGGATTGACGTACTTCATATTCAGAGCTACGTATCCAAAGTCGTGCATGGTAGTTATGCGGTTAGCTAAAAACGAAGAAATAGGTAACAGAGTACTAAAAAAATATGATAGACCTTACAAGCTTGAATTGGCACACCATTCCTTAACCATTCAACTTTGAGTCTGGAATCTCCAACAGGAATTAACCGTGCCTCAAAATGAGCAGCCTGGTTCTCAGCTGTTCTAAGGTCTTTCAGAGGTACGGTAAATACAGGAGCTTGACTGATACTTTCTTCGTAAACTTCTCTGCGCTGGTACTTGGAAGTGTCTTCGAGTTCGGTAATCCTTTCTAGAGCTCCCTCATGAACAGTTTCTGAGTAAATCGATTTCTTAGATTGTACGTTACAGATAGCTGATGTAACTGCTTCTCCAAGAGCATTTGTAGCCCGGCAAGTATATGTTCCGGCATCTTCGGGATAAGCATACAGAATATCAAGTGCTACGAACCCAAAACTGTTGGTTTCGGTAAACCTGGAACCAGATTTTAACGGTTGTCCATTATGGAACCATTCAACTTTCATCGTGGCATCCGAGACGGGAATTAAACGGCACTCAAAATGAGCACGTTGTCCTTCCTTGATATCAATATTCTTCAATGAACTGGTAAAAATGGGAGCTTGAGTAGTTATTTCTTCATGTTCCTCGCGTCTTTGGTAACGGGAACGGTCTTCAAGGTGTTGGATTTGTTGCAGACCAGTTTCATTTACTGTGCTAGTAATAATTTGTCCGGATTGTCTACATTTCAGTGAGCAGGTAGTTTCGTCTGAACCTATTAGGTTAGTGGCACGGCAGGTGTAGACTCCTGAGTCTTCGGCTATTAAATCGACAATATCGAGAGCGACATATCCAAAATCGTGGATTGGTCTGAATCTGTGACCAACTGTAACGGGTCTTCCGTTTTTGTACCATTCTACTTTAAGATTTGAATCTGTGACAGGTTCAACTTTACATTCAAAGTGAGCGTGCTGTCCTTCAGACATATTTTCTACGTTCTTGGGTTTTGTAATAAACCTGGGTTTTACAGTGATTTGTTCGTCGACAAATTCGGTGCGCTTGTAACGAGATGCGTCTTCTAGATGCTGAATTTTCTCCAAACCTGCGGGATGTTGCGTGTCAAACAATAGATCTTTCTTAGCGATGACTTTTACACTGCAAGAAGTTACGGCTTCTCCAAGCTGATTTCTAGCTTGGCAAGTATAGATACCAGAATCTTCTGGGTATACGCTAAGCAAATCTAAAGCGACATAATCAAAGTCATAGGCTGGACGGAATCTGTGTCCTACTTTAATAGGGAAGCCATTGCAAAACCATTCAACTCTCATGGAGGAATCACCGACAGGCTGGAGACGACATTCCATATGAACATTTGTTCCTTCGACTGTCTCGATATTGTGCAATGGTCTGGTAAATTGAGGAGCCTGGAGAACAGTAACGTCTTCTTGGACTTGCTTTCTGTATCTAGAAGTGTCTTCTAGCATTTGGATTTGTTCCAAAGATTGTTCATGCTGAGTATCAGTGATAATATCTGAACTAGCGATTACTCTGACGCAAGCAGATGTATGTGCTGATCCAAGATGGTTAACAGCACGCACAGTATATTCTCCAGAATCTTGAGCTGTGGCGTGGATGATATCCAAAGCCACAAATCCGAAATCGTTGTAAGTTCTGAATCTGGAACCTACAATAACTGGTCTGCCGTTGCAATACCATTCTACTCTCATGGTTGGATCTCCCATAGGTTCGAGTCTGCATTCCAGATGGATATTACGACCTTCTTGGCATGGTTGTGGGTCGGATAATGGTACTACAAAGATCGGTTTTGATTTGGAAATTTCCTCAATATTGTATTGGGGTTCGACGAACTTTGACTGTTCTAAATGTTGGGTTTTATCGTAGGCACCCTTATGCATGCTTCTTGTATCAATACTAGCACGCGCTAAAAAAATCAAATGTTAAAACTGAGAGAGCTATGAGTCTTAATACTTACTTTCAACTACCATGCTAGCAGAAACCTGAGCTTCTCCCAAAGCATTCCGGGCTACGACAGTATAAGTACCAGTATCTTCCTCTCTGACACTAAGAATGTCAAGAGCTACATATCCAAAATCGTGGTAAGTCTGAATTCTGTTGGCAGGTTGAATGGGTTTTCCGTTAAAGTACCATTCAATTCTTAGAGTCATGTCGCTTTGAGGCTCAACGCGAGCTTCAAAGTGAGCTCTTTGTCCTTCGACAATTTTATTTGTTCCTTTCAGTGGTCCCAAAAACCGTGGTTTATGTGTTACTTGAACTTCTTCCTGTTCTTTCCGAGCGTATCTACTCGTGTCTTCGAGGTGTTGGATCTTTTCTAAACCTCCTGGATGTTGAGAATCGAAAATGATGTCTTTCTTGCTCACAACGCTAAGTTGGGCGGTCGTAGTGGCTTGACCCAGGGCATTGTAGGCACGACAAGTGTAGTGACCAACGTCGTGGATTGTAACTTCCTTAATAGTAAGAGCTACATAACCGAAATTGAAGAAGCTAGTAATTCTGGAACTGGCTTCAACAGGGCGGCCATCTTTTAACCATTCTACCCTCATGGTAGCGTCGCCTACTGGTTCTAGTCTGGCTTCAAAGTGGGCGAATCCGCCTTCACGAATACCTAGTTGGTCTTTAATGGGCGTTTTGAATTCGGGAGGTGCTAAGCTTTCTGGGCTTTCTACGACGTATTTTTGGTGATCTTGCTGTTTCCATGATTCAAGCTCTTGAACCTGAGAATGAGAGCAAGATAGTAAAAATAAAATGAGTTTTTCTCATTTATAATTACCTTTTCGATATAGCGTTGCTGCTCGGGGATTCCGAGGTCACCAGTCACGGTGGATTTGGTAAAAACTTGGACAGTGGCAGTACTGATCGCCTCTCCTAAATGATTGACAGCTCGTACAGTGTAGGATCCGGCATCTTCGGCACGTAGGTGCATAATGTTGAGAGACACGTAACCGAAGTTGAAGATGGTTGATATCCTGGAACTGGCTGTAATCGGTCGGCCATCTTTGTACCACTCCACCTATGGAATTCAGACAGTAATTTACATATAATAGTTGTAAATCGACTAAATTTAGCTTCACGACTTACTCTCATTGTAGGATCACTGACAGGAGTCAACTGAGCTTCAAAATGAGCATTTTTGCCCTCCTGAAGTTCGCCAAGGTCTTGGAGTGGACGGATGAAATGAGGCTTTTGGTTCGATTTCTCTTCCAAACTTTCTTGTCTTTGATATCTTTAAAAGAAGAATCTTTAATACCAAGTATAATAAAATCTGAATATCAAAGTACCTGGAGTAGTCCTCCAGTTGTTGGATGTACTGCAAACTGTCTGGATGCTGACTGGACTTCTCGATCGATTCTCTTTGTCTGATTTGCAAAATGGCACGGGATTCTGCAGAGCCGGTAGCACTGGTGACACGACATACGTACTCACCGGCATCGTTTAAAATTAATGATATTAAATCGAGGGCTATGAAGCCAAAGCGGAAAATGGACGTAGCTCTAGAACCTGGAAAGCAAAAAAATCTCTTTACAGACTGTTTTATAAAATAAATCTATAAAAAAAAGAAAAATAGTTTCAAAATAAACTTTAAGCGCTTATAGGTACTTAGATTAGTTTTGTTTAGAAAATAAATCCATAAATGGCATCCATAGGCTCAGAACACTTATGCAGCTTAAGAATGGCCAGGTGACCCTCAAATGGTGCAGAAATTAACCAGGGTAGAGACAGACAAAAAGTTCATAGTAGAACATTTGCCAAAATTTACGGCAGACCTGATAAGCAAACACAGAAAGACTATCAAAGATAATTTATAAAACGGACAGGGCACTGTAAACTTAATAGGCATCTATATCTGATGTTATTGTCTGATAATGATTACAGTATTCGGTTATTGACAAAGAGCTATATGGAGTGTTCAGTATCCAATTTGTTAGATTTTTATAGGGCTGGAGAATGTAGCCCAGAGATCAAAAGAGATCTGACAAGGTCACGGTCAAACAGGCCGATAGTGACCTCAAAAATTAAATTATAGGTTTTAACTAACTCAAAATAAATTAGGTAGAATTCTGGAGATTAACCAACTAGAGGCTGGTGTATAATTAAATCAAACTGAGGAAATGGAGGTGGATTGGTCACACCTTAAGGCGAAGTGGCAACAACATCGCTGGCACAGCTATCGAACCAAAAGTCGAAATCGTATTTTTATGAAACTCCAAATAAATATTTTTGGCCCAGAGACCTCAATATGATAAAAAAAACGGCGTCAGCGATGGTTATGAAATGAAGATCGCTGTCATTTTATATATAAAATTATATGGGGAATGTCATCGATGTTCATTTCCAAGCCAACTGGACGCCATTTTTTTCGATCATGTGGTATTATATACTATTTATTATATGATTATTAAATCGGAATTAAAGTATGCTCTAAAAATATTAAATTGGTATTAAGAAGTCTTTAATAAATAGTATATATGCATTGGATTGATAATTCAATATTATTGGTAAAATAATCAATCCCATTACGCCAGTGCCATAAAGTGTTGAAAAGGAATGAAAAAACTCTATATTTTTTTTTCTAGTCCCTTAAGTAATTGTCCGACCAAATTATCGCCGGTAGTGCCAGTTACGATTCTTGTTTTTATATAAAATGATGTGCATGTGGTTCGTTCAAATGAACGAATCGTAGGAGCCGATTCAATATAAGAAATTGAATCGTGTGATTCGATTCACTAAAAAGAATCGTAATGCGCATCACTATCTCAAGTTGCTCAATATATTTATTAAAAATGGTTTGCCAAATAACTGTAATTAAATTGTTAAATCACAAGAGTCCCGAAATAAAAATCCTAACATTTTCATAGCACTGCTGCAAATTTTCACAGTGTGACTTGAAAAAGAATGTTTTGACTTAATCTGAAAATAAATATTAATAAAAAATGAGTAATGAACTTACTAGCTGCCATAAGTTTTCCGTTGAGATACCACTCGACGACCATCGATGGGTCGCCGACTGGTTCAATCCTGGCCTCGAAATGTACCTTGCCACCTTCAAACTGGATGGAATCTTGAAGAGGGATGATGAATCTAGGGGGAGGATAAATACGGTCTTCCTCCCCTGGAGGTGCGTACGGACGAGCACGTTCCACGTGGCGAAGGTAAATTACTTCTGGACCAGGTTCGGGTCTGGAATAGTAAAATGACACAATATAAAACTTTATTATAATATTATTGATTTTTATTTATTGATATAAAATACACTGACGGACATATAAAACGCTTATGATTATAATAACGCTTAATGGTTAACGATAGGATGATAAAGCTTAATTGATACGGAATCTATTCATAACCTCAAAATTAGTGGAATAAATTAATAACTTCAATTAACGGTAAAAGTTTGTTTCTCAAATTCCAATGTGAGGAACTCCTGCTCATTCAACATCCAGAACGTTAAAATTAGAGGTAGTAATTTTCAATTAGTAGAAAAAGTTAAAAAAGTAGAGTCAGAGTAATGTAACTTGGTCAATTGTGATGTGATTGTGATTAGAAATAAAAGAAACATTGTTTTATAAGCTAATTATTACGCTTTTTCTATGGATATATCACAGACCACCGCAAGCTGTTGCTAAGATATTCTATTAAGTCTAATTGTATTATTTAGGCATTGTAAATGATCCTAAACTAAAAAGTATAAAATATAATTGAAACCAGTAATTTATTAAACTAATTTCGAGGTTCCGATTGAAGCTTAGTTTGGCAACACTGTTTTAGTAAAAGAATCGTAAAAACAAAATAAATTACAATTTACGAATAAAATGTCAGGCATATACTATATCTATGCCACTAATAAACTCACTCAGGTTCGATGACTTTTGTGGGCCTAGGCAAATGCAGGCGCCTGGGTTCGGGAGTGGGACCCTGCGGTACCTCCACGAACAGCCGAGCTCTAGTTGCAGTAGAACCGGCAACGTTCTGGGCGGTACACTGGTACCATCCGGCATCAGAGGCACGGGCTCTGGGTATGTCCAGGGTAGTGGCTCCGTTGTCTATAGCCACTCGTACGTCTGGACCTCCGTGGAGTGGTACCCCGTCCTTCTGCCAGGTTATTCTGGGAGTGGGGGTACCCACTGCTCGGGCGTTGAGGAGGACGGGTTCGCCTTCCCGAACATTAACTGTGGTGAATCTGAAACAGGTAAAACAAGATTATAGTTTTGTATATACCTATATATGACCAAGAGCTTTTAGCCTTGTTCATATGTAGTCTGGGTGCTAGCCGAAATAAAAGCTGAATTATTAAACGCACTGGCTAAACAACCGCCGGCGGTATTGTTAATGTGTACAAAAATACCGTCATCCGGTGGCATGAGATTTCTATATTTAATGAAATACCATACTTATACGTATACATATTGTATGGGACAATCTATAATCTAGTTACTCTTACCTTTCTACAAATTTAGGAGCGACTACTTGCTCTTTCTCGATTACGTTCAAATTACACTGGAACGAAGTTTCCCCGGTCTTGTTCCTGGCAACGCACGTCACTACTCCAGAATCGTTTCTGCTCACAGTAGTGATCATCAGCGCGTGATTCCCAGACTCGTTCACAAGGATTTTGTGGTTATGGTCATCCACTACTTGCTTTCCGTTAATGAACCACGTAACGTCCGGATAAGGCCGACCGTTCACTCTACAGTCAAATCTCGTCATTTTGCCTTCAGTCACATCACGATCTCCACAAACTCGCACGAAGTTTGGTGCCAAAGTTTTAGCTGTGTCTGTGCTCTCTACTTCGGTTTGTTGTGATTTGAAGCTTGATTCATGGATGAGACCTTCTTGTGTGGATACAGGCTCGATAGCCAGATAAGCTGAAGATACGACACATCCTTGAGGGTTCTCAGCTAGAAGAGTGTAATGTCCAGAATCATCTCCAGAGACTTGTTTGACTCTGAGCGAAGCCTGGTTATTGCTGAATGAACTCTCATATTTCTGACTTTCAACGATTCGTTGGCCGTTTTTGAACCAGGTGAGTCTGGGGCGTGGATTGGCAGAGAGTTTGGCCGTGAACACGGCATCTGAGCCTTCGAGCAATTTGGAATTGCGTGGTTTCTGAGAGATCTGAGGCGGAGCTGGCGGTCCGAGCGATCGTTCGACTGTCGTGGAGATTTCTGAGTCTTTTTCGTAGGTGGTGCGTCTTGTGATAGACTCGCGGAACGATACTTCTCTGAGCAGTCTAAAAAATAATAAAACAAGTATTATTTTCAATAATGTCTGTACCTTTGTGGCGGGTTCATTTCTTGAAAAGAGTTATGTTTTTTTGACACTAGAATAAGTAAAAAAGTTTGTGTCCTAAAATGTTTCGTTTCGGAGATACAGGGAGTAGCAGTTTAATTTTTATTCGTTTTTTTTTCAAATATTATATTTGGATGAGACTTGGTGCCTGGGTGTTTCTTGATATTAAAATTTCGATTTCGATGTCAGGTAGCGCAACGCTTGATGGAACGAAATATGTTGGGAATAACCAAGAAAGACCGTAAAAATAGACTGGATACGACGAAAGACCCATGCAGGTAATAGACGGCATCCACAGAATCAAATATCTCAAGTGGCAATGGGCAAAAAGTCTGGCAAGAAGGATGGACAACAGATGGACCACAAAAATTACAGCATGGTACCTATGAGGAATTAAGAACCCTAGAAGGAGCATAAAACCAAACCTGAGATGGAACCATGATATTAGGAAATTAGCAGGGATAACTTGGGCCCGCATAACCAACAATAGACAGCAATGGGCCCTATTTCAAATATATTACATTAAATATGTGAGGGAGCCTACACCATAATTGGAAATGTTTGCATAAGTTGAAAATGTAAGGGACGCCACCTACGTATTTTTTAACTCTTTTGAAAAGTAATAACTTTTTGCATGTACTTGTATTACACTTACTTACTAAGGGAAAAATATACTTTTTTATCACACACACACAATGATGACATGTATTAATTATTTCGGTTCGAAATATCTTCAGTGACGGTTGCTCGTAGCGATTTTTACCACGAGACAATTTTTTGGTAAAAAATGTATATTTTTCCCTCCTCTAACTTTTAAAAAATAATAACTTTTAACTTCTCATATTGATTTTTGTTCTCATTTGACACTAATTTTCATCGAAATATCGACGTTAATTCAGAAATTATTGGGAAAGAAACGAAATAAAAATGAAACTTCTACCCTCTGTATCTCCGAAACGAAGCATTTTAGAACATAGCCTCATATGAACTTTTTTACTTATTTTTATCTGCACAATATGCTGGCAAAGTTTCCGATTTCAATTCGGACCAGCCTGTATATACAAAAAAAAATAATTACGTACCTGTATTCGAAAGTGTCAATTTTAAATTCTTCGGTAATGACACCGTTGGTGTACGTGGTCGTTTGTTCGAATTGGTTCTGGGTGAACCTCTGGGGCATTTGCATGCCCTCTGGGGAAATGTATACTGAGCACACTGCCTCTCCATATTGGTTCTTGGCAGTGCAAACGTACTCGCCCTCGTCGCCAGGGCCTATTTGATATATCTGGAATAAAATTGAGAGGATCAATAAAAAAATCTAATAAGTTATAGGGTTTTTTCATTTTTACAAAGTGGTGGCCCATGGTAAAAAAACTTAAAAATACACTGGCAAAAAAATTCTTTATTAGTGACAGTTAATTCCAGCCATCATCAAACCTTTGTCAAAGACAGTTGTTTGTTTGACTTTATATATAAATTTTATATAATATAATTTATATAAAAAAGGCAAAAGTGTCTATAAAATCTATTGACACACACTGCTCATTCACGCCGGTTCGGGGCCGGATGAGATCGGATATCTTGTGAGTAAGAGTGGATTTAGACACTTGCCAAGTCGGTAGGCCATTGACCATGATATGACCGAGGACCGCGATTCGGATTCCCCGTAAACAAAGTAGGCCCTGTCCAGATTAGCCCTGGCAGCAAAAAGGAGACGTTAACTGAAATCTTTACTTTTTTATATAACAGTTTTTTTGACAGTGGTTTGGACTTTGTTCTTGATTTTAACATTAAGTCTTTTAATAAAAAAATTCTCTCAATTAAAAACAATAATGACTTGCGATATGTTTTGAAAAATATCGAGGTTTGGAAAAAATCGGTAATTTTGCCCATCTCTACTACCTATGAACTTTAAGAGCACGTGTACGTGTAGCGATTTTTACCATTATAAAAATGATCGTTGCAAATGGAAATGAGTTTAAGTTGTTAACAGAACACAAAGATTGGTACAGATACAGATATTTGACTCCCGTCAACATATATCTATTTATATCATTGCCAAGAAGAACTAAATTAATTAGAGATGAAAAAATAATTACTTATTTACATTCAAGCGTGGCACAATGTTGCCACGTTATTGATTGAAGAAAAATAAATAATAATTCACGAGATAATTTTCTTTTAAAACTAGTCTAAATATTATTACAGAAAATCTAGTAAGATGTAAATCTAGTAGTACAGAAATAGAAGTAAGATGAAAATTATTAAAGCAAAAAAAAGTCTAAACCCTAAACTATAAATATATTTTGTCGATGAAATAAACCGTTTAATTTCTCTTGGAATTTATTAATTTGAAGAATTACATTGAAGTAACCCAGTATTTTAATAATTCCACTAATATGTGGGCTAGTTTTTAGCCTATGTTCAAATACAGAACGGTCAGAAATGATTGAAATAGTTGGCAATACTGTGACAGTATTTTAGGATTGCTGATTGGTACTGATGCTAAAACAAAAAATTATCGATCGGAAAATTATAACAAATTATGTCAATTCATTGCCCGTCAATTTTTTAGCTATTCTTTTTCTTCATGAAATCGGACAAGCTTAGACTTTGATATTTGTGAACTTAATATATTTTTCAATGTAAAAAACTACTACTTTTCAATACAACTATAACATTATAGTTGTAATGAATATAGCATAAAATGCCACCAAACCAAAATAAACGGAAACCAGCTTGCAAGTGTTTTTTTTATTCACAAATGAATTTGCCTAATCAACAAAAAATTCTTAACGTTTCAGGCGGTAAAGGTTTTCAGGTTCTCTTAGTACAGACAAGACAATTAAAAAATCAGTAGACCATTTAAAACACTAATAATTTGGTATATTATGTTTTGGAGAATATCGAGGTTTTTAATTTGGTTTTATTTTGCCCATCTCTAGTACCTACCGAAAATTAAATTTGTTTAATCAACAAAAAACTCAGTTTCAGGCGGTATATATCATCCCGTCGTCAAAATCAAAAACCAAAAAAATTAAGAAGAGATATTTAATACGATTTTTAAATTATTACGGAGATTACTATTTTTTTCTTAGTACAGACAAGTCTATTAAAAACAGTTGACATTCTTTATAAAAAAAATCAGTAGTGAAACCATTAAAAACACTGTATAGTAAAACAAGTTTTGGAGAACATCGAGGGTTTCAAAAAAATCGGTAATTTTGACAATCTCTAGTACCTGAGTTAGAGGGCGTGTCGTGTACGAATGACTATAAAAATTATTGTTGTAACACAAAGGTAGGTACTTATATTTGACTCCCGTCAACATTATTCTATTTATATTTTTATATAGTTGCCAAAAATGCACTAAATGAATTAGAGACGAAGAAAATTTAGCTTACTTACTTTTGACAGCAGCGGAACAATGTTGCCAGGTTTAGATATTTTTATTTTACTTTCGCGAAAAGAGGATTTTTCAATGATTTTATTTTTTAATAAAAAAAACAGTAATTTTTTACATTGAAAAACATGTCCATTTTACAAAAATAACATAGTCACAAAACTTGTAAATTTCCAGTGAATTGAATGCTGAAATTTTTCGATCTATAATTTGTTTTAGCATCGGTACCAATCCTTAATCCTAAAATCCCCTATGGCAGGTTTGCCAACTATTTCAGTCATTTTGAATTTCTCCACACAAATCAATGACTAAAGAATAATACAAGGATGCGTAACGCGCAACAGGCTGTAGCAAAATTTGTGATGTTAGATGGATAGACATTTCTTTGCATGGAGTTAACGGATGGTGTCACCAGCGACAATTTTAGCGATTAATAGTTTGTTGTGTGTAGTGAACTTTGTACAAACTTTATTACAATGATGATTCGTTCAACTTTCAAGTGTAAAGTCGCAATGATAAGAAAAAGCCAGGAATTACGTTTAATATAAACAGTTAATTTTTTGCACTCAACCTTTTTAGTATTTTCTTATTGAATTTCATAATGATTTTTCTGATATTATACTATGATATGACCTAACATGCAGTCCATACTAGTTTTGGACCTTTTGTGAACGTTTTAAGATGTTTTAATACGCATCCCCATAGGCGTAGGCAAAAACTTTATCAAAAATATAAATTAAAAAGGATATTCATAACTAAATAAGTTTAATAAGAGCAAAAGTAAGTAATAAATTAAATTTTGCAGGCGTCGAAAAAGAAATATTTGTGGAACAATTAAAATTCTGCATTTTTTATAGTAGTTGTATCTGACACGGCACTGTTTGGAGACAACTGGTCACGATATGGTCTTGAGTGTTATTGGTCCTTGTATTCTTTAGTCACTGAGGCATAAGTAACCTACCTGGAGAGTAACATCTCCAGTCGTTTCGTTATAAGAGAGTCGGTGCTTCTGGGAATCGAGCAGTGGCGACCCCTTGCGCGTCCAGGCGACCGTCGGCCGGGGCTTTCCCGCGATGCGTCCCTCGAACGCGGCGACGCCCCCCTGGGCGAAGCGCGCGTTGCTGAACACTTTCTCGAAGACGGGGGGCGAGGCGTCGGGGCCGAAGCCGGGGATCTGTTGGATCTGTTCCTGGGTCAGCTGGCCACCTTGCACTGAAAACAAACAGAATGGGATATATTAGTTATTTCTTTAAAAGTGTTTTGTTCACGGTGCTAGGAAATAACATTTCAGAGTCTCTAGAATACAAAGTTGATTTCCATATCTATATCCCACAGACCTTGAGGTCGCAGTGGGCTCTCGTCGCCACTTGATATCTAATTGCACGATAGTATGGTACAGTACACGTGTTGATGGGTGGTAGTGTAGAAACGTACGATCCTGGATCCCATCGTTTTTTATCTTGGGCGATCGGAAAGAAAGCACGTGGATCAAGTGATGCGAATGGGATCAAAAAATAATTTGCCAAATAATCTCATAATGTATACAGGGTCGCTTTTATGTATGGAAACGGTCGATTATTAGATAAAATACATGAGGTACCGCAAAAAGTTAAACACAAAAGTTATAGGATTTTTAAATATCTATTAGCGAGTAATAAATTTAAGTATACAGGGTCGGTCATAAAGTCGTGGCACATAAAAATTTCATTTTTTTAAATAGAACCCCCTGCATATTATTGCATATTTCAATTCAATTCGAAGCAAAATTCGAAATACATACAATGTACCTCGAACCAACCGTTTCCGAGTTATTGACTTTTGAAAATATCACTTAAAAAATTTGATTTAATTAATTTCGATATGTTCGGTTTCATTTAACGATGCCATTTTGCTGAAACTATGATACTTAATAATATTTGAAATTAGTTCTCAAGTTAGCATTTATAAATGTTAAATGTATAAAATTACATTATATCAAGTTTGGAAATTACAAAATTCCAAACCAAACCAAACCAAACATTTCAATTCTTCAAATTAATTACATTGTGTATTACGATTATTGCTTAAAATTTAACGAAGAATTGAAATATGAAATAATATAAAGGGGGTTTTATTTTTAAAAAAATAATGTTTGATGTGCCACAACTTTATGACCGACCCTGTATACTTAAATTTACTAGTAATATGCATTTAAAACCCCACTATAACAGTATCACAGTTTCGGCAGAATGGCATCGTTAAATGAAACTGAACATATCGAAATTAATTAAATCAAATTGTTTGATATTTTCAAAAGTCTAATAACTCGGAAACGGCTGGTTTGAGGTACGTTGTGTGTATTTCGATTTTTGTTTAGAATTGGAGGAAGATTTGAAATATGCAATAATATACGGGGGGTAGTGACCGTATCCATATTGAGTACTCCACTTTTTCAAAATCTTACCAAAAACATTATATTACACCGTCTTTTTCCTTGGTTTTATCGGTAGTTTAAAACTTTTTTTATAATCCGTTTTGGATAAGGTCTCATTAGATATCGAGACAATTGAAAAGTTTAGTGTACGTTATGGGTCCATAATATGTGTTGTCTTATTCTTATCCCCAGGTGTTGTGTTACAAAAACATAGGTCATCACTAGACCTGCTCATTTTTAGGGTAAGCAAAAACGTTTGTTTTAAGAAATAAATAATAGCGCGGCACACAAATCGACTGAGAAATCATCGAGCAATATGCAGAAAGAAAACTCGTCCAACTCACAGATCGTACGAACCAGGAAACCATGAAAACTAAAGCATTTAACATGAGGTGCAGGGGATGTTTTAAAGATAAGGCAAAAACAAATCTTCAATTAACTCTGCATAGTAAGCCAAATACTAAAGTTTATAATAAAGTGAGTTTACGAATTAAAGTTGATATATTTATATACAGTTTGCTAAAAAAAATGAAGGAATTAATAATAATAATAAAAAATATAACATTTTAAACTTGAGAAAAAATTTTCCGTTGCTTTTTTTATATCTGAGTGTATTTGCACTTATTTAAAATTCACCCTGTGTAGCAAGGGGTATCAAGTAACTGGATATTACTAGGGAGAAAAAGAGTATATTTTAATTATTATAATAAAACAATTTCTTTCGAATGTTTAAAAAAACATATCGTCACATCTTCTGTAAAACACGTTTTTTTACATTTAGAAACATTACGTTTTTAGTTCAGCAAGGCGCATGTCCTGACAGAGATTATTATGTTGTAAGTATTAGGTTGTTTATTACTTTACAACTCTAACTAAATATAAACCTAACATTTTTAGGGACAAATATAATCGTATATCACCGTTATTTTAATGCAAATATTTTCTTTTATTGAAATCAATTTCGCCACCACTGAGTTGGCCGAGTCCGTCGCCTCAAAAAATGAAGGCGGACAAGTATACGTGTCCGATTGGTACAGTAAAAATAGTTGCTCCAAAAATGGACGCCTGAAACGCGATCCAAACGTCTAAAATTGTCTTAGCGTACGTCTCGACAGCGAGCCGTTCTGATTGCGCCCGTTTTTATTATCGGAATAGTACTTTCTCGGATTACTCGATATTTTATCGATTTTCTTATTAGTACTGGGCTATTCTGAATAGCACACTTCCATAACAACTACAGATTTTTTATTTGCATCTAAAGTTTTCCTGCAGTTTCAAAATTTTATACGTCTATTACCATTAATGATGAACGAGACTGGTCTTGGTCTTTGTCTTGCTTTTTGTACAAGATGAAGACCAAGATCGACCAGACAAGCTTCCGCAAACCAAGACCAAATCCAAATATGAAAGACTCTTGAAGCGATCTGCGCTTTTTTTCACGTTTCTGTGATATAAGGAATTACTTATTTGTACAAAATTATTGTTTTAATTTATTACAAATAGTGTTTTCTCAATTATTTAAATAAACTTTTAAAGAAAGAGATGCTGCTTCAATATAATATATTGAAAAATAAAAATTTTCCTTAGAAAAATATTCATTATTATTATTCAATATTCAAAAATATTCATTATTATTCAATATTCGGATTCCATTATTTAAAGATTTATTTGCATTAAATTACCTATAATACTATATAATTAAGATTACATAAGATTTTCTATGTAGAAAGTGCCTTTAGTCAAAAATCTATTAAAAAAGTGCAAGGCTTGCAAGAGTCTTGCAACAGGACCAAGACTACCAAGACTATACTATTAGAGTACAAGTCGAAGTCCAAGCGAGTCTTGGTCTTGGTCTTGTATGTGCTCATCACTAATTACTATTCGTCCTAGGAGTATGAAATTTCGGACAGAGATCCCTTAAGTAATCCAAGTATATTATCAGAAGCGATTTTTGGAAATCCGTCTCCTAAGAGGGTGAAATTAGGGACAAAAGTTTGTAAAAAATTTGTTCAAATTTTTTCCTTGTAAAGACCTTGTAAGTTGAACTGAGTACTATAAAACTTTTTTGCAAATTCACCCCGTAAGAGGGTTAAATTATAGGTGAAAATGTGTACATTTTTATATTAAATCGGATTTAGGAGTAATGAAATTTTGCACTAAATTTAACTTTTAACTGACAAAAGCGAGTACTAAAAATCGATTTTTAGAAATTTATCCCCCAACGGGATGAAATTAGGCCCAAATAAACTTTCTACGAATAAGTTTATACTAAAGATTTGTTAAAATCCGTTCTAAGGGTACGAAGTTTTGCAAAAAGGGTCCTTAACTGACAAACGCGAATTCCAAAAAGTGATTTCTGAAAATTCAAGCACTAACGGGGTGAAATTAAATAAGATATTTTGTACAAAAAATTATTAGAATCGGTTCTAAGAGTATGACATTTTAATACAGAGATTCCTTAAGTGAATACTAATATCGATTTTTGGAACTTCATACCCTGGTGATGGTGATTGAAATTTTCTAAATAAATTTCCTTAATATCTGCCCTGTCCTTAAAAGGTGTAGTAATTGAACTGTGAAAAAGCCATTTTTGGAAATTTACCCCTAAAGTATTGCAATTAGGCGTGATCATTTTATGATACATCAATACAACTGTATAGAAAATAAAATTGGCAACAATATTTTTTTAAATGACTGACTGAAGTATGTATAAAAATATTAATAAATCTAAAAAATATTAGCCAAATGTATCTACTTTTTTCTCTGTCTATAATACGTAATATAATTATTATTTAATATTATTAAATAAATCTATATTTTTTACTTGAATACTTCTTTCTATTACTTAACATCTTACTGTTCAAATTATTTTTTCAAAGGATATTCTACTGTTTAGGAACTTTTTTTAACTAATATAGAATTCAGTTAACAACAAACTTATAATAACAAAACTTATAATAAGAAAAAAAAAAGAAGAAAAGCCAAATTTATGTCAACAAAGTTTATGATCAATTAAATTTCTTAAAAAATTGGCAAAAGTAAATTTGTTTTTGGCTTCTGATCATAACATTTGAAAATATGATTTCATCATATCTATTAAGTGTCTGATATAATTTTGAATACGAAATTTAACAGCAATATTCACCAAACATATTTTTTAGTTAAATTTTAGCTTTGAACTTTATAACCGCACTTTTTTTGAAGGAAACAATTTTATTCTGTAAACAACAGTTCTCATAAATCTAATTTCAATTTGTTAACAGCTTTCTTTGATAAAAACACATCGTTTAGTGATTATTATTCTGTTTGAAGTACTCATTTACCACAGATCTTTTGAAAATATACTGTCTCCTTAAAATAGACACGTAGCCAAGTAGACGATTTTTGAAATAAAACTCGAATTTTGTCGCTTAGAACCTTCTGTGAAAACCTGGCCAATGTCCAAAGACACTGTCGCCTATTTTTTGACAATTAGAAATGGTAATCTTGAAAACAGGACTGAGTAGGCCGAGAAAAATATGAATGTTTATGTTTCCTTTCGGATTTTCGGGAATAATTTGGGTTATATTTTCGTTGTACTCCTACGCAATTTGTATTTTTATCGAGGATTTGGATTCTTGCTTGTTTTATTTGGAAAATACTTTGTATTGGTGCAAAATATATAACATGAATTAAAATAAGAAATAATTGTTATAACAGAAATACGTTTTTAAAAAATATCGCCCTAATTTTATAAATTGAATTTTCTGTATTTTAACCTGAAGCTTCGAAATTCAGAAGAAAACAGAAAGAACCTCGA